GCTTGGGCAGGAAGCAGATTGAGAGTCTAATAAGCTGTGTAAGATTTATGCTTTGTAATAAAATTTGCCAATTTCAGATGAATGTTTCATGTTAAAAAATAGGGTTTGCGTGAAAACATCTCTTCATCAAAACATACTGATTTTGAAAACTTGCTTTTAATTCACCTTTTTTAGATTTTGAGAGTTTTTCCGAAGCTTCAAACATGTTTGTAATTGCTGTAGTAGAAAAGGCAGAAGAGAAGTAACTGAAATCAGAACAAATTGAGCATTTCAAAATGTTTTTTAAACAATCTGGGAGGAATTCAGTATTTACTGGCACGCGGTACACCAAAATCAGCTCCCACCTAGGCCAGAGAAGGCTCCTGCTCTTCTGTACCATCCTGCTCTGTTATTGCCACTCCACTGCTGTCTGTACTTTCAGGCTGTGAAAAATCAAAGCCAGACCGAGCTTGTGGATGAGGAAGCCATGTCCCAGATCAGGAAAGGCCACGAGACCATGTGTGTGGTGCTCACCAGCCGCCACAAGAATCTGGACACCGTGCGGGCTGTATGGAGCACCGGTGACATCAAGGCAAGGATGTGGAGATGCCCGAGGCTTGTGGTGGGAGCAGCTGGGCAGCTCTTTCGGCTTGTCGGGGGTCGATCCTGCCTCTTGTGCAAAATGCAGGGTCTCACAGCTTTTGTCTCCAGGGGTGCACCCCAGAGTGCTGCTGTGTCCTGCCTGTGGTTGAATGGTCACAAAGAAATGGGGAAGAAAACTTTCTGATGTGAGAGTTATCTTCTCTTCCCTAGCCAACTCCACGTTTCTTCTATGTTGTTTTTGAAAAGTGACACTTGATATTCATTGCATTAGTCTAGCCAGTTTGAGCTTTGCATTTGACAACTTCTTCCCCTTCTCTCTCAGAACTCTGTGGACTCTGCAGTGGCCATCAACGATCTGTCTGTTGTTGTGGACCTCTTGAATATTGTCAACCAAAAAGCGTGAGTCCTGGTTGGGGGCAGCCCCTGGGTTACCCGAGAACCATCTGGCTGGGCATGGGGAGCGCTGCATTGTACCTGCCTCGTGGCCAGTGGCCGTGGCAGCATCAAATGTGCATGCTTGTAGTCAGATCTGCGGTGCCAGTAACTGCTGGAGTTCTGTGGGGCCTTTCCTGTGGGCAAATGAAAAAGAAAATTGCAAGGAAAATGGAATTCTTCGGGCTTAGTAAAGTGGTTCTGCCAAGAATCAATAAAATATGTCAGAACTTGCCACTTTCTGTCACAAGGGGGAGTCGGTGAACTTGCTGAGTAAACTTGAGGGCTGATGCCTGGGCTTTTTTGCCAGAAAGCATTGTGTTGACTCAGCCTTGCAAAGCCTCAGTCTCTGGTCTCTCATCTGGAATGTGTCCTTTCCTTTTCAGGTCTCTCTGGAAGCTGGATTTGTGTACTGTAGTCCTGCCGCAGATAGAAAAACTACTCCAAAGTAAATATGAAAGGTGAGGCCCCAACAGCATGGTGTGCTTGGGGGAAAAGGTGTGGCAGTTCATAGGAGAGCTCCGCTGGGTATTTTGTAGCTGAAAGAAAATCCTGAAAAATCACAGCAGATACAGTATAGGGCTGATACAATGCCTGGAGAAGAGCAGTGGAGTTGCCAGGTGTGTGTGTGGGAAGATATGGAAAGTATGCATGGGCAAGAGGAGCAGGCTACTGAGATTTGGCATAGGTGTGTTGGACTGAAGGCAGATCTGGCAGCTAGGAGTGGTCAAATCGGTGTAAAGCAAGTGGGCTCTGCCCACTGATGGGAATCACACTGTTGGCTTGGGATAAGGGGAATGAAGTTCTACAACAGCCTTGAGGTCACTTGGAAGATTGCTTTGAACCTCCTCATTAGGTGGCAAAAAACATGCAGCCTCTCTCAAGATGGAGTTTCTGCCCTTCCTTCCTTCTGGGAGAGGCTCCTGCCAAAGCTCCTCAGCAGGACATCTCTGCTCTGAAGCAGAGAGGTCCCACTTGGCAGGCTACATGCCAGAACCTTTCACGAGGGCTCACGCTGTCAGTCTTCACTCAAACTGAGACGTGTTGGTACTTGGCTGTTGCTCTCCTTAACAGGTCACAAGTGGTGGAGGGGGGGGTGGTCATTTGAGTAAATTACCCCCAGTGACTGGGATATGAGCGAGGGCTGTGTGCTGGGAGGAAAGAAACGAAATTCAAGTGCAACCTGATTCTCTGTTTGTTTTTTCAGTTATGTGCAGACTGGCTGCACCTCCCTGAAACTCATTCTCCAGAGATTCCTGCCACTGATCACAGACATTCTCAATGCACAACCTTCTGTCGGAGTGGACATCACCAGAGAGGAAAGGTGAGGCACTTACTCACCTCCAGTTGCTCCCTTTTTGAACCAGCCTTTCTCCTGGGTGAGCTTTGCTCCTCACCACCAAGGCTTTGATACTAGACTGGGCATGCCTTCCCTTTTGTCTGCAAACACCAAACCCTCCTGCTCTGAGAAAAAGACCAAGGACTGCTTTTCCCTCCATCCCTGTGTATTGAGTCATACCTAAACAAAGTGGGTATGTCAGGAGTAAAACCACCCTGTGGCTTCACCCTCTACCTCACCAGACACACAAGTTGTCAGCTGGGCCCTGGATTTCCAGTTCTTTCACAGGATAACTGCTCTGAGAATTGGCACTCTGAAACCAGCACCTACTTCCTCTCTGGACTTTACTGCCAAAGGGGAAAAGAGGAGTGAAAGAGCCCTTATGTGGATGCCATTCTCCTGTGTCATCAGGACGTGGGCTGAATATGTGGTGTTTCTGCAGAGCCACACTCACATTTCAGCCTCTTCCAGGCTATTTGCAGGGCTTGTGTTTTTGTTCCTGCTTGAGTTGCATCTTCGGCACTGTAGGAACAAGCACGTCTCATAAGCAGCTGAGGATTTATGCTGTGTCTGCTGTCTGTTTTTTGCAGGCTCCATAAATGCAAGCTGTGCTACAAGCAGCTGAAAAACATCAGCAACATCGTCAAGAACAAGTCTGGGCTCAGCGGCCGCCATGGTAGTGCCTTTCGGGAACTGCATCTCCTCATGGGTGTCCTGGAGTGACAGCTGCCACCTCCTCACATGCAGCCGCCGGTGGCCAAGCTCCCCTCTGCTCTTCCTCCATCTGGATTTCCCCTCTCTCCGTGTGTCCACCTTCCCCCCGCTCCCCCCACAGCACGGGAGGGAAATGTGGTCTCTCTGGCTGGTCGCCCGCCGGACCCGGCGCCTTACGGGCTGGGTGGAGGACCCGAGTGGAGAGATGTCTGTGCTGTGGGAGGAGACCTGGCTGGCCGAGGGCCCCACAAAGCCCCCGTAGGGAAGCAGCATCCTTTCAGCTCTTCGTCTCTGCATCAAGCTCTCAGTCGCTCTGTCTCTGTGCTGGCCTTTCCTGACCGGAGGGCTCCCAGCCTGCTGTCACTGTCGCCCTTCCTTCACCTGTGTTGCTGTCAGTTCTCGTTGCTTGGCTCCGTGGGCTGGGTCTGGCTGGCCCAGCTCTCTCTGTGCAGCATGCTGAGGGCTGCAGTGTCTGCCCCACAAAAGCCTGCTGTGGGGTGGAGTGCCCTTTCCCTACAGAAAGGACTTCTTCAGCTGCCATGTGGGACTGGTCCCTTTGGCTTTGCTTCATCAAACACGAGCCAGAACACCACGCCGCCATGCCTGGTGTAGTCTCAAGGACATGGATTGCCAAGAGGCTGTCTTTTGGCTTCTTAAAAATCCCTGCTGGCACCCTGGGCCACAGAAGATTAATATCTTCGGACTTTTGCTGGGATCTGAGGTCTACCTGGATCTGTTAAAATACGTGACTTAAACAGGACTTGTATGTGTTTGCCTTTGGGGGTAAGGATTGGGGAGGGTGGAGGAAGAGGGACACAGACTAATGGCTTTCTCCATCTGTTGGACCACTCTTAGAGGTGTTTTTTTTCCCCCCCAATAAATGTCTGTCAGAACCTTTCTGTCCCTCTTTCTTCTTTCCTGTGGGGAAAGAGGTTCCTGTTGGTGCTTCCCCTGCTCCTCCCAGCCTGTCTCCTGTTTTATACACTGGAGCCTGTTCTCTGGGAAACTGTAACTTATAATGAATTTCATTAAAAAAAATTTGTAACTTTTCTTAAAGTTGTGTTAAATGCCTGAATCTCTTGGAGCACTGTTCACCTCGGCACAGCTCCTGGCTGGGAGCGTCCGGGGAAAGCAGGGCTCTGTTCCCTGCGTGTCCCAGGGGGAAGCTGCCTCCTCCCCCCCTTCCTGCTGGGAGGCTGGGGCGAGGGAGTTGGAGAGCTTGCTGAAACCCCGGGGGAGGTTTCACTCTGCCGGGTAGTTCCCAGCCCAAAGAGCAACGTCAGTGCTTGAGGCTCGTCCCTTCTCCCTGGCCCCACGCAGATCTCCCCGCTGCAGTTCTCGGTGTAGTGGCTTTTCTGTCAGCTCCCTGAGCCAGGTGCTGGTGTGTGGGGCTGCAGGAGGCTGTGTCAGGTGTGTACAGCGGGGCCAGCAGGAGAGGTGAAGCCAGTCCCTACCTCCCTGATGGAGTTTTAGGAGCAAAGGTGTGTCTTGCTCTGCTCTGCGGCTCCGGGGAGGTGACTCGTGCAGCCACAGGGCTGGGGCTGAAGGTGCTGCCTGCTTGGAGCCCCAGGGCCCTGGCCCTGCGTGTCCTGCCTGCACTGCACCTCCATGCTGCCTTTCCTGGGGGCTTTGGTGACAACCCCAGGGCTGGACCCAACCCTGGTGTGAAATGGCAGAGCAGGGGGAGAAGCACGAGATGGAGGTTAGGGTTTAACAACTGAATCTCCCGCTGACTGAGAGAGCCCCATAGCTGCCATCTGGGGGGCTGTGCTGTCGGGCTGGCCCCGAGACAGCTGCAGGAGGAGGGATTTAATGGGCTTTTCCAGCTGAGCATCAAAGGAGCTGTGGGGGGGGAAGACACAGTACAGGAGGGAGCATCAGCCCCAAGCAGGGCTTAAACCTGCTGTAAGGAAATACCAGCAGCACAGGCGGACTGGCTTTAACAGTTTATTTAAAATAAGTTTTGTTACAAAACAGGATTTCAATTTTTTTTTTTTAATTATTAAAATACATAGAAACATCTAATCTTACAAAAGGCTAAATTTATTTTTCCCTTTTTTTTTTTTTTTAATAGAATGTGCCATGGAAGAATGAGAGGAGAGGGCCGCAGTGGGAAGGAGCCATCAGTGCATCCAGTCGGTTATTTGCAGCAGGAGGAAGCATACCCACAGGTGGGTGCTCAGAGGTGCAGGGGCCAGTGCTGTCTCCTCCCACCCCCACCCCACCCCCCAGCTGCTGTTCTGACACATAAGCCAACAGGCTTTTGGGCTGGAAGGTTGGTCTGGCTTGTTTGTTTTCCACTTGTTTTCCACTCCAAGACCATGTAAACAGGGTATAAATATTTCAAACACTTTCATCTCGACCACACTGTGATCTCTCTTGACAAGACAACTGGTAAATAACTTTACAATAGCTTCATGTGAGACTGCTAAATCCACGCTGGTGCCGTGTAACACAGGCAGCCCCGTGCCTGCTCTCCCCTGTGCCGGGGCAGCTGGCGTGGGGCCCTGCCAGCACTGGCACCACGACGAACGGCAGCTCGGCTCATGCAGGGCACTGGGGTGCCTTCATGCAACAACAGGGCTTGAGAAACCTACAGGGAAAGCAGCTGCTGGGATTTTTCCTGGCTTCAAATGGAGGAAGTGCTGCTCTGAAAGACAGCGGGCAGCTACCTGGATGCAGTCTTGGGGGGGCTTGTGGCCAGGCTGGACACGTGGAGGGGAGCAGAGACGTGTTCGGGGGCTCTCCTGGCTCCAAGCACGCCCTCCAGCCAGATACCTCTATTGTTATAAAAACAAAGCTGGAGAGATGGAGGGAGCACCCAGCAGCTTCCCCCTTCTGGCTAAAATATCCATCTAGCAAAAAATAAAAAGTCACAGAGCGTCTGAGGGGGGGGCAGATTCCTGCCCAGCACCGTTGTCTCCCACTCTGAGATCGGGGTCTGGCTGCTGGGGACCCCAGTCCCACGCTGCTCACGGTGAATGGTGCCATCGCCCCGCTGGTTGTGGGTCCTGGTGGGCTCTCGCAGCACCCCGAGGGGCCGGGTCCTGCGGTGGCTCTGGTGCTGAGGCTGGCACTTGTCACATGGGGACTGGCCTCAGCTTCCCTGCGGGGAGACACGTGTGGGCCGCGGCAGGCAAAGGGGGCACGGCCCCCTCACCGTCCCCCAGCCCCACCCAGCGGCGTTTCAGCGGCTGCTGCCCTGAGCTGGTACTTGCAAGCGTCCCCAGGAGCCCCCCTGCGAGCAGCGCAGCCCTGCACCCCGCCTGCCCAGGAAGGGGGGCTGAAGCAGAGCCCTCCACCGGCTCCCGGCCGCGGGCACTCACCTGGCAGCCACGGCTGCCCCTAAATTCAGGCTGAAATCGAAGGGGAAAGAGGGTCAGGCTGAGGCACTGCCGCCTCCCTGCAGCATCGCTCCCCCTGTGCGCCCTGAGCTGGCGGCAGTGGCTTCGCACCACGGCACTCTTGGGGAAGTGCTAGCCAGGCTCCAAATGGCTAATTAGCCATTAATGAATGAGCCGATTAGAAATTAGCTGGCGCCTCCCCCACGGGCTTTTGCTGCCAGCATCTGGCTGGGATGAAGCTGGTGGTGAGAGCCTCCTTGGACAGAGGGACCCTGGCTGGGCACCCGGGGGTGCAGAGCGGGGCTGCGTTCCCCCAGCACCCACCTGAGGTATGGACCTTCCTGCGGATGGAGGCGGCGCGGCCGGAGAGCTGCCCCGGGCTGGGGGATGCGTGGCCCCGACCGGAGGGTGCTGCGGTCCCCGGTGAGTCACCCTGGGAGGGACACGGGGCACGGCCCCAGGGTCAGCCCCTGCCTGTCCCCAGAGGGAAGGAACAGGGGTGTGCTGGTGGGGCTGCTGCAAAACAGGGCTTGGAAGAGCCAAGGTGGCAGCATCGGCTGGACACACTGCCTGGGGACAGCCCGCATCCCGCTGGGTGATGCTCCCCGGTGGAGGTGGCTCCTAGCGGGGGGCACCCAGCAAAAAAAACAGCCCTGGGGACCATGCATGGGGGCAAAACAGGGGGACTCCCTGCGGCAAGGGGGCAAAGGAAGGGCACCGGCAGCCCCTCGGTTACCTCCAGCTGCTCCTGGCTGGGCCAGGAGGCCAGCTCAGCCTTGCGGGAGACAGGACCCAGCTCCACGGAGCGAACCCTCTCAGCAAACTTCAGGGAGCACAGCGTCTCGCTGGTGTTTCTCTCGGCGGGCGAGACCTGTGGTCAGGCAGGAGCAGGCAGAAAGTCACCGTGCCGGCTGCCTGCCCCCTGCCCCCCCCCAGGGCTCCCTCACCCTGGCAAACGTGCCGGTGCGGGGCCGATGAGATGCTATTATTAATGCCCTGCTCCCAGAATAGCCCTGTCTGTCCACGCCCAGGCCAGTGTCTGAGCCAGCTGGATCCCCTGTCACCAGCTGCCCCGGCGTGAGGGACACCCGGGAAAAGCTGCAGCAGGTGGCAGGGGGACCCCCACGGGGCTCGGGGTGGGTGCAGGCGGGGGGGTCACAGGGTAGGGATGAAGGAGCTGCCACAGCATAAAAGCCTCCCAGCAGGAGAGGGGACGGGGGGGGGGGGGGGGGGTGTGCCAACATGCAAGGAGATGTCCACTGGGACAGCGTCCCTGCGCAGGCGGGGAGGGCAGGATCGTGGAGCTCCGAGTTCAGCCCCTCGTCCTCGTCCGGGGGGGCAGAGATGGGGGCAGAACCGCTGCCTGGCTGCAGGCCAGGGGTGTCCCCACGTGAGCGCCCGCTCCCCTGGTGCCAGCGCAGCGCCTGCCTCCAGCACCCCTCCCCGCCTGCCCCGGGGCGAGCAGGGACCAAACCCATCCCCAAAACCATTGCCGACCGGCCGGCCGCGGGGGGGATACCTGCACCATCATGAGGGTCTTGCTGTCGCCGCTGAGCGAGTCCTGCAGCAGGTAGGTCAGCTTGGAGTTGCGGAAGGGCACGTGGCCCTGCCGGGAGCGCAGGGCGTAAATGACGTCGCCCAGCGCCGAGAGGGACTTGTTGATGTGCTGCGCCTCGCGGAGCCGGCTGCCCTCCGCGCCCGACCGCCCTACCCGCTCCGATCCCGCCAGGTCCACCAGGTTCAGCTTGCCTGGGGACACAGAGCCAAACCCCCCCCCCCGCCCCCGGCCGCTGGCGTCAGTGCCCGGCCCCCCCTTGCCCCCCCGGGGGATGCTGCGGCCCAGACGCCCCGGCGAGGGGCTCGCTGGGCGGCACCCACCTGTGGTGCGGAGCCCCGTGCTGCGGTCAAGGCCGCGGACGGTGATGATGAGGAGGGCGTGGGAGCGGGAGCTGTGCTCGTTCAGATTGGTGCACTCCGTCGCCCGGTTGACGTGGCCGAACTCAAAGACCTGGGGGAGCCCGGGAGGTGGAGGGAGAGGCCAGCCTGCCCCACGCCCACTACCAACCCCCCCGCCGTGACCCGGGGACATAACCCAAGCAACAGCCCTCTACAGGGCGCCTGGTCCATTCCATCGGGGTGACGACTGCTGCCAGGTCTCAGCCTGGGTGATGCACCGAAGGGAGAGGGTGACAGGCAGGGCACTGAGGTGACAGCTGGCATCCCGCTAATCCCCTGGGAGCCGCCCAGGCCCCATGCTTTTATTTTTAACCCCCTGCAGCTCACCCCATGGGGCAGCCACAGCCACACTGCACCCAAGGACCTATTTTGGTTTCTGTCACTGCCTGGTGCTTCAGAAACGCTTGTGAATCTCAGGGTCATGCACCAGAGACACCCCCTCCCGCAATTCATCGTGCCACCCCCCAGTCTCCCCTCACCTTGTTGATGTCCTCCACGCTCTGCACCCTGAACTCAGTCAGCCCGGGAACATAGAGCTGCCCGCTGCCGTCGGGGCACAGCTTGATCTCCAGCTTTTCCAGCGGCTCCTTCCCCAGCAAATCCCTGGGCAAAGGGGGTACCCGTCACCGCAGCGGGATGATGGTGCCGGTTCCCCTCCGGCACGGCATCCCCACCGCAGCTCAGGGCTGTGTGCCCAGGCTTCCAGATCAGCCCTCTCCCCCCCGGGGATGCTGCACATCCTATTTCTAGACCTCATCTCCCCAGGTCCCCATGTGCCTGCTCCAACCCGACCCAGCCCACGCTCCCATCCCTGCTCTTTATTGCCATTCCTGATCCCCGTTATCCACACAGATGCACTCCCAGCCTCCTCCCAGCCCCCCGCGCCTGCGGCTGGGCAGGGGAGAAAAATATTTCTCATGCTTCCATCTCCCAGTTAGTAATTTCTAAATATAATCTTTAGGGGGGTAGGGGCAGTGAGGAGAGGGGAATGCCCTAGCTGCTGCATCAGGACTGGGGGAGCAGGAGCAATGGCAGGACTGGGAGCCTGTATAACGGACCTTGAGGGAGAACGCTCTGAAAGAGCAACATGCACTGAAAAAAAAAAATTAAAAATAAATCCTTGCACGGCCAAATCCAGTGGCCCAAGGCCCTGGGAACAAGCCACATGGCCAAGGCAGGGCTCGTGGAACAGGGAGGAGAGCAGCACGGGGTGACAGCCGCCCATGCCGGCTCCCCAGCAGCCCCCCTCACCCCAGCAGAAAGCCCTTCCCCACTCCCCGTACCTGAGTGCCTCGTTGTAAATCTCGGCAGCACTGACGCTGATGGTGTAGTCCCAGTCAGCCGCCTTGCCCCGCACCTCGGAGAAGAGGAGCTGCAGGGCCCGCTGGTTGATCCCAGGGTTTGCTGCTGTTCCCTGATGAACAGGGGTGAGAAATGGGTGGAGGGAAAGACCCTCCTGCATTTTATTCTGCTTTTTTTTTTTTTTTTTTTTTTTTTTCTAAGCAGGAGCAAAGCCCAGAGGGCTGTCGCGGAGGGCTGCACAAACGCCTTGGCAGCGGCAGCCACCATCACTGGCCCGCACCGGGTCCAAGCTGGCCACCACCCTGGGGAGGGGAGGGTGCTGAGACGGGGCGCCACGGGATGGGAAGCCGAGGAAGAAGGGGGAAGAAAAGCCAGGCAAATTCACCTCCATCGTGTAGGTTTTTCCTGCCCCTGTCTGCCCATAGGCGAAGATGCAGACGTTGTAGCCATCAATGCATGAGGTGACCAGGGCTTGAACCTCCTGAAACACCTGAGGGGAGATCCAGGAGCGTCAGGAGAAGGTGACCGAGCCCCCCCCCATCACACCTGCAGCATGGACAGCAGCACCCACCTCCTCCTGGGATGCCTGCGGGGGGAAGACCTTATCCAGCTCGAAAGACACCTGCTTCCCCTTGTGCAGGAGGTGCAAGACAGCGTCATCATCGGCATCAAAGGTCACCGCGTTGGCCACCTCTGGGCCCTCACCATCCTCCTTCGTGATGGGGCGGACACGCCCGAAAACACGGATGTTTCCTTGGGGGGGTGGGGGGGGGATGCAGAGACGGTGTCAGCCGCGGTGCGTGTCGCTGCCACCCCCGGTCACCATCAGACACTGGGCCGGCTGAACGCTGCGCCCCACTGCCAACCAAAGCATCTCATGGCTGATCAGAGCGTCTTATGGGGACACGGAGCACCCAAGCCACGGTGCGGGGTTGCAGCGGGGTGATGCTCCCCTGTTCCTCCTGCCCGCCTCTTAGGGACGTGTCCTCCCACGCTGGGACCTGCCACCACCCCCCCACCGCCCCCCCCCCCCCAGGCACCTTTCAGCCGCACCAGCTCGTTGTGACACTTCTTGCGGAGCTGCAGCTCCCGCCGGTACTTGCGCAGCAGCTCCCGGTTGGTGCTGTGCACCTCCTCAATGGCCTGGCCGATCTGGGGAGGGGGATGGAGACCAGTGGCTCAGAGACACCCACACCCCACACCCCCCCCCCCCAGCATCCCCCCCCCGCCTGGAGGGCTCCCAGGGGCCTCACCTCAGCCCTGGCGCTCTGCAGTGTCTCCTGGAGGAGCAAGGGGAAGTCGCGGACCTGACGCTTCAGGTTATTGTAGTCGTGGGTGAGGGTGCGCAGCGCCGGCTGCAGCGTCAGCAGGTTGGTCCGGACACCTGCAGGCACGAGGCGGGGTGAGGGGCAGGTGGCAGAACCCACCCCCCCGCCCCCCCCCACCAGCACCAGCCAGGTGACGTGGCGAGCCCCCCCCGCGCCCTCCTCACCCGCCAGGTTTTCATGCACCGCCTTCATCTCCACTTGGGCACGGGAAAACGCCTCTTCGATGGCGCGGTTCTTCTCCTCCTCCATGGCCTGCATCTCCTCCAGCATCTGCCCGTGAGCTCGCTCCAGCTCGGCCTCGTACATCATGATCTGGGAGAGGAGCAGGGGTGGCGATGCTGAGCTGGTGATCACCTGCTGCCGCAGCGCATCTCCCAGCGAGCGGTGGTGCCGATTTACACCCGTTGGGCTCAGACCTGAGCTCGGAGCTGAGCCGCCGTCTTTTGGGAGCTCTGCAGCTGCTGCTCCATCTCCTTCAGCACCTGCCTCTGCATCCCCACCTGCTCCTGCAGATACTGGTTCCGGGACTGGCTCTCACACAGGGCTTGCTTTGCCTTGGCTGACTCTACCTCCACCGTCTTGATGATGTACTGGGGGGAAAAGCACCCAGAGATGGGGTGTACTGGGGAAGCAGCACCCGTGGAGCCTGGGGCAGAGCCGGTGTTGGCCCAGGGGAGTTAATTTCCAAAATCACGGTGTTGCATTGACATGCTCAGGGCATAGGGATGGGTGGGCACAGCTAGGCACCCAGCCCAGCTCCCCTTGCCGAGCTGGGAGAGATGGAGAGCCCCCCGACGCTCACCTTTATCTGCTGGGGCTGGGACTTGAGGCTGGCGATGGTCTCCTGGCTATCCCGCAGCCGCCGGCTGAGCCGCTCCTCCTCCTCGGCTCTCTCGGCCAGGGAGTCCTTGAGCCGCAGCTCCACCTCGGCCAAGCGGTTCGTTTTCTGCTGCACCTCCAGCTCCAGCTCTGCCAGCTTGGCCCGTGCCTCCTCCGCCTCCTGCTGCAGCTGGGACAGCTGCTCCTGCAGCCCAGCGTTCTCCTGGCCCCGAAACAGCACAGCCGAGGCCGTGTCACCCGCGGGTGCCCGTCACCCTGCCGCCGCCGCCGCCACCGGTGACTCACCTGGAGGTGGGTGCAGTCCCGGCACGGCGCCTGCTGCTGCTGCTGCTGCTGCTGCTGCTGCTGCTGCTGCTGCTGCCGCCGCAGCTCCCGCAGCTCCCGCAGCTCCCCCTCGCACACCTTCATCTCCTGCCGCAAGCGCTCGTTCTCCGCTGCCAGCAGGTCCCGGTGCTTCTCCGCATCCGTGCCCCCCTGCCGACGGGGCGGGATGGAAGCCCGATGCACCCCGGAAGGGCCCCAGCCTGCAGCATCAGGGGGACCCCCCCCCCCCACCCTACCACACCTGGGGAGCCCCAGTCTGCTGCGCTCCAGGGACCGCCCCCCATCCTGCCATATTGGGGATCCCCCGCTTTGCTGTGCCGGGGGAGCCCCCTCCTGCTGCACCCCAGGGAGCACCAGCCTCCCGAGGGGCTTTCGCTTCCCCCCAGGACGATGCTGCTGGGGAGCCTTTGCCAGCTGCTCCCCAAGGGCCGCTGGTCACGACACCGCATCGACCAGAAAACCCCACAGATTTCAGCCCTCCGCGTCTCTCTCTTGGCTCGCAGGGCCCAAACCTCCACCCTGGAGAGGTTTTAGTCCTTCTGCGCCCTCCCCGCGTGCACCCCCCCCCGCCTCGGGCACCCACAGCTCCAGCGTCCCTTAGGGCAAGGGTGGCTCAGCCCCAGCCCGACGGCAGCTCACCAGCTCCGAGCGCAGCCGGCTGATCTCCTGCGCCTGCTCCAGGAGCTTCGCCTTCAGAGTTTCAACCTGTCAACGCAGCCAAGGATAAGCGGGAGGCATCTCGTCAGCTTTTGGAGGAGACCCCGTGGTGCCACCCCGGCCTCCGACGGCCAGTCTGGCTTGCACCTTCGTTATGCCTTAATTTTCCACCTCGCTCTGAGCGCCTGATTCACATGAGCTGATTAAAATGAGCGTTAATGAAAGCCTTGCTTCGACCTTGTTCGACCATGGGTATAATTTGTCCATGTTGAGCACTAGCAGAAACCATTATTAAAAAAAAAAAAAGAAAAACAACCAAAACATCATCTTTGGAGAAGTTAAAAAACAAACCTATCCATAATTGTGTTTAAGGAGCCAGAAGCACCTTGTCTTGCCCTGGCAACACAGCTTCGCTTTGCCTTCTCTATTTTTCTTTCTAGGAAAGTTATCTTAGGTGAAAGAGGGAGCAGGAGCTCTGTGAGAAGTCTGCGTGTCCGAGTCTGACAGGAGGACGGGCCCCAGACACCCCATCTGGGCATCTGCCTGGCCCATGGGGACCAGGCTGCCCTCTCTGCAAAACCAGGTGGATTTCACAAATCCTTTAACTTTTTGTGCAGGGCCCAGTGAGGCTCCCCCAGAAATCCGCAGTTATTCAAACTGACAGCCACAGGGTAGTGCTCGGCTAAGGCAGTGGTCTCGTGGGCTGTGTTTTTACAGGGTTTTGCCTGCCTGCTCCGTCCCTCGACCCTGTGCCCAAAAACCGATGGCTGCAGGGCGAGCATTGCCACCTCCCCAAAACTCATCCCGGAGAGAACCGGGCCCGGCCGTGCGCTTCACCCCCACATCCCAGATCCCAGCCCGGCTCCCGGTTTTCCCGTGCCGAGAAGCCGCCGCACCGCCAAACCCCTCTCCCGGACGCAGCAGGCTATTGCCCCATCCCAATAACCAGCTTTTTCTAAGCAACCGGGCCACCGCAGACCATAATTTAGGAACTGCTGATTAACAACAAATGCAGATGTGCTGACACGGTGCTGTAATTAATGACGGTAAGTGATGAAGCCACGCCCTCGCGGAGCCGGCGGCGGGCAGCACCTCCTGTGCGGCCCCGCACACTCGGCAGGGCACGGCCAGGGGTTCTGGGGGGCGAGCCCCCGGCGCTTCCAGCCACGAGCTGGGGGAGGCAGCTGCTCCCTGACGGTGTCAGGACCCCCCCTCCTGCCGCAGCAGGGGTCCTCTCCTCCGGCGGGGGGGCTGAGCGTGCGCTGAGCGAACTAGCCTTGCACCCGAGTGGGAAAACCCCACTGCCATATTCAGTAAGGTAGACTGTTAAGGTATTTTTTTAAAGTATTTTTAAGAAGAGGCGGGGGGATGGAGAAGACAGAGTCACAGCTTGTTACGGGGAAGCTGCCACCCCAGCTGGCCAACGCGCACGCCGGAGCCTGCCCACCGCTCCCCATGCCAGCGGCACCCGAAAATGCCGATGCGCCTCCATCCCCTACCTGCTCGGGCATCTCCAGCTGCATCCCGCTCTCTGGAGGTGACAGGGACTCTTTGGCAGCCGGACCCGGCTCGAGCCACGGCCCAGCCATCCCTCAGCTTTGAAAGTTCGGGTCAGCGCTTCGCTCCAGCCGGCGCCGGCTGCGCTTGCTGCCAAACTGGCCAGCGCAGGGCCGGATCCTGCCGGCGCTCACGCTTGTGTCATGCAGAGCATGCCAACCAAATGCAGGACAATTACCTCCGCCTTTTTGACACCCGTGGAACAAGAAGAACCTGACTGTAACAGCTTCCACAACAGCCACATGCAAATCCCTTTATGAGCAGCTGGGGTTTCCATCTCCCTGGGATGACCCAGGTCCTCGCGCCGAGGATGCAGCCACCCCGGTGCAGGAGATGGTTTTGGAGGGGGGGGGAGGTTCTCGTTGCAGCGGCCAAAATGCTCTCCCCCTTTGGCAGACAACTCCGTGCCTTCACATTCACTTTCCACCTCCAGACTCTCAAAAGTCACTCAAATTAATCTGCTGGGTCGGTCTAACAAGCTTATCTTGCTGCAGCGGCCCTGCGCCGGGAGGATGGATGATTGCCACAGGGCTGCAACCCTGATGCCCAAAGCCCTCCTGCCCGTGTCGCACCCAAGGAGCCGCGTGCCCTCACTGGCGTTATCGCGGTGTCACCGTAACGTCACCCGGGAGGCTGGCAGCCTCACCCCGAGGCAGGCGCGGCCGAAGCCAGCGCGACGGCCACGGTGCTCAGGAGCCCCCGGCTCGTCCCGACGCACCGAGCGGAGAAGATGCTCTGGGATCGAGGTCCTACACTCCTTCCAGGCGTGCCCTTCGCTAACCACAAAGCCACAGACCCCAACAGACCCCCTCGTGTCCCCCTCTCCCCCCACCATACCTGGCCTTGCAGCTGGAGAGAGCGGGAGAGCTCGTCGTTCTCCCGGGCAGCGAGCTTCTCCTGCAGCCCCAGCAGCTCCTCCTGCAGCCGCAGCTTCTCCTCCTGCAGATGTGCCATGGAGGCCATCACCTTCTGGATCACCGGGAAGGGCCGTGCCGCCGGCAGGCCGGCACGTTTCCCACCGCAGAGCCTCCCTCCTGCACGGGAGCAAGGATGGAGCCGGTCAGGAGCTGGGCGCCTCGCTGGGGAGGAGGGTGGCAGCTACGGGAAGGGTCCCCAGGGGCTGCGGCGGAGATGGGACGGCGGGAAGCGGCACTTGCAGAAGTTCCACAAAGAACAGAGGCGTGCCCGCAGGTGCATCCCGAGCTCCGCAGCGCCGGCCGCAGCCGGCCAGGTTATGGGTGGGGGTCCGGGTGGGTGAGCCCCTCCGGGGGAGGGTGGGAACCGAAGGGATCTGCCGATGCCAGCAGAGCATTCCCAGGCTGTAACACGGGGTGCCTGCCCATGCCACCGTGCTGGGACCCGGCCCCGTCACACGCCGAGATGCTGCCACCTCACTCAGATAACAACCGCCTGCATCACAGTGCTCTGATTCATCCCAGCATCCTTTTTTCTGAATGAGCAGGTGCCGGTGGAAAACCAGTATGTGATCACGTTATTAAAGACTGCATCGTTACACACAAATATAATGGAAGCCAAATTAAAATTATATGGGTACCCTGAATGGCCGTATTGCCTAATGCTTGCGCGTTTGGCTTTCTAACCGTCCTGGTATTATTTTAAACATCGTTTTCTGTGTGCTAATAGAGCCACTAGTGCTGACAGAGCCAACCTGGCCGTACATCAGAGCTTAGCAAATGAATCCCTAAATGACTTGGTAGTTACCAAGAAGAAATGAGCTGGCCTGACTCACTCCCGATGTGGGGATGAGGCACCATGGCTGGTGAACTGGTGGCCGGGATCCCAGCTGCCCGGCGCCCTTCCCTGCCTGCCGTGGATTTCATCCGCTGCCACCAGAAACCTGAGGTTTCAAAGGCAGGAGGTGATGCTGGGAACTGCTGCGCTGCCTGCAGGCAGATGCTGCCTGCTTTATGGGAAATGTCCTGAATACAAGAAGCAAGACTTTTTTGTCGGTGAGTCAGACTTTCTACCTTTTAAAAGAGCCAGAAGAGTGGGCAAAAAGGGAAACGCTGGGACGAAACCATAGCTCTGCTGTCGACTGCCTGCCACAGGACTTATCTGGCAAAGTCTGCAGAAGTGATTGCCAGAGGTTGTCTTCCTGCCTTGGGCTGGATACCCTGAAAGAGCACCAACGGGCACTGGCTTTTCTTTTCTTTCTGTGCAAAAAACCTCATCCCAGCTCAGGTGGGTGATTGTGATGTTCCCTTTAAAAACAACACATACAAAACCCACCCCAAAACTCCTAAAGTTAATGGGAACCCCAGCTCTCGCCTCCTGGGGAGTGTGCAGGGATAAGAAGATTACAGGAGGCACCAGGCCTCCTGCAGAAACACCGGGTGTCTGCACACATCTTCCACGGAAATCCTGGGCTGGGACTGAGGGCAGAGCCAGGCTCAAAGCCACAACACCCAGCTGCAAGCCAAACTGCCAGGCAGGGGTGATCCCACATGGATAACATGCTCCTCCTAGCTCCAAGAGCTTCCTCCTGCAAGAGCATCCCCGGGAGAGGAGATGCCGGCCGGACCCGCGCGACATCTACCCCTAAACGTGGGGTCTGAGCACGGCAGGTGTGGCACGCTGACCCTCCCATCTTCCAAAACGCTTTGAAAGCTGTTTGGAAAGGCGTCCGTTTCCACGGCTCTGCCCCGTTACCACACAGACTCCCTTCCCCCTGCATCCCTGCCCCTTCCCACCACCAGGCACCCCCTGCACTGGGAGCTGCTCGGGGATGCAGCCAGGGACCACGCCAGGAGCAGCTACTGGGATGAGCCCTGAGAAGCCCAGACAATTCAGTCCTGACGGTGAACAACAAGAAACCATGGGGATTCACTCACCCCAGTGCAGCCATGGACACTGCAAGTGTTTCCACAAATGTTATACTTCCCTTCTGAGGGAGGAAAGCACGGTGGGTTTGCTGGTGCTCACTTGCTCCGTTCACCTGGTTAAATAATTCACCAGTCTCCTGGTGTCACGCGACAGCTGGCTGGTGTTTGATTTCTACCAAGACCCGAGCCGGGGCGGGGGGGTGAGCGCAGCCACGTGTCTATGTGCACCCCAAAAGAGGAGAAATCCCCCCAGTACCCGCCAGCAGGTCCCGGGGGCCCATCCCATCCCGTCCCTCCTCCCGAGCACCCGCCAGCCGCATCCCGGTTCCCCCCTTACCTGCTTTCTCCAGGTTCATGGTGGAGGCTGCCGGCACCAGCACGGCGGCAGCCGCCGGCTCGCGGGGGGACGCTGGCAGCTCCTCGGCGCCCGGCGCCGGGGCCCGGTGCCGCCTCTCCTCCCGCCGCTCGCCCACTGCCTCCCGCAGAGCCTGCGTGCCCGAGGAGAAACAGGGTGGGGAGCCGAGATGGATCGAATGAGCACTTGGAGGGGGACACAGGGCCAGCAGCTGGGGGTGCACCGGGCTGACCGGGAGGAACGAGCAGGGAGGAGGTTGCAGGGGGACGGGACAGCAGGACCCGGGGAAACCCTCCCTCCACGGGGTTTCGGTGTTGGGGAGCTGCCACAATGAACTTCTCGTGTTGCTTTTAGTTCTCCCAATAAACAACTCCTTCCCTCAGCTTGGTCATGCAACTATACTGAATATCAGCTATTTTGCTCTCTATGGCCTTAAAAAAAAAAAAAAAAAAAAGACCTTGGCTTGCAGGCAGGGTTGAATGTGAAGTTGCTCGCTGGTGAGCCGTGGCTCAGGTAATGCCACGCTCCGTGGGAGGGAGCACAGCTCCAAAAAAAAAACAAAGAAATCTGGAAGGAAGGGAAGAAATATAGGGGAAAATCCCAAATTTCTGTATGTACTGTATCTATCCCTGGCTTGCAGGGAAAAAAAAAAGAAAGCTTTTATCACTATTTTTAAAAACCTCTACGGCATGGATGCTGCTACCGCAAAGCTGAGCTGCCAATCGGCCGAGCTCGCAGAACCACTCCCTGCCCTGCTCAAAAGTGTCGTTTTGTGTTTTTATCTCAGAGCCCATGGCATCACCCCACAGGCCAGCGATGTCAGGGAAACCTGGCTTGTCTCAGCGGAGGGGTGAATACTCGGTACATGCCAAATATTTCTGAGAGTAATTTGGAAGGAGGTGGTGGCAGCATCCTCCTGGAAGAAGCCGCGTGTCTGCGGTGCCTCTACATTTGAGACTGCAGGAGGGTTTTGCCAGAGGGAATTCATCAAGGCTGGTGTGAGATAAGAAGGTGTTTTCCTTCTTTTCAAAGAAAGGGAATTTAAATGATTTGCCTGAAGCCCAGAATGAACTGGTGGCAGCAACACCAGTACACAGTGTCCTGACACTGTCCCTGGCCACGGTGGTGTCCCTCCTCCATTCCACTGGCTAACACCATCTCATGGCACTGTATTTTCTTATCACCCTTCTGCCCTGAGCTCTCCTGCCTACGTGACCCAGAAGTGACCCAGAAAAGGTTATTCCGGACTGTTCCCTGGCATTTTTCAAGGCCTTCCAACTTCCTGGAGATGCTCTTCCCTCCCCACCCAGGCAGCAGCTCTGCTTGAGGCGCACGGCGCTGGGGCCAAGGAGGAAACTGGCTGCGGTGATGGGGGGAACCCGCCAGCTCCCACCGAGGGACGGCCTCGCAGGGTGTGGGGCACCCTTCCCAGCACCCCAAAAATGCCCTCCCACCGAGTCAGGGCCGGCTCAGCGCTCCTCACCTGGAGAGCCAGGCAGAGCCCACGGGGGTTTGCAGCGTTCGGGCAGCTCACGCTGAGGATTTTATGGTGAACCAGCGCAGGCAGCAGAGGAACCTGGGGAGAGGCGTCTGATCCGCTCCCGGTGACGAGCGAGTCCTGCCTGCAGCCTGAGACGGAGCGAAAAGCATCACTGGATCAACCCGAGACCCCAGGGTGGACGCAGCCTTCAGCCTCACTCAACAAACCCAGCTCCTCCTCCCCGCTGCTCCCACTGCACCAGTGCAGTGGAGACGGCGCAGGAGTTTTATTAAAAATGTTAATTATGTTAATTACGAGAAATTAGCCCTTCTGGGGGTGGAGACTGGTTGCCAACGACTAGTAATGAGAATTCAAGGTGTAGCATCTGTCTGTCCTCTGCAGGACCCGATCCGTCTGCCCTCTGGGGACATCCCACCCCTGCCCCTCACCAAGCTGCTCTGCTTCCCACGACCCTACCTGGGAAAAGCTGCCAAAGCCGCCTTGCATCACCGAAACCGGGTGGACAGACCCTGCCAGCGTCACCTCCTGCCGCTGCCCCCAAATATTTCCTTTATTTGTCATGCAGCCAAACCCAAAAGCAGATAGGGCAGCAGTTCCCTGCCCTTCTGAGCTGCTCAGAAGGAAAACAGCATCTCAAAGAGCTTTTTTCCCGTGGCTGTATCCACCTCTGCTATGGAAAAATTGGCTGGGGAGAGCTACAACCTGATGGGAACTGCTTGGGGACCCTGTGCCCCCTTTCCACTTGCCTGCCACAAGCTCTGCCACCAGCGTGGGCAGCCAAATGGCTTCTCCAGCAGGCAGGAAAAAAAATCAACGACCCGCACATAGTACCACTCTAATGCAGTTGGTTTTTTGTTGTTTTTTTTTTTTTTTTTCCCCCCTAAAATCATCCAGAGGCGTTTGGGCCTGATGGGGAAGCAGCGTCTGGAGGGAGACGTGCCCTGACGAAGTCAGTCCCTCGCTCTGGACTTCTTCCCAGGCTGTGATTAGCCATAACCTTTTGCGTGTGTTGTGAAAATCGAGCGTTTCCAAAGCACACTGGCGGATGCCCAGATAAAAGGTGATGAGTTCCCCATCCCAGCAAGGGCAGCCAGCAGCAGCCGCCGGGCAGAGCAAGTACTGAAAAACCCCGGTTTTGAAGGCTTTGATGCCGAACAGTGTTTGGCTGGGCTGGCCCGGATGCCAGGGAAGAAGCAGCACTCAGATAAGCGGCTGCCAGCACACAGAGAACACGGAAGCCAACCGCAAAAAAAGCCCAAATGGGGGGGTTCAGCCACCCCCCTTTGCCGAAACCCATCCAGCACCACCAGCGAGGGAGGTAGGTAGGGCTGTTGCCTGACAAGCAGCTGCAGGTTGGGGCAAGCAGTTGCCCGCCCGCCTGCAAAACAGCTCAGCCACTGCAAGAAAAGCCCTCAACTAAACTCACCTACGGGGTAGTGCAGCGGGGAGAGATAAGAAGCCCTTCCAAGGAGTCGAGGCCAGGGATAAGCGCGGGCCACGCGTCTCAGTTGCCATGCGTATCGCTCTATTTTCTCTCTTACATGTTAAATTTTAACCCTTCTCCCTAAGCTTCCCCTTCAGAAGGGCCAGGAGGGAGATGGAGGCAGCCCCCTCTGCTCACCCCCGCCGGCTGCCTGCTGCTTTGCGCTCTCTTCTGAGCCTCCCGTTTCTCAAATCCCAAGCTTCATCCGGAAAGAAATGTGAAAAATGCAGGCTGGCCTGTTCCCTGCCTCTCCTTCCCCACTCGTGAGCAAGGGCGGGAGCGCAGCAGGCTGAGCCCCAAGGGAAAAGGACAAGCCACTCACCGTCCGGGGGAAGGTCCTTTGTCTTCCAGGCGGCTCTGGCGGGGGGCATGGATCCCAGATCCCAGGTTCGGCGGGTTGTGATCATGGCACGGGGGTCCCGAGCACAGTGACACCTCTGAGGAGAAGCACAGGGGAAGACATCGCAGCCCTGCCTCGGTTTCCAGCCCTGACAGCCCAGGGATCTGTGCTGGTGCAAACCATGGTGGCAACGCCGTCCCCGACTCCCAGATCCCACGGAAAGTTGCATCAACCCCGATTTCACACCCGGGGCGCCGAAAACCCCGAGCTCCCAGCGGATGTGACATAAACCGTGGCTGTAATTAATCTACTCATTCCTGAAGCCTTTCCAGGCTCCTCCTAACTGCGAATTGGGGGTTATTTCTGTATTAACTCCAGGAGCTCGGGCAGCTCCGGGGCCGGGCCGGCAGCGCCCCCCCCCCCCCGCCCGCTGCCCGGGGCCGGTACCGGGGGTGCCCGGTCGGGGCGCGGGTCCCCGGGTGCCGCCCCGCCCGCCGCGGGGGGGGGGGGGGGGGGGGGGGTTCTCGCTCTCCCCAACCGGCGGTCGCGGTGGCGGCTCCGGGCCGCGGGGGGGGGGGGGGGGGGTGACACCGTGACACCGGACCCGGTCCCGGTCCCACGCCCCGGAGCGCAGGAGGCGCAGTACCACCCCGCGTCCCTCCGGTACCGGTGCCGGGGGGCAAAGGCGCCGGCAACGCCCCCGCCCCGCCGGTCCCGGCGCCGATCCCGATCCCTGAGCCGGTGCCGCCTAACGGGGAGCCGTGCTCTCGCCGCCGCCCTGGGCGCCCCCTCAGACAAAGGGACCCCCGGCCCAGCCGGGCTCACGCCCCCCGCCCCCCCCCCCCCCCCCCGCCGGGGGTGCCGGTGTCGCCCCCGCGGGGCCACTCACCGGCCGCGGGGCGGTGGCGGCGGCGGGAACCGGCGCCAGCCCCGGCCCCGCCCTCCCGGGCACTTTGGTAACGGAAACGCCGAGCTCCGCCCCGCTCTCGTTGCCACGGAAACCCGCGAACCGCCCCCCCCCCCTCCAACCCCCCCGACGGGCGGCGGAGGCGGGGCTCCCCTCCCCCCCTGCCCCGGGCTCGGGGGGGGGGGGGGGTGGACACGGCATCGGGGGGCTCCCGGTGCACCCCCACCCACTCTTACCGGAGCCCTGGGAAGCTCAGGACAGGCCCGGTGTTACCCTGGCCCTTCCCTGGGGGTCCCGGTCCCCCCCCCCCCCCCCATGAAGCCCCTTGTCAGTGTCCTGGGGGGACCTCCTGCTGTGTCCCCGGTACCCCCGCTGTGTCCCTTGGCCCTTCCCACCCCAGTCCCGGTGCTCCTTGGGGAGCTTCGGTGAACCCCCATCCTGCCTGCACACCCCACCCGGCACAGCTCCCGGGGCGGGGGGCGGGAGGGTCCAAACCCCGGCAGAGCCGCGCCTGCGGGGCTCTTCCCTGGGGGGCGATGGGGACAGAGCCACCAGCACCACTAAGAAGGTGACCGTGGTGCTGCTGACCCGCACGCCGAGGCCCAGAGGTGACAAACGGTGCCCTTGCCCTCTGCCACGTCCCCAAACGCCCGGGCATCAGCTGCACCCCCGCCGACCGGCCCCCCTGGGGTCCCAAGATCCAGATTTCACCGGGAAAACAACTTGTTTCTAACCCGCGGGCAAGAAGAAAACAGCACAACGTGCCCCGAGACCTCTCCAAAGGCCCTGGTGTCAGAAAGAGTTCTGCTTTAAATATAATTTATACACATTTTTAGGGTGTGATTTGTATCTACCTCTCTGTATTGCACATACAATCATTATGTTAATGCCTGGTTTGGGTGACACATGTTACTCATGAACTTGTTCATGGTAATTAACTGGCAGTACCGGATATTTCCCACAACAAAACTTGGCACTGGTGGTGACGGCGGCGGCGGGTGCCCCGTGCTGATGGCTCACGTCCACACGCCTGACGTCAGGCTGACCCGTGGGGCGCGTGGGTCCTGCCCGGGATCGGGGGCGCAGGGGGGCTGGGCCCTTGGGAGGTGCAGGATTGGTGCTGCGGGGCTGAGCGGGAGGAGGCTGTGCCCGCCCTGGAGCGTGCTCCCCCTCGGGCCAGAGGTCCCTCACCTCCCACCCTGCTGTGCTCGGTCACGGCCTTTCGCTGACTCCTGGCCGGGTTTGGAGCAGGATTTGGCCTTGTCCTTTCACCCCGGCACCTCCCTCCTGGGTATCCTCAGAGACTCCCCCAGGACACGCCGCCCCATCCCTTGCCACAAGCCGGCCCCACGGAGAGGGGTGACAGAGAGTCACCAAGGGGGGACAAGCCACTCCAGCCACTCACCCCAGGGCGAGGGGGCTGGGACGGGTCACCTCTTTGTCCCCGAGCCCCCCGAAGCAGCGCCCCGTCCCTGAGAAGCAAATGCCATGGTGGCCCGGCAGCTGCCTCCAGCTCTGCACCGCGGCTGCCTTCCCCCCGCAGCCAGCGCAGCAGAAAAACCCGGGCGAAAACCTCCCAAAGCGGCGCCTCCCTTCCCCTTCCCTTGAGTGGAGGGTTTGGCGTTCCCAGCACAGAGCCCTCGGCGTGGACGTATGTGTGGGCATGTGCCTATAGACACACGTATATATGTACATATCTGTACCCACGGAGGCCCTCAGCAGTTGTGCTGATTTGCATAAATACCCAACCATCCATGCAGCTCCTTCGGCTAGTTTGGTGACAACACAACACACATAAAGTTCCTTTCTACTTTCTGATAGCAACTGCAGTGTCATATCATCACTGACTTCACTTATGAGCTGTAAGGGTAAAATAAACGTCTATGTAAATGGCTTTAACTGGAAAGTAATTTCCTGGCTTTCGAATGCTTCAGGTTTTTAATAGTATTGCAATTATGCAAGGCACGTAAGTTGTATCAATTACATCAAATAAGTCCAAATTAACCAGGCATATGTGTGAAGCCCCCAGTTTAGAAAAATAACTTAATGAATAAGCATGGAGCAAAATTTGAGATGCGGAAGGGGTTTTGCGCCAACAGCCGTGTTTGAATAGTCACCTGTGAGCGCTTGAAAAACCCACCCTCCGAGCTGCGGGGCTGATTTTCAGCAAGCACAGCGCGGCTTTCCAGTATCCCCAGGGCACCAGGGACAGGCTCCCCAGAGTGGGGTTATTTGGGTTCGGCCGTGTGCTGGGGCCCAGCGCCAGCTCCCTTTCCCCGCAGCCGTGATGCTGTTCAGCTGAAGGGAGTGCTGTAAATCCCAGGGGATGCCCACCCGCTGCCGGATGGGCTGGGGGGCTCACAGCCTCCTCCCCACAGGGGTTCACCTATGCCGGCTGGGATAACCTCAGCCCGGTCCCCCCAGCGATGCTCCGGCCCTCCTTTTCTTGGATGTCACGTCTCCGCGACCTGAGCAAGCAGGGGCTGACGACATCGCTGAAGGTATTTTTAGCGACGCCGCTTTGCAGGCAGGCAGAGGAAAGGCAGCAAGCGGCGGGGCTGGCCGCCAGCGGCACCCCTCTGAGAGCAGGTAGCGGGGAGGCTTGACATATCCACAGCCATCGCCCCGAAACACAGCCGCCCTCCGCAGACGGCACCAGCCCACCCCGGGGCACGCTGCCGGGGGACGAGGACCCCGGTCCAGGTTTAGCAATTTGGTTTTAGCCCAGCTGTAGCCAAAAAGCATCGCTGTTGCGACGCTGTGAAGCCAGGTAGGTTAATTCGCCTTTTACGTGGATGAAGGGAAGCTCTAGCCATCGAAACATGTTGCTGAGTGGGGCCTTTTGCATTAGGCATTTGTTCTGCCCTGAGCAAATATTTAACCTACATCTGTAAGACTGCTAAAACATCCCCCAAATCCCAACAAAAATTTAACTCCTTCACGTCCCTTCAAGCAACCCAATAACCTAGTCCAAGAATGCAGGCAGGAGCATACCTGAAGCTTCTTCTATATTGGGATGTTCCCTGTAGAAAATTCCCACCAGAAGCACCAGACATCGTGAGAACGTGTCCCCAGAGCACAATTAATTATAACCCAGCTCATTATTCTAATTTTGCTCCTCCTTGAGGAGGTGAGGGGATTTCTCGGCATTGCTGAGGCACGGTTTGCCAAACTGACATGAAACACTTACCAAAGCAGGAATGAAACCCCCGCGTTCCTACATTGCCGTTTCACGCAAAGATAGGAGTTTTAATTAAGTCTTAGCATGCTCCTGAGAAATTTAATACTCATTTTAAAGTTCACCAACTGAATTAATTCAGCCCGGAGGCTCCGATCCTTGAGATAGGGTTGCGTTGGGCTGGGTGGGGAGCGGGAGCTGGGGAGGGGTGTTGCAAGGATCGCTGTCTACATCAGGCACGTTGGGATGCTGCCGGCCTCGGCAGCAGCTTTCGATGGTGGCGGGGGGGCTCGGCAGGTGCTGGGCTCAGCCCCCCTGGCCAAAGCCCGTGAGCTGGTTCGCCCAGGTTTGGGCTGCCAGGGTGGGAGGGAGCAGCCCAGGGCAGCACAGAGCCAGTCCAGAGCCAAGGAGTCAACTGGTCTGGCCGGGAGCTGCTGCACACCATGGCTCGGCTCTGCCTGTGCTCCCCCCCCCCCCCGCCCCCCCCCCCCCGTGCAAATCTCTTTTACGTCAAGCAAATGACAAAAGTGACATCTTTTTCAACCTGCTATATTGAGGGAGAGAAAGACTCTACAGCCTACATTGCAACGCGCACACAGTCAGGGGAATGTGCTGCCAGATGTTGCAGCCATCGGATGGGTGGTTCTTCCACCTCTCTGAATTTCCTACCTCGGACTGCGCTGCAGAGCCGTCTAACCAAAACTTCAGCCTCTGTGTCTTCCTTTTACCTACCTTTTCTCTTCGTCATATTTTTCAGCTGGCTTCAGGTACGACTTGGGCTTGGCGTTAATGCTAAGCAAAGCACCACCGGGCTCATCCTGCCCCATGCTGGCTGCTGGGGAGCTGGGAGCAGCTCTGCGGGAGGACCGCAGCTCACCTGCTAAGTCATTAATTTTTCATGGCATCAACCAATACGGGCTCCTCCTTATAAAGCACTTCTTAGAAACGAGGCTAAGAATAAGCACGATGTGTCCTGCCCAAGGCTAAAACCACCCTGTTGGCTGGGGGATGCCCGTGCTGGTTTGAGCAGACCCAGCAAGAAGGCAGCTTGATACCATGTAAATTCTAGTCAGGACATTTTATCCAGCAAATAAAAATTAAAGTTGTACTGGAAAGATTGCTGCATCTCAAGCAGGAGGCCCAGGAGGATCTGGCCAGCGCTAACAGGGCATCCTTGGGACCCTCTGCTCAGGGCCGTGGGTGATTTCTGCAATTCTTTTTAAATAAAAAAAAACATGTGAAGATAGAAGCTGCAGGTGGGCAACTGGGATTTTTTCAGAGTTTTGCTACTTTTGCCACTCATTTCTTCCTTGAAGCCAAGCCCCTGCAGTGCCACTGAGCCCCTTACTCCGGCTGAGTGACGCAGGTAACAGGGTGTGCAAGGACAGGGCTCAGTGTTCCTTTGCACAGGCAAAAGGGATGGGAGCCACCTCCTTTAAAAATTACATTCAGTTTTCAGCAAAACCATTTGTTTTTAGTGCCCTCCAATGTGTGCTCAGCTTTGGAGAAGAAATGAAGCAAAAGCAGGAATTCTGAATAATTTAGGCAATAGAGTTTTGGAGCTGATAAAAGAGGCCATGCCATGCTGGGGGGGTGCTGAATGAGTGCAGAGCTCCCTAATAATATCCAGTTAGTTTAGGTATGGGCACAGGTAAATCAGTAAGAACCTCTACAGGGAAGAGGGAAATACCCCTGCGGTCGTCAAGTAAATGCAACCATGTAAAGGAAAATACTGTGATGGCAGGTAATCCACAAGATGGACTCAGCTGAATCCCAATTGCAACGTGAAAGCTGCACCCGACAAAGAGACGAATACACAAACAAGGTGGGATATTCTCTGCTGGAATTAACCAGCCTTCCCACTAACTGGCTTCGGCTGCTCGGCATCGAACTGTCTGCAGATGCCCGCCGGGAGTTCACCCTGGCACGGGTACAGCTGTGCCGGTGCTGCCGCCCCGCAGAATTTTCGCTTGCCCGAGGGCTGCTCAGCGGCCACGGCCCAGCCGCTCCCCTTGCCCCTCCGTGCCGGGGCGCCGGCGGGCGTGGGCTGCTGTACCACCGCCCCTCCGCGCCTTTGACACCCAAATCCCTCCACAGCGGGACGGAAACATTGCCCTCCCATGCATTATTGACACCTGGTGTAGATAACGGATCTCCCTACGCCCGCACCGACGCCACAGCCCAGAGCCCCTGCCGCGGCGGTGCCCGCGCCAGCTCCCGGGTCCCTGGGCAGAGTCCCTGGGCCACAGCCCGGGGGGGGTTGGCACCCGAGCCCCCCATTTCCCCCATGCCTCGGGGATGCTCCCACCACCTCCCCGTGCTCCTGGGAGAGCTCTTCCCCGCTGGTATCTTCCCCGAGCTGGAGTGGGCCAGCCCACCCAGTACTACCACAGCTTCCCGCTCAACAAGGAGAAAGGCTGGGGTCTTTCAAGTTTAACTTACTGAAACATATTTCATGGTGGTTTAATTGCTGTGGACCCAACTGGGACCGCGTTCTCCTTTTTTTTTTCTTCTAAGGTATAATTGAGATTGTGAAGAAAACTGCACTCAATTAATAGGAAGAGTTGCCAAAGAGATCCGTGAATCTACCCACCAAAACTTTACAGGGAGAACTACTTTTCCTCTTAAAACTTAACACACAAATAGATGCACAGCTACCACAGAAACACATCCTGTTTGAAAACAAAAGCAAAATTTCTTGTTCCCGAGTTGATGCTTCAAAGACTTTGTTCTGTCTCAGCAGACTACCGAATTGAAAACTGCAAATAAAGCGCCAGGATCTGCTCTCAAAGCAGGTTTTACACCTAGCAAGGGCCTTCTGCTTCTCGGCTAAGCCAGTGTAAGCTGGGGAGACAATCAAAGGAAATGTTAAATTCCAGCCTCCTGCCGAGGTTTAGAGAAAACAGAGCAGCATGGCGCTGTGCAAGGCTATTTTAGAAAAGAAAACTTTTACATCTACGCCCAATGAATATTAAACAGCCACACGCTTTGGCTCTGCTGCCTGTGCCCGGCACTGTGTGAGCACATTTAATTTGTCTTTATGAAGAGGAGCAGACCCACACCCATATTTTTATGCATATGCCTTAGAGATGAGCGGGCTGTGAAGGGTGAACCTGAGTCCTCTCTGCCAGGAGATCCCTTGAGCAATCACTCACAACTGGAAAAACGAGGACACATTAAGGAAAATCCAGCAGCACAGTCAGGACAGTTTATGCAGACTAATGTGGAATAACTGCCAGCTTGCTGCTTTTTTTTTTTTTTTTCATGCAAACTTCCTGAACTTTCAGGTCTATTTGGGGATCCTAGGGAGGTGTCAAGTGGAAAAATAGGAGGGGGATGGAGGAAGAAATGGTACATGAGGCAGGACCGAGGCATGCCAGGGCGCTCAGCATCCCAGGCCGGGTGGAACTGGGGCTCTCCAGGGCTCACATGTCTCTCTATTCAGTTACCTTCATCTTCCTCCCACCAGTCAAAAAGTGCTGCTTAATTAACCCCTTGGGAAACAGCAGCAGCAGAAATACAGAATCTGTGTACAAATATCTGGACACATTTCATGAAAACGACTCCAATCCAGATGCATTTTGCTGGTTTTCAGCCCCAGCCTTTGCTTTTGATGGAGACCCTGCCCTGCTTGCCCCCCAGCCCCAGCCCACCGCTCTCACCTGCGAGCCTGGCCAGGCCAACCCTGGTCCTGGGCGCATTTTTTGGAAGCGTCCTCCTCCACGGGCCAGTCTCTGCATGGTGCCTGCGAGCGGACAGAAATACCCCCCGAGGCCGCTGCGCTCGCCCTCCTCGCCGCGGGCAGGGATGCTCTCGGCAGCCCGCACCCCACTCCTCTTGCTGCTCCCCTTGCTCCAGCCCTGCACCGACAGTCCTGCCAGCGCACACAGTGCATGCATGGCTCGACACAGCCCAGGAAGGGGTGCCGAGCTCCGGGTCTAGCCCGTGCAGACCCCTGCTGCAAACCTCCCTAGGGCCCTGGGAGCAAGCCGGGCTGGCGTGGCCGATGCCGGCAGCAGCTCCCTGGGGTGGGCTGCCTCACCGTGCTCTTCCACACATGGTGCTACGCGGCCGGCACGCTGGCGCTGAAAAATCGTTGCCTTTTCATCAGAGGCTTTGTCAGCTCCATCCCAATCTCAGCGGTCCCTGGGTGAAGCCCCCCTTGCAGTTCTCCTCTTCCCTTGTTAAGGACCAGTAAATGTTTTTATAAAGATGGTCCGGAATGGTGCCTGGTCCTGGAAGCGTCCCAGCAGCTGACGCAGAGCCGGGGTGGCAGGACCCCCCAAGGAACGCTGCAATTGCTGCCAGCCCCCCCCCCCCCAGCAAGCGAGGTCGAGGATGGCTTCCCACACCCAGCAACAGCTTCGCCGCTCAATTTCTCAGCCCGCAAAAACCTCTGGTGGCTCTGTCCCGTCTGTAACCAGAGACAGAAAAAGCAACGTCCCCTCTACTCCCATCTGCCAGTGCATTAAGAAAATGAGAGCCGATTAAAGTCCGTCCCCTCCTGAGCACCACTGGTCCCAGGCAAATTGCTGACACAAGCTATTTAGTACCACTGGCAGATGGGGGGACTTTTGTCCTTCTGCAAACATCCAGATTTAGGTGGGTTTGGGCTCGCTCAGATCTGCTGCTCTGAGCTTTGGCTATAGTCAGAAGAAGTGGTTCAATTTCATAGAACGAGTGCATTAATTAGGTTATTTTTTTTTTCACATTACCTGTTAAAAGGTTGGCTCAGGCAGTGCTTTCCTTGCAGACCTGCTTCTCCAGTGCACACTGCACGAGGATGCCGGGATGGGAAGGGAAGGAGCTCAGAGGAAATTGCTCCTGTGTGCCCACCCCACCTCACTGACCTGCACTGGCCAGAAAGACCCCACAGCAGCAAAAAATTTCCCGTTTCTTGAGGCAGGCAAGCTGGAAAGCCCCATTTCCCTCCCGTTAACCTCCACCTGTGAGCACTTTCTAGAAGGCAGCCAAGAACAGTAAAACCGGGGAGATTTGCAAAATAAACAATGATCAAACGCAAAGACCTCGGTTCCTGCTCTGGAGGGCGTCTGCCAAGACACACAGATCGTATCAGGCTAATTTACAAAAGGAAAACCACCCTAATTAGTGTTCAGGAAAGCACTTTAATGAGAAGTGCTTTAGTGTAAAAAGTGAGAGCACCAAGAGGTCAAGCCGTTCCTAAATGCCAGAAAAACAGGAAAAGGGACAGAGCCAATCTCTGCCCACCCAGGCTGCAGCACCATTTTTTCACTTTTAAAAGTAATATTTCAGGTAACTAGTGAGGAATTTATAAATCCCAAAGCCTAACACCTAGTGACAGGGCAGAAACACTGTACACGATATACTCTGAGCATCATAATGCCAGATGTGACCAGCTTACCCTGGGGAGGGCTAGGCAGCCCTCTCATACATCTCCCCTCCTTTTTGGGGCATAGCATAGGTTTTATGGCTGGAGTTTCTCTTTGCAAAGGGGAGACCAGAAGCCCTGTCAATGCTACGAAACCCATCTTGCCGGCGGCTGTGACAGCTAGTAACCATGGCAACGGAGAGATTTTTTTTTTTTTTCACGTGATATTGGTATTTCTGCAGCACAAAAGAGCCTTTTATCTAGAATGAGTAACTAGTCTGGCTGGTCTTCATTCCTCCAGTTACTGCTAAGGCAGAGCAGCGCGGCATGGCCCGTGGGCTGCTCATCCTGGGGCGAATTTGGACCATCCACAGGGAGACCCCTGGGCCGGGACGTATGGGAGGGTCCCGAACGCAGAAGGATGCTCCCATGGGCACTGCAGCGCTGGGAGGCAGACCCGGCCCACCGCCTCCTAACAGTTAAAGCTGGAAAGGGAGCAGGGGCCGTCCCGGTGAGCTCAAGCTTGCAAAGTGAGCGTCTGCAGAACGTGTGAAGCACCTTGGGCCGTGCTGTCCCCTGGATGTCACAGCCCACAGCTGGTGGGATGTCCCCTGGCTACCCCCATAGCACCCCCACAACCTGGTTTATCTCACTTCTCCGGCTGTTTACATTTCTCCCCCAAATTCCTTCCAATTTATCCAAGAAAACAGTTTCTGGACTTTAACTGATTGACTTTCAGCTCTTCTCATGCATCAGGTGACTTCTGAAAGCATAAAAACATGCATGAAATAACGTAGGTATCTAGGCTTTACTTCTTCAAATGACTCAAACCCAGCTCGCTAGATATTGCTCAGATCTCCCTAAGACATTCACCCTAGGGCACGAACCAAAGCTGGAAAGTTTCATCCCAAAATAAGAATGTATAAATGAGGAAAGAATGAGGAAAGGAAAAATGTCATCCAGCCCGAGCTAAGCCTAAGCTGCTGTTAATAAATGCTGGTGTGGGCACCTGTCAGCTTGTGTACCTCTGTGTGACTCCCTCCCAAATGGTGGTCTGGCTTTTTTTTAGGGTGTCAACTCCAGTGGGACCATTACTGCACTTAAAAGGAGCTGTGTGCTCAGGGCAGAGAAAACCAGGCTCATATTAGCCCCATTTTAGAGGAAGGTAAAGGGATTCAGGGGTATTTAATTGCAACCATGACTCAAAGCAGATCTACACAATGGAAGAAAAAAAAAATATATATATAGGTGGAAAAAGTGGTTTGCAGACTGTTCCCAGAATTAGGAACATGTCCTGCTGGTTAAGATCTCCAGGTTTCAAGGTTAAAGTGCTTAATTTTATTTCAAGCTTTCTAATTAAACACCATTCAACTGGGCTTTCCATTTATTCTGCAATTTCTTTCTGGACCCGAGCCTAATCCCCAAACCTGCTTATTTGTTTTTACTTTCGTTATAACCTTATCAGCGATTAACCTGAAATTACACTTAATCTTTTTAAAAGATTGCTTCAACTATAAATACAGAGAAGCTACCTGCCCTGTTTCTATCCAGAGGAAAACAACTTCCTCCACAGTCAGATGTCTATGGTGGGTTATATTATTCCTTTTTTAAGTTTTGTTTTTTTTTTTTTTTTGTTGTTGAAGACATTGGTCTTCTCTAATGTCTTACAGAACATTAGATCAGTATCACTATTCTGAAAGACGTAACAGCACAGGACACAAGGAATATGACTACACCTCCAGCACAAAGAGTATATATAAATATTAAAAAGTACCTATCTAGATATAAAACCAGTATATATAGAGCCTCCAATAAAGATGGTACTTGAGATAGTGAGGCAAAACCTAACACATTAACAAACATGCAACAACAGCAACCTCTACTTCTTCCTTCAGCAGTTATCCATTCCACTTATTTCACTCAAAAGCAGCAACAGCTAAAGCACTGTTGCAAGAAAACCTGGTTTCTATGACTATGGACCTCTGAGAAATCTATTAATCAGAAATATAAATCAGGTGGAAGACTGCAATGCAGAATTTCTAGGGTGCTGGATGGGCAATAAGCAACTGCCTAAGAAGATCCCCCAAATACTGCATTAATATTATTAGAGGATATCACATTGGATCGATCCAACACTTAAGGACATCAAAACGGAATGAGCAAAAGCTAATAAATGCAGTAAAGGTAGATGGAGCGTTACCAAATCCATCAGCAACATTACAAGGGCAGTGGAAAGAACGGATCTGTGATAAGTGCATGCTGCAAGATATTTAATAGGAACAAATGCAAAGGCAGCCCACCGCAAATACAGCAAAACTGGTAAATGAATGGAATTACAAAATTCAGCAGAAAGCCAATTTAATGCAACCCCCCAAAACAAAAGGCATTAAACGAGCTGCCCATCTCCCTAGCCTGCCTGTCATTTCTAACTAGTCTTGCACAGAAAGGAGATCTGAGCTCAACTCCCCAACCCAGCCTGCAAGCCCAACCATACCTTGACCTTAATTATTACTTGGAGAATAATCTCTCTTAAAGAACTAAAGCCGTAAACAGATAGCAGAGGAGGATAATTTCAAATCTCCCCGCGGTTCCAGAATTACCAGTTATGTATTCATCAGCATCTAATGCTGCACGTTGAAAACTAAGATCTTCACACAAGTGTTTGCCATTTAAGAAAGCTTTTTTCCCCTCTTTCTGGCGATTAAAAAAAGTATTAAAATTCTACTACTAGTATTATGTGATCTCTGAGCCTCTAAAAAGTTTATTGGAAAATCTGTGAACCGCATGTGGGGACTTTCCTGGCTCCGCTGGCGCATCCGTGAGTAAAGATGGAAAAGAACTGGAATTTTGAAACAAATCCACGGCAAATGAACGTAAATCTACATAGTGTTTATTGTAGATATAGTGAATTATGAAAGCCATTATAGCCCACTATTTATTTAAATGCTTTTTCTAAACCATATCAAATTGTAGCAGCAAACCAGACCGCCAGTTTGACTTTTGCACATTTCCTGGTTTGATTACATAAATATTTATATAGTGAAAAAAAATACTTTGCACTCCCCAGCAAAACCTTCTACCCAGCAGGAAACCGCCTGCAAATGACTGAGGACAAGAAGTATTTAGGGAGGATTGTGAGTCCAGGTTTCTCCCTGCAACGTTAAGGGCAGTGGTGGCTTTAGACCCTCCCGCGGTATATTGGAGCTCATTAAATTTGTTTAAAAGAGAGCAAGCCATCGTTAATTAACACTAACATATATTCTGGCTTTTTTTTTTTTTTTTTTTTTTTTTTTTTTTGCCACAGGAACCTATTTATTTTGCAGGAGAGGGGAAAAAAAAAACGCAACAAAATAAGAAGACCCCGTAGGAGGTGAAGCTCAGCCCCAGGCTGCTGGTGGGGAGGGGAATCACCCGCGTGGGGGGGTGACGCCGGCGCTGACACCCTCCACGAAGCAGCCCGGCTGTCTCATGGCCAGACCTGTGAAACCTGCAGCACCGCTCACGGTGTTTGCTGCACACCTGAGAAGTTCCTCGGCCGTGGCGCCAGGGCTGCTCTCTGCAGCAAAACCTGCCCCAGCTTTTCCTCCAGAGGATGGAACCCGGCTGCTCTAGGCGGAGCCAGCGGTGCCGCGGAAAGGTGGTCAGCTGGGACCTTGGGGAGGATCTGCATCATCCCACCCAGCCCCGTCTCGCCCGCCGCTTCTTGCCACCTCTCAGCTCACCAGTGGCTCGCTCCAGTTGGCGCTGGGTTTGGGGAAAATGAAGAACCGGTGGTGCTGGAGGAAGATTGGACACCTCGAGCCATCAGCTGCCTTCCCACCCAGCGCCCCGGCCCAGCACCGGTGGGAGAGCGCCTTCGCAAGCCCCCCGTTGCTGTGATGAGCAAGGCCAGCGTGACTTCTCCATCGGAAACGTGGCCAAGAGCCAACCCAGTGGCTGAAAGGGGCTGGAAACTGGCTGCTGGAAATGTGGCAGGTCACCGAGGTCCAGCAATGACCTGCATGCTTGTGCCCGCTTGTTTGCATGCTACAGGGTCCGGCCTGACTCTGAAATGTGGGCTGGGAGAGGGGAGAACTCACTGCGCTTCCCTTCCCATCCCAGCTGGAAACCAGCACGGCTTCTCCCTTCCTTCCCTTAGTTTATCCCTCTGGGCAGCAGCAAGTTGGTGCACCCGCGGAAACCCAGGGCTGGAAGGGATCTTCAGGAACACATCCTCGTTCAGGATCGTGCTTCTCCATCTCTGAAAAATGCTCATCAAATCTCTCTGAAAGAGCCACCAGCAATGGAGAGCCCACCACCGCCCTGGGGAGGATGGCTGGCAGGAACTCTTCCCAGCAGCAAACCCAAGGTGGTTTTGGTACCATGCTGGGACCCAAGGTGGTTTTGGCACCATGCTGGGACCCGTGAGCACCTCGCAGCCTGTACACGCTGGGACGGACCTCAGCCCATTCTCGTGACAGCACATTTCAGCCCGTGCTCGGCTTGTGAGCATAGTCCACGTCCTTTCTGGATGAATCACTCTCCAGCTGCTGCTGACAACCTTGAGCCCAAACCTTGCGTTTTTTTCTTTTTCCCTGGTTGTTTCTGGCCAGCTGGTGACTCAGCTGTCAGAGGTGAATAACTCTTCACACTTTATCTGAACACTCATTAACAATCCAGAGCCATAAAAAGAAATTTCTTCAAGGCTCCCTCTCTGTAAGGCTGGATTTTGAAGCAAGAGAGCTGGCCTGACATTTAGTGGGAATATTCATAAAGACGCTCAATAAAAATAGATCCCCAGAGCACAGGAACCTTGTATGGTTCTGGGTCATATGGCAGAGGGTTTTATCAACAGTGGGTGAAGGTCTAGGCCAAAAAGAAAGGCAGATCCTACCTACAGCACTTAGCAAAGCCTACAGCCACTGCGTGGAAATTGTTAACGACAAAAAGCTTCTACCCCAGGCATTTGCCTGACTTCTACTCCTGCTCTGTTTTTAATTCCTCTTCTTTTTCTTCTTCTTCTTTCTCTGAAACCTCAGCAGAAAGGATTTCCTCATCCTCTTGTGCAGTAGAAATCACACGAATGGTGACTAAGCTATCAGAAGATTTTGAGAATATTTCTTCTCCCAGGTGGGTACGTGGTTTTTGGGAGACGACAGGCGATTTCTTGTGCACTGGTGATTTTGGTGGGACCGGACTGAAGCTGGAATCCTGTGATTTCCCCCCCCCCAAAAAAGGCAAAATCAACCTTAGCAGACCCTGGTCCACTCCCCCCAACCATGTCATCTGCACTATGCAAGCCAGGTGGGTGCTTCGTGGAGTTTCACCGCGCTGGACCCCATAATCAGGATATCGGCTTGCTGCTGAAGCCAACTCCTGTGAGCGCAACGAAGCTTTCTCACACCTCCTGCACTTGGTTTTGTTTCTCTCCTGAAATATCTGGAGGGGTTTATCTTGGCAGAAGTGTTGCTGTGAGGGAACAGGCCCCGTCTGACTTGTCTTAAAGCTTGCTTTAGAGGGGAGCCTCAGAAACCTCATCTACAGACATGCCACGGAGAGGAACGTCCTTCTAACAGGGTCCTGTTAACCTCATCAGTGGGGTCTGCTCCTAATACACACACCCTCTGACAATGAGTCTTGTCACTACCGTAAGGAGCACGCGGTGCCACTGTTCACTGCTGCCTTTAACTGGTTATTAATTAGTGTTAAGCCTCATTCTGCTTCTGTGTCGGACTATAGAAATGCAGTTAGGCTCAGCATCTCCCTGGATATTTAACCAGGCTCGAGGCCGCAGTGCACTGCTCCCTACCAGCTGCTCTTTCACCTCCCTTTGCACGTCCAAATGTGATAGTCTGCACAATTCCAGAAGTATGCATCCATCCAGAATGATGGGAAGAGCAACAATGTGTGCATGGAGATACAATCTTTTTTATGAATTTAGCAGAGACACTTGTAAGGAAAAAAAAAAAAACAAAACCAGGGCCATTTTCTTTTTCAATTGCTCATGACAAAAAAAATCCAAGGGTGATTTCACTGCAGCTCATGCAGAGCTAGCAGGATGGTGTGCCTGCTGCTGGGGAGCTCTGCCCCAACTGTGCCATGAAAGCTCTACAAATATTGACTGGCTTGTGGATGCTGGATGCCGGCATCACCCTCCGTCCTGCCAGCATATCAATTAATTATGAGTGGCTCTGTCTCTGTGGCACGGAACAGTTGTTTGTCTGCAGCTATAACCCAGCTAGAAATTAGACTCAGGCTTAGCATAGCTGGGTAAAAAGTCAATGCATTTCCCTTTTGTGTTGCAAAACAAACCCGTGGGACAGTGGCACTCTCCCAAGGCCACGTGGAAGATGCTGGACTACCCTTTCCCATCTGACCCCCATGACCTGAGCTCACTCCTTTAAGGCACCTTAATAACACCCAGCACCTGGAGCTGGTGGGGGAGAGCAGCGACCTGGCACCTAACAAAGCAAAGCCAAACTGCCATCCTTCCCACACTGACCTGTGATGCCTGCATGGCCTTCAGCTCCTTCAGCCTCCACCGGAGCTGCGCCAGTGGCCCTTTGCTCCCCATCCTCCCCGTGGCAGCCAGGGCAGCCCGGAAGAGCTTTGGGGTGTCAACTTTTGGAGGGATGATCAGGGGGTCTCCAGGCGCTCCTTTCTCGTCTCTGCGTTTATTGTTGCCGTTCAGCATTTTCCTGCAGCAAGGAAAAGGAGAGATGATCTCAGTAGGGGAAGTTGTTATATTAGCTGGATTTTACAATGCAGAAAAATCAGACTTTAAAAGGAGAGGGATTATTTTACACTCTAGGAAGGCCAGAATAACAAATCTAAGTAATGCTAAAAACTAAAGGGAACGGATTTTTTAAATGAAAACACTTTGGCCACGTTTGCTCCTGAGTTGCATCCGCTTTTAGCGGTGAAGCTTTGCAGCAGGGCTGGGCTGGCCCTGGGCATTTCGGGGCCCCCCCCCCCGGCCAGCAGCGAGGGACGGGTGCCCTCTGCCGAAGCGCAGCAGCTCCAGCCCAGCTCTCTGCTGGGGACGTGTGCCCAACGCCTGGCAACTGCAGCAGGAGCTTCCCCAGGGCTTCGCACGGAGAGAAATCTCCCCTCTGACTCTGAAACCCATACTTTTTAGAAAGCGGCAGCCCGACACGCACTTGGCCTTCTTACGCAGCAGCTTCTGAGACTCTGGATAATGCAACAAAATCTCGTTCAAGTCCTTCTTATCCAGAATGAAAAGGTTTGCAAAGCCATGAGCTACGACGTTTGCTGTTCGGCGATTTCCCCCTCCTGCCGCCAGCAAGCTGAGAGAGACATGGCAAGATGTCAGAGCTGTTATTCACAGGTTTGGCATAACTTAAATATCTCCTTTTTCATGTTTCCATCTCTCTCTTTCAGAGGACTCAGAGTTTAATTTTCACCCCAATGCAATCTTCCAAGACCAATTTTTAAAGAACAATGGGAAACACTGGCATGGAGCGCTATATAAAAAAAATTATTTGCCTGTTTGAAGGTTTAAATACTGCATTTTACATCAGCCTGGTGCCTTCTGGGCTGTAGGGAGTCAAGCTCTATCACTGTGTTACAAATTGGTACAGGACTTTACATGCCCATGAAATAGGCAGATTAATGGTGGGGGTGCTGTTTTAATGATCCATCTTTTCCTACCAATTTTCCCACCCCTCCGTATACCTCTGCTTACTGTCAGTAGCTCCCCAGGCAGAAAACAGCATGATGACAAAAATAGTGGAAAAGCCCCATGAAAAACCTGTAATTTGCACAGCAGATCCTGCTCAGCATTTGTGGCTCTCAGACACAAAGATTAATTTGGGTGCTGCTGATCTCCTCACTTCCCACCGTCCTTGCCCAGTGCCTGTGACTTGTATTTCCCCGGCTCCCTGGCATTCCTTCACTCACCTTATTTCTCCAAACACAGATCCGGGTTTCAGAGTCACGAGCACGGTTTTGCCGTCGGGTCCCCCCAGCACCTGCACTTGTCCTGCCTGGATAATGTACATCTCGCGGCCGATTTCTCCCTGCAGTGAAGACGGGTGCTGTGTGGGTGCCCAGAAACAGGGAGACCTTATCGGTGCCCTAACCTGCATCTTGCTGGAACCCCCCATGACCATACTGCCTTCTCCAAGCTCTCAAAATGCTTTGTCCTGATGGTGCACACTCCAAACACCCTCTCCTAAGTATCCCTAAATCTCCTCCATGCTCTCCTGCTGTTCATGGCTGCAGCAGAAGAGGTCAGTCTTTGCACAAGACCAGCTGCAACCGAGGCTGGTTTTGCTCTGAATTCCCTTCCTGTGAAGTGGCTCGATGCCACGGTGATGGGCCAAGCCTGGCTTCCCCCACTCTGCATTGCTCTTAGTGCCCTGCACCAGCATGGCCATGACACCGGGGATGGGAGGGCACCCGAGCATCTCCATTACCTTCTTACACACGTAGTCACCAGGCAGGTAGACCACCGATTTGAGCCTCTTCAGCATGTCAAAGATCATCTGCCTGTCGCAGCCCTGAGCCAAAACAGAGCCAACAGTGCTGTTAGTCTGCACCGGCACGGCAGGCTCCGCCGGGCAGGACCCGCGCTGCAGGGGGTACCTGGAAGAGGGCCACTTTGCTCACGATGTTGTAGTTCACATCGATGGCAATGTCCAGCCTCATCTTGTCCGGCAGCTGCACCAGTAGCTCTGACTCATCTGCGAGACAAAGCAGAAAACTGGCTGTTTCCAGCACTTGATCCAAGAGCATGTCCTTGGCATGGCAGAGGGAAAACAGCCTGTGTTCTGGTGGCAGAGGGCAGGAGCCAGCCTGGGTCTCCTCCAGCCTCTGCCCACCCGGCAACCTGCAGGTCTAAAGCCAACAGGTGATGGAGAGCCGCCCTTCACGTCTTCTCTGCCCTGATGGCTCTCAGAGCCAGACCAGTGAGCCCAAGCCAGCATCTTTCTTGGCCAGGAGAGTGAGCGCAGACGTCCTGCCTGATGATTTACTGGAAGGATGAGCTCGTGGGTTTGCTGTTGGTCACGCTCTGGCCGGTGATTGCCAGTGAGTGCCCTCTCCCCAGGGACCAGCGGTGGGATGCTGGACTCGGTGCTGGGAGTGATGCTGGGTGACCACGGCACTGTGACCCGGTGGCAGCCTATATACTCTATAGGTGGGCAAACAAGCCCCTATAGCAAAGAGTAAAATAAGCCACCCCCACCACCACCCTGAAACTGTAGTGCTATTTGACAGTAATGTTTCAGCTCTGCAAAGCAACCACAGTAAAACACATGCGGTGGAAGTGTTGGCCCTTGGAGTGGTTGGATCTCACCTAGCATGCCTTGCGACTGCCACGTGTACTCGTACCACATTTTCACCCGGTTCTGAACAGTTTTGGGGATTTTGTAGAAGTTCATGTATTTAATGGTACTGTCCATGCAGCTCCGATAGTAAGTTTGCCCTGCGGTAGCAGCACCAACCACATCTCTCATCTAAATGGGAGAAAGAGGTGGAACAGATGTTTTAATTGCCATCACTTATCCATCGTGCAGGTTAAGCAGTCTAGAGCAAGTACGCTGAGTCCTAACAGCATCTGCCAAATCCTTTTTGTCTTCCACTGAGGCTGAGCCAGTCCTCACATGGGGAAAACAAACCTGGAGATGCAAACCTGTAGACCAACCCCACCAAAACCTCCCCCACCTGAGGCTGGAAGCCCCCCGTGACTCCTGTGACTCCTGCTCACCTGCCCTATCATGACAGAGAAAGCAAAGACACCCATGAAGTAGTTCAGCAGCTGGAACATGATCTCAAACAGCGTCCTGGGGTCTGGCAGGCCCCCGATGGTGATGAGCGTCTTGACTGCCCAGTAGTAGCAGCGGATGTAGCTGAGAGGAAAAGAGGAGGCAGCTCTGAAGGCGTTTTTGGCATACACACCTGTTTCATCCCTCAGTACCAAGCTCACATCCTGTGACCACAGCAAGCCAGAGCTTGCTGAGAGTAATTATGGGTGACGAAGGGAAAATTCAGGGTCTGCAGACTGCCCCCCCCCCAAAACCTGCAGGTGCTTCTGGAGATGCTACAGGAGCAGGGAGATCTAGGGACCCTCCAGAAGCCTCCACGCCCAAGGCTTAACTGCTCTGGTTACTCCCATTTTCGACTCCTTACAGCTCCACTACCATAAACCAGCAACATTTACACTTTTAGAAACAGTCAGGAGAAAAAAAAGGCTTTGTAAGCAAACTGTTGGCATGGGACTCAGGAGATGTCAAGTGAACGCTTGATTCGCTGGTCTCGGGCACTCCCTTGGATGTTATAGTTACAACTAGAGATAAATACAAATATGTATATCACACAAAATAACTCTATTGCAGCAATACTATCATGGGAAGCTGAGTGCCCAAAGGGCAGGAAACACCTGCATGAAGGCTGCATGGGTGACAGTCACTTGTGCCCACCTACACCCACACCTCATGGTAAGTCTTTAATGTGCTTGCCCGTGCCATTTTGCAGGAAACTCTCATTTACTGCACGGTGCTAAATTAATCAAATGTTACTCAGTATTTTATTTTGCCTGGGTTGCACAACATGCAGGTGTGGGCATTTGCTACAAGGCAGCATTCAGCTCGTGAGCCAAGTACTCTCCCTGTGGCATCCATCATGGACAATGCAACGGATATTTAACATGAGTGTCCTGGAAATGCCACAGCGAGGGGATGGGGTGGCTGCTGTCCCTGGGAAGGAGGGAACCGGTCTGTTCTGAGGGTAGGACACACAGCTTCAAGCTTCATCCTGACCTGGCAGCAGATCAACATGAACAGAAACAGGGCTCACACTACCATCCTGCTCAGCCAGGGAGCATTCCCTTGTATTCCAACACCAGGTTCCCATTTTTTCAGCCTCTTTGAGTGATCATTGCCTTTGATCTCGGCCCAGCTGCAGCTTCTTTGTCTTGCAGCATCATACATTAGTGCACATCCCATCCCTCCTGTCCCCATCATCCTTCTTGGCTCCACATCTTCCCCTGGCACCCCCCAACCCTTTTCTTCAGGGGTTTTTATGAAGTCTGATGCATTCTAATACCTCCCTTCTTGCTCCAGATTGTCACAGCAAGCTGTGCTATGTGAGGACCTCAGCCCTGGCATGTACCTGTTTCCTTCTCCATCATAGACCCAGTTGGTAGAGCCCAGTCCTTCGTAGTCTGATGCCCAGTAGTAGAGGCAGGAGTTGACGTGAAGGCTGTACAATAAATAGGCAGTGGTCCGAATCACTCTGCAAAAAAAATAGGGAAGAGCAGGAGGAGAGAGGATATGGTGTCTGCTGGGAGAAGCACGTCAGATTCCCCTGGCATCACAAGGACCTTTGACGCGATGAGCTGAGCGCTGACCATACAGGTCCTGCCAATACAGGAACCACAGAGCACCCAAACGCGCGGCCCCGCCGCTCCCTCCTGCAGCCCCGCCGCTCCCTCCTGCAGCCCCGCAGCTCCAGAAGCACCAGAAAAAGCTGCTTATCTGCTGGCAGCTCCTCTTCACCACCAGCACCTCTATCCCTGCTGGGTTGGGGAGAGGAGATCCTACCCAGCTGGGCTCCAGGACCCCCACATCCCGCCTGCATTGGCCGGTGCCCATGTTGGCTGGTCCAGGGACAGTGGGAAAATAAATCAGAAACCCAGAATGGGTGCACACCAAAGTGAACTTTCTTCCCTGGCAGCAAACAGCAACTCCACGCTCTGTCCCTCCCTGTCTCCCTCCCCCTCACCTGTAGATGTATGCCTTGCTCATGATAGACTCCAGGCGGTTGTTGAACTCGAAGAAGGCCATATACTGGGAGGAGAAGGAAAGCAGTGCTCCAGTTTCCTGCAGCTCCCACTGGGACAATTACATCCCCATAAAACCCCACTCCCCCTCCATTTACCTCCTGCAGCCCCTCTGCAGCATGAACTGCCACGGACAGATTTGGCTCCCTTTATAAGTGCCCTTCTATTCAAATGTGAAGGTGTTTTAGGATTGAAATGAAGTGTTTGACCAACAGCCCCCTCAAAACCTTCAGGACAAGACTTCCCATCCATTTTACAATCCTCTTATCATCAACAAGTCTAGCAAGACATAGCTTACCCCAACCAGCGTGGGCCTCTTCCACATCTACTGCAACTGGTGCTCTGCCTGATTTTGTAAACTCTGACTCACCTTCAGACATCGAGGAAAACGCAAGAGTGGGTTGACACCAACTTTGAAGTAGAAGAAATCCAGGGGCAGGAGGCACATCATGTCCATCTGAAACCCACACAAAGAGAGAGATTTCTGTGGAGACCTGCAGGCATGGTGGGATGGAGCTACAAGCCACAGTTCAGATTAAAGATTCAGATTAATAAATAAAATTCTGTCAAACCTTAAAGCGTTCTGATCGCATGTAGTTCTCTTTCATGGCCTTTTTATCGGTCTAGTTGGAAATAGGGGGAGAGAGAGAAGATTGATCATTGCTTGTAGAAAGGAAAGTCATAGCCAATGTTGTTCTGATTCTTCTCTGGCTTTCCTCTTCTGTACCACAACAGGGAAGATGCCTCCTTCATGACTGGGAAAGGGAGCACGGCAAGAGGACCAGAAGCAGACCTGGCTGTACAACATCTTCCCATCCTATCTCAGGACATCCCGTGCTTGATTTGCATTCCAGAGAAAGAACATTGAAGTGCCAGCACCACAAAAGTCAAATTACAGGAGAAACCTCTCTGTCTGGACATTTGCATGGGCTATGGGAAGGCTGTACCCTCAAGGTTTTATTTTTCACAGCTTATTTAATTGGATATGGAAACAAAATCAAGGGCTTTCACTTAGCTCAGGTGCGTGATCTATACATTCAGATTGCAATTACTTTTGTCATATCATGGAATCATAGAATCACAGAATACCACGTTGGAAAGGACCTCAAGGATCACCTGGTCCGATCTGTCTTGGCAAAAGCATGGTCTAGACAAGATGGCCCAAAACCCTGTCCAGCTGAACCTTAAAAGTGCCCAATGTTGGGGGATTGCTAATGCATTCTGCCTAGCCATGCTCCTGTAAATGAAACCCAGAGTTTCATATGCTGTCGGCTCTCGGTTAGCAGCATATGGCTGTGCTGGGGCTGGTCAGCGTGGACCTCACTGCGCCGCTGGCAGGACCACCCTGTGAAGCAGCACCCCGTGAGCACCCCTACCCAGGAATGGGGCCACCACGGACCCACACTTTCTAGATGGGCCTGTATTAACCTCAGGGAAAAAATACATATGTTTGGCAGGCAAAACCACCGATGGCTTATCTACTACATGGCAGGAGAGATGCTTGCAGCTCTCCAAGAGCGGAGGCAGCCTTGGTGGCCACAGCCATCCTGGGAGAGCTTGAATAGCTCGATTCAGAGTGACCAGCACCATCCGTGCCACTAAGGGCGATGGGGCTGGGAGGTCCCTGCAGCCCGGCCCCGGCAGTGGGGGACAGTGTGCTGCCACTCACTATTATGTCTCCCCCTCGGACAAACTGCAGCCGCATCTGAAAGACGAGGATGTCCAGCAGATAGACGAGGTCGCAGAGATAATCCATGAACAGCCAGCAGTGGATGTTTGACGGCGTCTGGTAGGGGAAAGCCCAGCGGACAGGGATCAACCAGCAGTTCCAGTTCCAGGCCATGACAACAAAGAACAGCCACAGCACGTACATCAGATCTGCGCACAGGGAACCACACCACAATTAGCTGGGCACACGTCCCTCATCCGTGTGAATCGGCTATACAAAGGGGGTTTTATCCCCTGACCTGCCCCAAGAGCAAGGAGGAAACCCACAGGAGGTGTCTTATCAACAGCACTTAATTGCAAGTGAGCTGGGCTCTGGCTGCAAAGTGAATGGTTGCAGAGCACATTGCTTTTTAACAGAAAGCCTCTTCTAACTTTGTTGGTTATACTAGGCTTGCGTTTGCCTTGCTCCCACAATGTTGACTTTCTTGCTTTGTTTTTTTCCCCTCGAGGCTGTGCTGAGCCAATGGCTGGCTGCCCAAGCCTGGGGGCTTCAAAATAGCTGTGAAATAGCAAAGACTAAGGAAGGAGATGGGTACCTGTTGGGTGTCCACCAGACAGTGGCTTTTTCTTTTGTGATTTTTATTTTTATGTGGGGTGTCCACACCGCAGGGACAGTGTTTGCCCACTAAAAAGCCTGAAAAGCAGAAGGAGGATGCCCTTTCCCTGCCGGGTCATGCTCCTGACACCCACAGCTATTGGGAAGTATTTAGGAAAGCCTGTGCCTTGCAAGTGAACTTAAAACTCTGCTTTTTAGTAGAGAGGTGTAAGCTAAGTTGCTCCTTGCTTAGATGTCCTCCCTGCTCTACAAGGTGTCATCTTTTACACCTCCTCCACCTCCTTACCCCTTTTCCCCCAGCCCCACCAGCTTGCCCCCAGCCCAGGCACGTGGCCATGCTCCAGCACTCACTGGTGAGCGGGTCGATGCTGCTGGGGAACTGGTAATTTTTCAGTTGGTACAGCCAGGGCTGGCGCTTGAACTTGCAGCACAGCATCTCGCAGTAGTGCTCATCGCCTGCTGCCTTGTCCCCCGCCGGCGCCCCTGCGGGGGGAGGCACCGGTGCTGGCGCAGGCGCCGGCTTGGCGGGGGCTGGAAGAGGCCACACAGTTATTTCAAAAGGCAGAAAATCCTCTCACAGCAATCCGTTTTCAGATGGTCTTTAAACTGTTTAAATAGAGCAGATGTCTCCCTGAAAGCACAGCATGTTTGAGGACCCACCGGTTAACCGCTCCCAGCCGCACTCAAACTCACATGTGGCAGGGCTCTCATCATCCGAGGTGATATCGAGGTCGGTCAGCTTCTCCTTCACCCTCTCAGTCCTCTCTTTGAAGAGCTTCACCAGCTCCTGGAGCCGGTTGTTGACGATGGCACTGCTCAGGCTCGTGGCTGAACCAATGCGCTCGGGCAGGCTGCGGGGAGACCATCGGGCACTTCATGCAGGTAGGAAAGCCCAAGGGCAGGTCCACGACCTGTCTTTTAACCTACAGGAGCCTGAACTAGGATTTACCCGTATTTATTTAGCTGTTGTGCAATCGGAAGGACACAAGTTAAGGTGGTTTCAGTAAAATACTGTCAAGAAGCACCAGCCTGAGCCTCATCCTTGCCATGGGGTGTGAGATGCCCTCAGGGGGACTTGGGAAGCACCAAGATCCCAGGCTGGATTGCATACGCTTGGGAGAAGAAGATTCTGGAAAAATTATTAAAATGTCCACCAAGCCCCTGAATTTATAAATCACATCATTTCTTCTCAGCCTCTTTATTAATCTGGGTCGGATTCAGACCAGGATGCTTCACCTAGCATGACTGAGAAGCATCACTAGGAGGGAGGACAGAAACAAGCTCGTTTGCTGTAGCTCCGGGCTGGTTCATTGGGGTAAGTGGCACAATTTCTGCCCAGGAAGAAGGCAAAACCCTGCACCACATGGAGGTGCAGACCCTCCCCAAGACTTTGCTTCCCATGGAAGGCAGCTCCCTCCGAGGCTGTGCCCCAGGGCTGCAGGGAAGCCAGGACCTGGGGTGCATGATGCACAGCTTGTGTTTTTGCTTCCTACATGGGAGAAAAAGATGATTTCTCCACAAAGAGAGGTGTCCCCATAGTGCTATAGTGTATGTAGATCAAAGGTGCATCTTCTCTGTGGTTAAACCTAGTCTTAAGGAGAATATTTTTACCTGGATACAGGAAAAACAAGAAAGCAGTTTCTGTTCCAGGGAGCATCAAGATCGCTATTTTTGGAGAGGAGATGCACTACTTGTTACACAGCTCTAGACCCACCGCAGGCCTGGCTTCCCCTCCCTTTGGTATCCCAGCACTTCTAGGATATTTGCTATTTCCACCCAAGCCCTGGGATTTTGACACCAGGGAGCTGGGCTGATCTGGAGCCCCTTGGTCCCCCCACACACCTTTCCCTCTGCTCCTTGTCCCGGTCCAGCAGTGCTTGGGTGGGCAACTGGCTCACTGGTCCCTTGTCCAGCCCATCCTCAGGGGACAGCAGCTTCCTCCTGTGGACACAAACACAGCGACCGAGGCTTGGCTTGTCCCCTATCCTCAGCCAGCTCCTTTCCCTCTCAGGACTAATCTGTTTCCACTTCCCCTTCTCCTTCCAGAGTTAGTTTCCCCCTAATTTTTGGTGTTGTCTGAAGTAAATGGGAGCAAACCACCCTGTTCCTTTGCTGCTAAAGCCTTGTTTCTTCCCGGACACCACCAAGCCCACGGCTGCACGGGCATCGCAGCCACCCGGCCCATTTTGCAACCCATTTTGGGTGCCTGGCAAGATGCATGGAGGGCTGGCACCGCTCTGTGCTTGTCCCCAGTGCTGCACCACCACACCACCGCACTTCTGGAGGCAGGCAAGGAAAATGCAATGCTGGTAAGGTGAAGCAAAAAGTGAAATCTGGAAAAGCAGGGAAGGCACTGGGGGACACCACCTGAGCTGGCTCTGTAGCACCGCAAACCCCCAAGACAAAGAGTGAATTGCAGAGCAGCAGGTACTTAACAAGGACCCTCTAATGGCTGCTGATACCTGCAAAGCCAAGTGAAAAGTGCAGCAGCCAGGAGTGGCTCCAGGCTCAAGAGGAGCCCTACAAACACTGTCCTGGAGATGCTGAGCCAGTGGCAGCTGATGTCTTCCTAGAAAATATGTCCTAACGCAGCTGGTGGCTCCCTTTAGCACAGATGGGTTTCTGGGACAACTTCCTTACATGTGGACAAGCAAAGTGGCAGAAGGAGAGCTGAATACAAAGATGATAGTCACAGCAAAATCCAGACTGTTTTGCCATCCTGCAGTCAAGTCCAGAGTTTTAACTGCAATTGTCTTCTGCCACCACAGCTGCTGCTCTAAATTAACCAGGATCTCATTGGCCCTGGTGCAAAGTAGCTCGGTGCTGCATGTGGAGCAGGAGCAAGCAGGACACAGAGGGAGGTTGTCCTGCCATCACAAGCCTCCTGAAGAAAGCCAAATCTTATGAACCCACCCATCTCCAGCCTCACAGGAGTGCCCTGCTGGGAAGGGAAGCAGATGAACACTGCCAACGAAACCTTCATTCCCAAAGCACGCAGTGCAGGGGCAAAGGAAAACCACCAACCTCCCCCCCCCCCCCCCCCATTAAAGTACCCTCAGATGTGGTTAAAGAGCTTCCCAAAACCACATCAGTTTGAAGAAATAGTCCTGCCAAGACCCATGATGTTTTTAGGACAACATCTATCATATCTTACCGGTCTCCAGCTGCCCTTCCCCTGCCTCTGTGCCCTTGGGGCACCATGCTGCCTCATTGCCCACCCTCGTTCATGAGCAAGCCCAAGATGCCTACATCAACAGCCCAATGGTCTCTTGCTCTGTAAGGGACATCCTGCAGAGATGGTATTGCCATGCCCCCCTCTTTGCTTGAAGCACAGGTCCCCATGGGTCACAGAACCCATGTGGTCACCCTCCAAGTACATGCAAAGCTTTGTGTGTCAACATCCATCTGGGAAAAAAAAAAAAAAAAAGCCTCTTTTTTTCATTAATGGATATCCTCAGAAAGATGTAAAAGGAGATAAATGTCCCCATGAAGGGTGTAAATCCGGAGGTGCAGGGAACATCCCTTGATATTCTGTGCTGCCTGCAGTTCACCTGCATTCCCAGCTGATGTGGATGTCAGAAGGGGCAGGAGCTACCCAAAAATCAACACAAGATTCAGTGTATTTTGGAAACTCATGGGTGAAGGGCTTAGAGAGAACCTGTGATGTTACGTTGAGTCCCATGGAGAGGCTTGTGTATATGCAACACTAAGTCCAAAACCCTGGCAGGCTTAGCAGTTTCTTGGTTATTCATGGGAAAAAAGGAACCTGTGTGATAACTCCCTAGAAAACATTTGTCCTTTGATACAGTCCAGCTGCAGGGGACATTTTTTGGGACAGGACCTCCAGACTGCTGGTTAGAAGGGCACTAAAACCCAGATTTTTTTTCCACTGGTGCATGGCAACTCCTCCAAACTTCATCTCCTACGATAAAAAGTGACCCAAGAGATGCATAGCTAGCGAAGAGGAGTTCATGTAGACCAAGGAAAAGCTAAAGGTGAAAGAGTAAATAAGCAAACAAATAAATAAATAAGGAATTAACAGTAAATAAATTGAGAAGTGGAAATGTGCAGCACACATACTAAGAGCTGCATGAGCTCCCTTGCACAAATGCGCAGGAAGCCAAGTATGAAAGAATTTGAATACAAGCAATAAAACTGTAAATTGCCACTTCAAGAGACCAGGTAGAGAGTGCAATTGCCTAAATAAAGCTATAGGGTGAGCAACACGAGGCCGGCAGCTGCTGCTTGTGCTCGGCCGTTGGTGTGGACCACGGGCGGCTGCTCGGATGGTGCCCAGAAGCGAAACCTCCAGCTCTGCTCAGGTATCTCTGTGGCACAGGCCACCACGCAACCAGCCACTGAGCACCCAGCTGGGATGGAGGACCCATGTTGCAGCCTGGGGTCTTTTTTGCTCCGCTTTCAATGCCCTTGGAAAGCTGTGGCTGTAAGCGCTGGGCCATGCTGGGCCTGCCCAGAGCAATGCGGGATGCACAGGGTCCCTCAGAGGGGCTCTGCCCACACGGTATTAGCTGGTGGAGCCTGGTATTCATCACCTGCAAGAGGCTCTTTCCAGGCACCAGTTAGACAAAGTGTAGCTCGTTTGCAGTGAGTCTTTCATAACTCTGTCTAAACAACGTTAACCTTAATCCTTCACAGCCCCATGTGGGAAAAAAACCCTCAAGAGTGAGGCCAACAGAAGTGACTTAGGATAAATGGATATTGCTCAATGCAGAGTTGATGTCCTCTTCCTCTGAAAACACCAGCTGGAGCCAAGCATTTTCCTTCTGGTTCACAAGGATGAAATTTTATTTCTTTATGTAGCGACACAGGAGTTGCTTGCTTTTAAATATCTCTAGCTCTACCAAGTGACCTCCAGCGTTGTCTTGAGAGACACTACCTGGAGACACGGCAGAAAGGTTCATATGTTCATACATGTAACTGCAAATATACAACCTGCTTTAAGAAACTGGTAGAAAATAGCATGAGAAAACTGAGGTGCTCAAAAACGCAGCTCTACTGGAGAACCGTAGGATCACAGAATGGTCTGGGTTGGAAGGGACCTTTGAAGATCATCTAGTCTGACCCTCTTGCCATGGGCAGGGACATCTTCCCCCAGCCCAGGGGGCTCCCAGCCCTGTCCAAAGTGACCTTGAACCCTTCCAGGGAGGGGGCAGCCACAGCTCTTCTGGGCACCCTGGGCCAGCGCCTCCCCCCCCGCACAGGGAAGGATTTCTTCCTAATATGTCATCTAAATCTACCCTCTTTCAGTTTAAAACCATTGTGCCTTGTTCTGTCACTACAGGCCTTGGTAAGAAGTCTTTCTCCATCTTTTTCATAAGCCCCCCCTTACATATTGAAAGGCTGCAACAAGGTCTTGATAAAAGCTTTGATAAAAAAGGGTGGATCTAAATAAACTAAGGTTGTGCCTTTGGGTTGCTGGACCCTGGGCTCCAAAGATGCTCAGGATGTGCTGGGATGAATGATATGGGTGTTAATGGGAATTGTCCATTTTCTACGTTGGTTGAAGGCATAGGAGAAAGCCCATCACCTTGACCCTGAGTCAAAGCGAGAGCTGCCGTGCCTGATGATGGGAATGGAAAACATGGACTTTTCTGTCACAGAAAAATAGCCTGTCCTGTTCACTAACTGGAGAGAGAAAAACACATCCCGAGAAGCGACTGCCAAAGGTGTTTCCCCAGACTGATCCCAAGCGCTCTGTGGCTGAGGATGTGAGCCTCGACCGCTCTCCAGCGATGAGCTTGTTGTCACAGGACAATTTTCGTTGCTGGGCTGATAGAAAAAAGGCAGTGAGATTCAGCAGGCTTTAAATAACTGGCTTCTTAACGCTGTCAGTATTTGCACTGCAGGTATTTCATATGACTCCTTGGGCTCTGCTTTCCAAGTTCAAAAAGCTGTTCTACAGACTGGATTATGGACATTTTTGCCATTTTATTTTCAAGTCCTCCGGAAGCTTGTTTACTAAAGGATCCGAACTATTAAGTGAGGATGAATATAACACCTGGTTTTCAGCATAGAAAAACACACCTTGTTTTTTATTTTTAATCCTCTTCAAGAATGAGCCTCAAAAAAACCCCAACAGCCGAAAAAATATCAGCTTCCTCTAGGCTCAATTTTAAAGCTCAGTTTTATCCTCCCCCTCTCCAAGCATCCTTAATCCAAAGACATCAAGCCAGGGGAGAGGTGCTGCAAACTCTTCCAAGCAAAAACACAAGAAGAAAACTGTTGGTTTTTAATGATGAAGGCCCATACTCAGCACACAGACCCTCCGCGCTCCGGATTTGGGAGCAGAGGTGTGTGTGCCAACAAATGGGATCGGACCACAGCCTAGGAATCCAGCCCATCTCCAGAGGGATGGACAGACAGGGCTGTCCCCAGCCCTTAAAAGCTTTAAAGGAAATTTAACCGTTTAATTAAAAAATGCAAACAAGAGGCAATGCTTTTGCCACCTGCCCTGCCTTGCACGGTGGGTGACACTCGCCACGCACATGCGTCGCCCTGGCTCGTTGTCCAAACCTGCCAGAAATGGGTTGCTCCATGCGGTTGTATAAATTTTCCCACGCCAGCACTGCGAGGGGGGGTGGGGTGTGGGATGGGGTGAGACCCCCGGGAGGTGGGGACGGCGCCGGGGCAGAGCCATACCTGGGGGATGGCGGGGCCGTGCCAGGCACCGTCAGCATGTTGGGAGCGTTGGGGGTGGGCACTGGCAGGTGGGAACCGTCATTCTCCGCAGCATCGCCTTCGCTGTCCACGTCCTTGATGTCCACAGCGGGGTAATTTCCTGGCCCGTGGAAAAGGACAATAATTGCAGGTGAGGGGGGCACAGGGCCCAGCCTGCAGCCAGGATGGATCCCCAAGCCCCATCTCCCCCGTGGAGCTGCCCCTGCACCCTTCAGTATGCTGGAAGGACTCTCCTTTTCCCTCCCTACCCTTCTTGCCCAGCACTCCTTTCTCCTAGCAGTTTGGAGCATTTCTTTTTTGCCCATTTTTTAACGCCATAAGAAGTGCCATCTGCTTCCCTTCTGCTTTCCCAGCTTGCAGTGATTGCAACTACTCCGTGCAAGCGTTGGGTCTCTGGGATTATCGGCTTCAGGTGTCATGCAGGAACCCAGGATTTCCAGCTGTAAAACTGTCTCCCAGGGTCTAGGAATTCTCCTGGGCCTTCTGAACATAAACACATGGATCATGCAAGCTCCAAATTACACGGGCATTTGCTTTTCATGCAGAATAAGGCACTATTTAAATAAGCACTTACAGCCTCTCTCTTTTGCAGAGGTAATAACTGCTTCCTGGTACAAGCAAGGTTCGAAGCAGGAATGTTGGAAGCTTAGAGTGGGTAGAGAGATGCCAGTGGCCCAAGGGAGAAATGGCACCGGGGTTTATTCTTGGCTAGACCCCGCAGCCGGCTGGGCTGTGAAGTGTCATCCATTTCCTCAGCTATATAATAAAATAAAATGAGTTCCTGCAGGATTTCTTCTAAGGGGGGGCTTTCACAGGTCTGAAAGATGCTGTGCATCCCCTCCTGTCCCATGCTGATGTGAGATCAGTAGATCAGAGCATGGCTTGATCAAACCACTGAGAAAAGGCCCTTTGCAAAGTTAAAATCCCATTGCATATAAGGAAAAGCAGCAGAATTTGGCTCGCTGGTTAAAAACAAAGCAAAGCAAAGCTACAGAAACATAATTTATACTTCTGGGTTAAAAGGCAGAAAACTGAACAGCAAACCTCCATCTTACCATCCTCTTAGCATGAGTGGGTTGCACAATTGCTAAGGAGAAAACTGCATATGCAGAGAATATTTAACCCTCTGCCTGTAGATCTTTTGGGAGAGTTTCTAGCCAAGCAGGTCAAAACATATATCATACGATTTATGGATATTTGCAAACACTCTCAGGGGCTAGCTAGAAAGGCACATAGTGATGAGGCGGAAGCAGAAACCCCATGAATTTTGTTCCCCAGCCTCTGTGCTGCAACATGAATCGTGCTTTTATTATTATACTTTTTCCAAAAAGCAACAAAAAGCAGTTACTACAGCAGTAACTGCTTGCCCCCCTCAAGCTATGCAAGCCCACTGTCCCAGCCGATATGTCTAATACCTAGGGGGGATTGCTCCTCACTGCAAAAATTGGGGTTGACAACTCCAGCCTCTGACTTGCTGGCGACAAGGATGGGGATGCGGGAGGCAGCGGTGGCTCGGTAGCTGGGGACATTGGGGAGCTGCTCTAGTGTGCAAAGGCCAGGAGGGGAGGTGTCCCCGCTGTCGAGCGGCTTGTCGTACACCAGCCGATCGAGCTCGACGTCTCGGGCACGCTTGGACATGCTGCTAGGCGCCTAGGTGCTTCAAGCAAAGGACAAGGCATCTGAAGCTGCAATAAAACACAGAGTGGTTTGAGACAGGATGACTGCGTCAGCGCAGAGAAACGCAGGGCTGCGGGGGGCTGTGTCGCTGCCTGCTGCTCACAGGTGTTGGTAGCACAGCAAAGCGGCGGCGAGCATCCCACCCTGCATTTTGGCAGCATCGCCGCAAGAGCAGGGTGCTCTGCCAGGGCTGCATCAGCAGAGAAATCTCCAGCTTGTGTCAGGGCGCAGGTCAAGCCATCCCTTGTGCAACACCCCTGACGTCGGTGGAGTTGTGCCAGGACCTGCCTTTGCTCGCTCAGGCTGCGATGGGAGCTCACTACCTAATTTTCCTTACCAACCCATTACCTCCTAAAATGTTACATTTAAATGCGCTTTATGCCACTGGTTATTTCCCGTATTATGCAAAGTGGTAGAGAAACCCCTTTTTATGCTCCCCTACATTCTTTAGCTGAAGGAGAAACTCTTACTTCACATCAGAGATTGCTTAATCAATAAGATTAAGTACTGTGTAAGCACCAGCTTTTCAGAGCTGGCTCCAGCTGATGACAATATTGCCGTTGTGCTATGCCCACGGGATGCTTTAAGGCAGTGAAAAGCCCCGAGTGCCCACGTAGGCCCGTGCTGATGAAAACTCAGCTGCTCGCTCCCAGACAGCAAGCAGCTCGGGGGGAGAAGCTGCATTTTCCCCTCACCGGGCATCGCGTTGCCCGCTTTGGTTCATCTCAGTTTGACATTATGCTGTTATGTATTATACCTTCAGCGTCGGTTTCAGTGGCTTCAGCTGTCTCCTCTTCCACCTTCAAAATGAAAAAAGCCATTTTAAGGAAAAAAAGACCTGCTCCATCGGGAAAAGCACAGACTTTGCAGCTTGACTGGGTGCCCCATATCCTCCCACCACTCGCCAGCCTCTCAGCTCGTCGCTCAGTGCGAGTGTTTTCGGGTGAACTCATCTCTCCCTTGGTGCACAGCTACTGCTGCTGTCTCAGGTTCAGAGATGGTGACATCCCAGCGGACAATACGCCCAGTGACCATCCTGGTCCCTGCTCCTTGCCAGGACACCGTGTCCCCATGGACAAGCTCTGAGCCCCTGGCATGTCCTGGGCAGCAAGAGCCCACTGCAGACCTGAGTCCAGGCAGGGAGTGATGCCATACCTGTAAAAAAGCGCCTTCGAGATCACTTATCTCAGCTTCTTCCAACTGCTCAAACCGGAGGGCCTCCTCTACAAAGTAGACTTCATCCACACCCTCATCAGTGGTGAGACAAGGCGACTGGAGCAGGGGTCTGGATGGTAGAGATCAAGCAGAAACAGGTGCCTGAGCTCACTTTTGCCCTGCCTGAGGTTGGGCACGTTGCGGATGGAGGGGCATCACGTCAGCAGGGGCGATGCGAGACACTGTACAGCTCTCCCGATTCCGGGGAGCATTGTTCCTCAAGCCTCATTTACAGAACAATACCACAAAAATTGTAATTTAATACAGTAGTGGTGAAAAAAATAAAAAAAAATTGCTGCTTAGGTTAGAAGGGACTTGGAAAAAATACTATGTGGGAGACCAGGTGAGAGGTGAAATAAATAATGCAGGATATTGCATATGCATACACAAAAATTGCATATGCAGAAAGACACAGGCAGTATGTTTCTCCTGCTGGGCATAATAATCTCTCATATAATAAAAATTTTGCCAAATAAAAAGCTGAGAGCTTAATTTCCAGGCAAGGCTGTCCCACAAGAACCATCCAAATCCCACATTTGCCTCTACAAGACACCACCAGGACACATAATTCTCATTTTCCTTCAGCAGCAAGCACAGACCAGTTCAGCTGTTATGACAATGGGGGCTCACAAGATCAATCTTACTGGTTTAATATAACTTTATCATCATCTTGTTCTGTTCACTTATCTCCCAGTTTGCTCTTTCCTGGTGAGAGATGCAAAGTGGGGACTGAGGGTAATGAAAAAAAGTTGAAGACAGCTAAATGCATGAAAATTTAAAAAACATCTTTCTGTATCCGTGGCAGGTCCTAAGTCAGAAGATGTATGTAACAAATGGTGGCTGCTTTTTCTCTTATCTCCATGTCTTGAAAAACTGTTATTTTCCAAGGTCTTTTAAAAATTATTTTTAATAATCCCCCCTCCCTTTTTTTTTTTTTTAATTAGGGTCCCTTCAAATGCAATCACAAATCTTCTCATCCTAATCTAGAAAACCCACCAGCGTCTCTCTTTCCCCATAAACAAACACACTAAAGGATAGAGCAGCATCTGATTCACTCAACAAGTGAAGCTCGAGTATCTATAGTGGAGTTCCAGGAACAGATTTTGATGAAAGAAAAAAATAATCATGCATTTTCAGCCTCTTCCTGAAAATCTAGCTACTTCAGAGGAATTAACAGAGAATAATATTGTAGCACTAGGTAATAAATACCTAAACGTTTATCTCACAGGAAATCAGAGCAAATCACTAACCTAAGTGGAAAGATTTTCCTAAATACCATTTACACCAAAGCCACCATCTACAACAGCTGACAAAAACTCGGCTACTTTCTACAAGAGGAAAAAAATGTAAAATTGTACCTACTTGTATTAAGTATCATTTTCAGGCACAACACATAATCCTGTCTTTAAATTCAGCTCTGCAATACTCATAATAATAATCCCAACTGCCCTGAATTAATGGTTTTTGATGCCGTGGACCGTCTCCAGGAGCTGGGTGCTCCCGGCTCCCGACGAAGGCGCAAGCCGGGGCCCTGCTCAGCTGAGCCGCTGGCCCCCGCGGGAGGGGATGGCCAGGGGCTGCTGTTGCTACGGGCGGCTGGGATGGAGATGGAGCCTGTGTCACCAGGAGACACTCGCCCGTCACCAGGCACCGTGTCGGCAGCGAGCCCTGGCGCGAGCCGGTTTGCGAAAGCATCCCTCCGGAAAGCATCCCTCCGGAAAGCAAAGCATCCCTCCCTCCCGCCAGAATCCCTCCCGCTCGCCAGGCTGGGCAGCTCCGCTCTGCCAGGAGGAGCTCGCCCATCCACGGGTGTTTCAGCCTCTCCAGCTTGTGAATGCAACTGAAATGACGACTGCATTCACGCTCGTTTCCAACGAAGCCATAAAGGCAACGGGAGCCACTCACCCTGCACTCTCCTCCACCTCCTCTTCCTCCTCCTCCACCTTGTTCTTCTCTTCCTCCTCTTCTTCCCCCCCCGCCTCCTCCTCCTTTTCCTCTTCCTCCTCCTTCTCCTCAGCAGTGATCAGGGAGCACACCCATATCCTGGGAAAGAGAAACTCATTAGGTGAAATCCAAAAAGAGCGCTGACAGTCTCTGCAACCCCTTTGGCCAGAGGTGCCCCCCCTCCACCCTGGGGGGGTGGACATGCCTGGGCACCCGGGCCCTATGTGGTTTCACAGCCCATTAGTATCTGCAGCCCCAGGCAGGTGGGAGGAAGAACAGGAAAAAGCTTGGGAACACAAAACCAGAGTCCTTGAGCCTTCAAATTCCCCTTGCAGCATGGGGAGAGGATGCGCTTAGGGGTCACTTGTTGCTGATTTTGACCAAAACCTCCCTCTTAATCAAATGCACCCTCCAGGACAGGACGTGCTCGCTGCCCACGGCTTCTCAGGCTCATATACTAAGGAGACAAAAATCTGAAAATTATTTTTATAATATGTCCAGTGTTTTCTAGCTGAGCAGAAAAGAGCTCTGCTGAGCGAACAGGGCTCTGGGCATTGCTTGTGCTCAGTACAGTCGAGCACTGCCCGTGTTGGAGGTGAGCACTGCTGCGCTCACCCTCTCCTGTACGTGCACCGGGACCATTCTGGGGGGCTCTCAAGCACTTTGGGAGCATGCATGGCCTCCTCTCATCCCCCTCCTGCAATGCAGCTCACTCCCAGCTCTGAACATATTGCCCAGCTCTCAGGAAGACCTCAGCAGGCGTTTCTTTTGGAAGACATAGGACAAATTATATAGAGAAGACTATCATTTCTAAATGTCATGGCAGTTGGATGCGCAGCTGATGGGAGCGAGGTCCAAACCCTCTTGCCTTAGGGCCAAAATCTACATACAGGAAGCCTAAGCAGAGCATCCTTCAGCTGTCCTCTGCAGGGCAACATGAAGCATTGCATTCATGGCTCTACCACTGCCTGTCCCAACCCAAATTCAACACCAGAAAGAACAGCTGTTAGCCCAAACACCTTTTGGCTCCTTCTCTTTGGAAACAGGCACCTCGGCTGCCTGCTGCCAGCTCCACCACCCGCGCTGGCAAGGAGGAACGCCCAGGGACGTGCTCATCTCCTCCCCTGGCCCCCACGCTGGTGGCTGGAGGGCATGCAGAGCTGCCCATCAATAGCATCTCCCTCCTCCTACCTGTTTTCTTCTTCCTGAGGTTCCTCCTGTATGGGGGGAAGAGGATGATCATCTGTCACCAGCTCAGCCTCGCGATCCCAGGCCATCATCTCACATGTGGCTTCATTAATCCAGTCATCATCGATCTCTTCCAGGGCGAGGTCAGTCTCCTCAGGTTCCTCAGGGACAATATGAACTGAAACGGGAATGGGGAAAGGGGGTTGACGAAGGGAGAGAAGCACATTTTCAAGAGGCCAAGGGTAGGGCCAGGGCAGATCCCACGTTTTAGCTGCTCGATGCAGCGGTGCTGCCTCATGCTGGGACCGAAACACCTCTCAGCCTGCACAGACCTACGCAGCCCTGGTCGCCCCGAACTGTGCCGGACAGATGCTTGGGGCACTTTTGCCAGAAGGAAGAAGAAAATTCACCATTTTGTGCCAAGCGCAGCCAAAGCCCTATGAGAACTATAACCCTTTGCATCTAGATGCCTGTCGGCTTCCCTACGCGCGTAGAAACCTCCACCAGCAAGATGATTTGGCCCGTCTCCAGGCCACGTCGTCTCTCCTTGCAAACAGAAGCAGCCGCAGGAAGAGCCCGAAGCCTTTCCCCTTGGGAACCTGCAGTGAAGCGCTGGGCTGGCACAGCCCGAGGGCCCTGGTCTCGCAGAGCAAGACACAACCCAGAGCCCAGGTTGCGGCGCCCCGAGCACCACGCCACGTTCGGAAGCATCCCGCACACCCCGGCGCTCCCCAGCCCCGCTGGGGGAAACCCCGGCAGGGTTACTGGGGAGGCTGTGAGGCCAGCTGCAGAGCGGAGAGCGGGGGTCTGACCCATGACCAGCCCCCTCCGTGTCCCAGGGGTACCCATCCTACCACATCAGGCACACACCGGAGAAACAGGAGGAGGAAGCGCATCCGCGTACTGTAAAACCAGTTTATTTTGAGGTCTGCCTGACATCAAAACTTACATGTCCACAGTGAAGCTAATAGGAAACGTGCAAATTCAACTACAGAAAGGCAGGAAACCCACCCACAGCTGGCTCTGTGCTGTATTTACCCACCCCAAGGTGCCCACGCTGCCTCTAGCCTATTCCCTCTAGATCTCCATTAATTAAAATGCAGGACAGAAATCAGGGAGATGGCTTTTAAAACACGTCACAACTTTTGGATACGTTATATGAAGACAGGGCAAATACTAAAATTGTAGCCTGGTACCGGCAGGGCTTGTTGTAAACACAGGGGATGGGGCTCAGGGTGGTGGCTTGGCTCGTGACTCATCACTACAGCTGTCGAGATCATCCTAAAAACGTGCAATGAGGTGGTGGGACACCTTATCATGGCCTTTCAATATATCAAGAGGAAAGACAGGGAAAGACTTTTCATGAGGACCCGTAGCGACAGGACAAGGGGCAATGGTTTTAAACTGAAAGGGGGTAGATTCAGATTAGATGTAAGAAATGTTGTATGATAAAAGTGCCGAGAGGCTGGCCCAGGGTGCCCAGAGCAGCTGTGGCTGCCCCCTCCCTGGAAGGGTTCAAGGCCAGGTTGGACGGGGCTGGGAGCCCCCTGGGCTGGGGGAAGGGGGCCCTGCCCGGGGCAGGGGGGGGCACTGGATGAGCTTTAAGGTCCCTTCCAACCCAAACCATTCTGTGATTCTGAGGTCTGTACTGAAACCCTGGGGTGCAGGGGCGCTCAGCCCATCCGGCCCTGCGGTGCCTGCACTGGCTACGCCTGCATCTCTGGGCTGGAGACGGCCCCCGGGCCCCCTGCCCTGCCAGGGCACGCCTGCCACCGCGGTTGGTGTGCACCCAAAGAGCGGTGAGCTTCGGGAGGGAGCAGATGGAGATGGGGGTAAGGAGGGTTTGGGATAAGTTCTCCTATAAGGAGAGCCTGTGGAAAGGCTTGTAACTGCTAACTCCTACCTATTCACCTAGAGATTAACCTCACCCACCTGCATTTGCTGCTACAAACCAGAGCCCTTTCCACTTGCTGGGAGAAAACAGTTAATGGAAGAAAAGCAATAAGAAGCTGACGAGAGCTTAAAGAACTTCATGATATTACACCTCGGAGGCAGAAGTTGACTAAAAGAAGCCTATGGACTACTTCAGCTGGAGGTCTTGTGGGTGAATATTAGGATGCTAGGGAGAGGTTTGAGAGGGCTGGGAGTGCTGGGAGGCTGCAGCAAGAGGCTTTCTGCCTCCGAGGTGTCCTGAGTGATGCTTTTCTACCCTCCTATAAATTATAGCTCCCGTCTCATAGACATCAACCTGCAAAACCAATAGCTCCAGTTCCCGGAGTGAAGAGGGAGCCAGGATGGGACAGCCCTGTGGGACCAGGGATACGCAGCCAAACTCTGGTCCCTGCTACCCCAGCTGGGAAGGAGCTAGAGACCATCTGCAGATTCCCCTTTGCTTTTCCTCCCCAGCTGCGCTTTCTCCTCAGCTTGGTCTCATTTTGTTGTGGGAAGGGCTGGCCCACCATGGTCTTCGTTTTCCATTTGTTTCAGAGGCGCTAAGCCCCTTTGCCCCCTGAAACAAAAGGAGAAGGAAAACATTAATGAGCTTGCTGGCAGTTTGGTGCTGGGGTAGATCTCTCGCTTGACCCAATCACTCCCTTTCTTGGGCAGATTAAGTGACCTCGAGATGCCTCAAGGCGCCCAAGCGAGCTGTAACATAAGCCAGCCGCGCACAAAGGGTGCGACTGCCCCGCACGTGCAGCAGCATCCCACCGGCTTTGCCTCTTCCCAGGGTTCAGGGCAGCGCTCAGGTCTCCAATTTGTATAAACACGCAGAGAAATTGCTTCCCACAGGATTTTCTGCTCCGAGATCCCACCAAGTAGCTGCTGGCTCTGCGGGAGCAGCCTCCCGGCACATCCCCGGGGGGGACGCACAGCCTCTGCACGCCGCAGCAGGTCCCCGCTCCCATCAGCAGCTCCCACGGCCCAGCCAACCACTCCTCCCTGGGGACGGCGCTTGCACGGGGCTGCGTGACATCTCCCCTGCCCGGTCCATCCGTGGGGGCGGCCGTGGCTCCCGGCCGGGCTCCCCGTTTTGCTCAGCAGCCCGCAACAGGGCTGGCAGGGGGAGCCAAGCCCATCTGCTCACAGAGCCGGTGCTTGTTCTCCTCCACCGGCAGGCAAGCAGCGGTGTGAACCCTGCAATGTTTTCCTACCACCATGCAGACACATTTAACACATCTAATCCCATGATTTTGTTCTCCTGAGGTACCTCCCTAGACATCTCTCACACCAAGCTCGGCAAACACCCTCCATCCCAGCAGCAAACGTGCCAAAGGGGGTGATGAAGGAGGTAGGTTTGAATTCCCTTGCAGGCCTTTGATCAAATCCCACCAGCTTGGCAAACATCCTCCGGCACAGCTCGAGGACAGACCCTGATATCAGCACCAACCTCAAAACCCAAGACCTGAGGATGTGGGATGCTGCACTCAGAGACTCCCACGGCCTGAGTTTTACCAAGCCGGTGCCACAGCTCCAGACTGGCTGCTGCTTCTCAAGCAGCAACAGTCTCTCGTGGCTTCCCCGGGGGATTTCAGACCTCCCCAGCTGGCACCCAAAGCTGCCAGCGGCCTCTCTTCCCAATAACCTTTCTGACCTCGGCAAGCTAACCAGCATGGTGAGATGGAGCAACCACTTACTTTCTTCCACAGGACTCAAGGTTGCTGCGGCCACTCCCTGCCAGGAAGAACACAGAAATGTGAGATGTCACCCATTTTCAGTAAACCTAAATTTTTTACCCTAAATTCCCCATTTTCAGTAAATGTGACCCTTTTACCCTAAATAACCTGGGTGATTTCTTGGAGCACATTGGATGGCTTGGCTGAGGGCACAAGCATCCCCCTGCACAACGGTAAAGGGCAGGAGCACACCAGTGAGCTCGTCTGGGTGTGAGGGAAGGAAAGGAGAGCATGTAAAGCTGCTGTTGCTGCTTTTCCTTAGGGCTGGACTGCACCTGGGTGAGATGGCAGGGCTTGGGCACTACCTGGTGCTGCACGGAAAGGCAAAGAAAAGGTAAAGAAAGCACACGCTGTCGGCTCTGTCACTGCTTAGAAGCCAAATCCTGACTTTCATCAGCTAAGCGGGTTGTGGGGGTTTGTTTTCTTGAAGCACCTGGGTGACAGCCCAAACCACATGTCCTGGTTTTGGCTGGAATAAAGTTAATTTTCTTCCCAATAGCTGGTATAGTGCTGTGTTTTGGATGTAGGATGAGAGCAATGCTGATAACACACTGATGTTTTAGTATAAACACTGCTTAGCAGCAACTAAGTCAAGGACTTTTAGCTTCTTGTGCTGCCTTGCCTCCGGAGGCTGTGGGTGCACAAGCTGGGAAAGGGCACAGCAAGAACAGCTGACCCAAACAAGCCATATGGATTCCATACCATATGTCATCATGCCCAGTATATAAACTGGGGGGAGCTGGCCGGGAGGCACCATGGCTCGGGGATTGGCTGGGCATCGGTCAGTGGGTGGTGAGCAACTGTATTTCTTTGTACATTCCATTATTATTTTCCTTTCCTTTTCTGTCCTATTAAACTGTCTTTATATCAACCCACAAGTTTTACTTTTTTTTGGTTTTTTTTTCCCCCAATTCTCTCCCCCATCCCACTGTGGTGGGGGGACAGCGAGCAACGGCTGTGTGGTGCTTAATTGCTGGCTGGGGTTAAACTGCGACACCACGTCAGGTCCCGACACCGATCTGGTGGCACCTGCATGGCAGGGGACCCTCTCCCCACCGGGGACACAGCATTCGTGTGCCCTTTGCCTAGCTAGCAGACAGCATACCTCGGCGTCCTTCTTCTCCCTGGTCACCGGCTGCGGCATCACCTTCTCCAGCCCCTGGATAAACCAGGCAAACATCCTGGTGACCAGAAACCACTGTTAGACCTGGCTGCCAGAGCCTTTGCTCCCACGGCAGCCACCCCTCTGGCCACAGTACCCACGCAGAAGCTGCCGCTGTGGTTACCTGCTGCCGTCCCCAGCGGGGGACTGAGGGACGGGGGTGGCCACTGGCTCCGGCTGTGCCTTGGCCGCTGCTGGCTCCACTGCTACTGGGACGCTCTGGGCGGCTGCAGCACTGCTTTTTGACTGTGCCTGGGCATCAGTCCCTTTTGTGCCTGCTCGGGTTTATTCAGAAGGAGAAAGGGGATAGGCAACACAGGAGTCATCTTAGAAACTGTCGGGGAAGAGGAGTAAGTGAGGAAGGGTCACCTCCCACAGAAGGACAGGCTTGGGGGACCCCCCTGGCAGACTCTCCCCCAGGGACCCAGCCCGGAACATGGGCAGTTTGGGGACAACCATGGTGTAGGGACAGTGCCATGATGCTGGGACCCGGCGTGCCCACCTTTCTCGGCACAGTCAGTACCCTGGGGCGCGGGGATGGAGGGCAGCCCCAGCGCTGGTGCCTGCCTGCACCCGTGTTCTTGAAGGCAGTGCGCCCTCTGAAAGGGCCTCCCATGGAAGGGGAAAACCGCTCACCTCCCGCTACAGCTTCACATTTCTGCTCCTTCGGCTCCGGCTGCAGAGGGACAGAGGGATGGGCGGACATGGCAAAGCATCGTCTATGGCCCCATGCCACCCTGGGTGGGCACATCCCTCACCCCAAGGGGACCTACACACACAGCCCCATGCACCCTCTGCTGTGGCTTTGGCCCCAGTTCCTTGACAAGGACCACTGAACCCAGACTCTGGCTCTGCTGGCACCAGCAGGTCCCGAACAGAAGGTCCCTCCAGCATGTGACCATGTTGGGGAGCACCGGGATGTCACCCTGAGGTCTCTCTTTTACTCTGCTGATTTTCCCTTGGGGTTTTCCTCCCCAGGGTTCCAGCTGGAGCACGCAGGAGGACAAGGACAGGGAGCCCGCTCTGCTGTAACCTCTACCCAGCAGCCCCCACCTCTCCTCTGGCCGGGCAGTGCTCACCTCCGTTTTTTTCGGCATCTCTGGCTGCGGCACTATCCTCTCGAAGCCCTGCACCAACCAGCTGAGCACCCGTGATCCTGCCCTGCGGGAAAAGCACACCACGGTCAGGGAGCAGGTCCTGCACCCCTCCTGCCCTCCCGCATCCCCCCGCCAGCCTCCCCAGGGACCCACCACTCCTCCGTGCTGGTATCTGAGCTGGCCTCAGGCTTGTCATCCGGTTTGGTCTCCTCCGGATTGACGGGGGTTATCACTGCAAGGAGAGGAGTGCTGCGGGCATGGGGGAAGAGCCAGGACCTGCCCTACTGGGAGCTCCTGGTTCCCCCATCAGCCAGCTCAAGGGGACAATAACACCAGCATCACCAACTGGGGAGTGGGATGTGGGAGTGCCAGAAAGGCCCCCGGGGTGCTGCAGGCTCCTGGATCTCCTTACCCAGAGCATTCTCTTCCTTGTCCCTGAGGATCTGGACCTCCGTCTGAAAAATTAAACAGACCATCACCCACCCAGCAGCTAAGGTGGGGCTCATCCCACCAGGCACGGGGGGAAACCTGCCCTTTCCCCGGGGATGGATGAAGGCAGAACCCCATACAGGGTAGGTTTAGTGTTCCCAGTTAGCACTGGGAGAGCGATAGAAAGGAAAAAACAAGAAGAAAAGGTAAAAAGAGCTAGAAGCCCAAATATGCCAGATCATTGCCTGGATCTGTCACTTACCTGATCAGGAACGTCAATGCTTGTCTCCAAGCTCTTCCCAGGTGCCTGCAGCATCGCCGGGGCCGGCTGGGGAATCACCTTCTCCAGTCCCTGGGAGATCCAGGAGAACACACTGCTCCCCACGCTGCCAGGGAAGGGGGTGAGTCAGGCTGGGACCCTCCCCATCCCAGGCATCCAGCCCTTCACTGAATGCAAAATCCCAAGCAGACCACGTTGCACGCCGGAAGGTGCAAGAGCAATACCTCTCAAACACAGTGCCTGGGTCCTCGGGGACTGCAGGTCCCACATTCTTATCCACCTCTTCAATGGCATCAGGGAAAAAAAAAAAAAAAAAAAAAAAAATATATATATATATATATATATGCAAGCTTCCATCACCACTCCAGCAGCCCCTGGTGTGTTGGGCAGGAGTGGGACCAGCTGGTAAAGGAACACTGATCCACTGCCCCCCGCCGTGGGGGCTTACCTTCGGTGTGTGCGTGGTCAGCAGCATCCCCAGGGCCACTGGCTTTTCCTGTTGGTGCCTTCAAGATAAAAGGCAGAAGGTGTCAGAGAGTGAGGCACAGGTCTCAAAGGTGGCTGCAGACTCCAGGGACATCCTTCCTGCTGCCTCCCAGCAGCTCAGGGGAGGGACGCAGCCTGGCCCCCATTCCTCCCGAGGATGCTGTGGAGCATCCCTGGGTACGCGGTGTCGGGGCTGAATGTAGAGGCACTGGGCATCTCTCCACCACGTTTGCGGGGTCCCCAGTACCCCCTAAACTGGCTCCCCGCTCACCTTCTCCGGCTCCGGGTCCTGCACTGGGGCCGGGGGCGTCTCCTCTGTCGGATGGGGCGCCGGGGGCTGGGGAACCACTCGCTCGATCCAGCTCAGCATCCCACAGTCTGCAGGTAGCGAGGAGGGGTCTCTGGCCAGCAAGAGGCCAGCAGCAGTGGTGCACGCTCCCCAGGGAACCCCAGCCACTCACGCTGTCCACAGGGCAGCCCAAAAAGGTCCTTGGCGTTCTGTTTCTCCGTCCTGCTTGGGAAACACAGCGCTGCAGCACAGCCACACCAAACCTGGCTCAACCCAAGGTTACTGTGAGCAAACTATGCTCTCTGTTTTAAGCTCGCAGGCTCAGTTAAACTTGCTTTTCCTAAATGTAACTGCTCATTTAGGGGTTGGTTTTTTTTTTTTGCACAGCCCTCCATGGCTACGGGTGGCACAAGGAGAAGTGCTCATGAAGCTGTAGCAGATAGGTCACAAAAACCGTGATGTTCTGCTCAGGGTCCTCTCTGCTTCCCCTCGTTTTTCATTTGAGGGCTGAAAAACAACAGTAACTTGAGCAGAATTTGTTTTTGAGCAAGTTCACGTCCCAACACATGTATCAACTCGTTCTGCCCCTAGGAAATGAGTTTCCTTCCTCACCTTTCAGCCACGGCCCAGGGCCACGGTGGCCGCTGGGGCAGGCACCTCCTGGGGCCCTGGGAAGGGCAGCAAAAGCAGCCAGTGCTGACTTGCTCTGTGGCTGCCGAGATGTTGGTGGAGTAGGTAAAACCAGGATGTTGCAGAACAGAAATCCAGCTGTTCAAGCAACGTTTGCTCGGTCTTTTCGGGTCCCTAACACCCCTTCTCAGTGTCACACCAGGCTGGGAGCAGCAGTGAGCTGAGCAATGATGTATGTTCCCATGCTTTGGGTACAGGAAAAGGGCCGGGGGCTCAACCTGGGGATGCCTTCTACTGCTGCCCCTCCAATGAGCCCCGCTAAGCCCACAACGCCCCTCAAAAACACCCACTCTGCTCACTGAGGAGCTCGAGAGCATCTCAGGCAGCCCCCACGCTGCTGCTCACAAGAGACGCTCACGAAGGACAAGAGGGAGCAGGTCCCTGAGCTCTATCTAGATCAGGCAGGAGACCTGCAGAGGAATTTTGGTCCCGGGTGAACACATGGCCCCAGCCCCACATACGTAGCGGGTTACAGGCTGGAAGCCACTCAGCACTGGCCTCTGCATTAACCCCTCGCTCAGCTTTTGGGCATGCAGAATGCCTCCAGATCCCTCGAGGTGTTTCATCGGGAGCTGCCCAAACCCTGGCATCTTAAAGCTTAACGGGCCAGGGTTCCCGGGTGGGGTGATGTGTATCCTCAGCTCTTTGCTTGCCCCTGCCTTGTGCAAGCCCGGGAGCTGGATTTGGATGCGGCCAAAGCATCGTCCCACATGGCACCTCCAGCCCTGGGGCATGTCACGGGCAGGCTCAGCTCTCCCAGGACCGGGTGGCTGTAAAACACTTCCCAGGAGGCCTAATGACCAGAAACCACTTAAGAAATTGCCTTTTACCTCCAACTGGTTATAAGGGATTAAGGAGCTGCTAATGCCCCAGGAACAGCACTGAAAACCAGAAAACCAGCAGTGCCATGCGCAACGGCAGCATTTCCACCTGTGCTTCAGGACCTTCACAGCTCCCAGAGAAGCCCAAGGCTAATGTACGCCACTAAGCCTAAACAAGCCCAGAGAAAGCCTCCCTCGACAGCCAAGGTCTCCTCCCACAACATAAGCTTGTGCAGCTGTAAAAGCCTGGAGCTTAAGCCTGTCCTTGGCCTGGTAAGGAAAGTGGAGGGCCGGGGCTGTTCCTTTGGCACATCCGAACAAGAAAGAGGCAGAAACATTGTGGGTCCCCAAAAAACTAGTTGCTGGAAGAAATAGGAATAAGCAGCCAGGATTTGCCTGTGATAGAACCGAAGAACAGGCAGCCACGTGCGATTTCCCCGTGTTGCAGGCACCAGCCAGTGTGCCAGCTCTGCACCACTCACGCCAAAGGGCCTTAAAGTCTCTAACAGCAAGAAGAGAGGCACAGACCTGCCGTCCCCCCTTTGGAGCAGAGAGCACTGCGGCCTTTCCCTCCCCTCCAGCATCAGATCAAACCCCTCCACATTATCCAGCTCCGTCGCCCTTGCAGCATCACTCCCCATGGACCTGCTCCATTGCTCCCCCACCATGGACCTGCACCCCTGCCATGGCTCATCCTCCAGCGCCGTTTTGGAGCACCAAACCCCCCCCCCCTCCTCCACCCCATGATGTGCAGAGGTGGCCCCGCAGAAACCCCAGCTGTGCCCCTCGCTTTCATCGCCGTCACTTACCCCCGCACGCTCCCTGCCACCTCCCTGGGAAGCCACCCCCCAGGATGCACAGGCTCCTTTGGCCACCACAGCTTGTCACTGATCCCCCAAACCCACCCCAATCCGCTCAGGGCTCTGTGAGGATTAGCCCGGCACTGCCCACAAATGGGATTACCAGCACCCAGCTGTCCTGAATGCCCCGGCTCCCAGCAGCCAGCCCAGTTTTCGTGCGGGGTAATGCAAAGAAAACCCCCAAATCAAGCAGGTTTCAGCACCCTCAAAAGCCCTGGAGCCACCAAGCTACCCCAGGCACTCACCGGCAGCGCTGCGGGGAAGGCTGTCGCCTCGCCCAGGCGCAGGCAGGTACAGGGATGCGCAGATGAGCAGCAACGGGGCTGCTGAAACCCCGTGGGGCGATGCAAGGGTGATGTGCCTGAGGCTGCTCCACCCACACTCTTCCCCCACCCTGAAGGATCTGGGGCAGGAGGCAGCAAATCTGAGTGGGGCTGAGCTAAGCCTCCCCTTGCTGAGCCTGCCAATTTCTGCTTGATCCGTTTACCTCCCGCCCTGAGTGACTGCCAGCCTTTCCCATCGCCCCCAATCTCAGCCGCGGTCACATCCCAGAATCCCAGCACTGGCACAGCTTTGCTGCTCAACATCCAGGCTCAGCTTCTGTCTTTGGCCAGAGCTCCTCAGCCTGATTCCTCCTTCCCCAGCCCTGTGGGCATCCCCAGCCTGGCAAGCAACAAGTACGCATCCTGCCTGGCCACAGGCCAGCACCTCTGCAGCCTTGGTTCACAACTAGGGAAACTGAGGCACAGAGCAGTGGTCTCCCAGATCATACCCTGTTCCTCACCCGCTGGGCCCAGGGAAGCCACCTGAAAGGCATCCCTATATTTCTGATATACTGTTCACTCTGAAGCAGAGTGATGACTGTCCGAGGCTCAGCACGTCATCGCTCACACGGAGCAGACAGGCCACCGCTGCTCTGGCCCAGTCTGCTCCAGTGAGAGGGATGAGACCGGAGATGGCTGCCACTGGGGTGCTGCAGGGGCCGGGCAGTGCCGAATGCTGGGGCAGAAGATGCTCCAGCACCAATCCCTCCCCCCCCCGAAAAAAAAAATAATCTCAGTTTAATCTGTTGGCAACTTCAGCTGCCCCAAACGCATGCCACCCCCTCCCTGGGGGGTTGAGCCCTCTGCTCCCTGCTGCTGACCCTTGTGCCAGGGCTGGGGGTGGCAGGGAAGCCTTGGCTCCGACAGCAGGGCATGGGTGCTGCTGCGTAATGCCTTGAAAACCCTGGAGCACCACGAAAAAACACCCCTGTGAAAGGAACAAGCCGTGGTGGGCCCGACAGCCCCAAGTGCAAGCTCCTGGAGAGTAGTAGTGGCTCCCGGGCAGGCGTGGTGTTAAATCGACCCACTGAGCGGCACAGGCCCGAATCCTGCACCCCTCAGGGCACAGCCTGGCCCAGGTCCCAGGTGAGAAGGCAACGCTGCCTGAAAGAGCAAAGCAACACAGGGGCAGGTTCAAGTGGACTTTTACAGGCTCGGGCTTGTGAAATCCTGCAGCGAGGGGTTCAAAAAAGCAGCATCTGCTGATGGCTAAACCTGCAGCTCCTCCAAGGACACTCTGGAGACACCTCGTCTTTGAGCCAGACCTGCCTACAAAGGTCTTGGACTTAGTCCTGCAAGCAAATACCCAGGAGGAACCCCAGGGAGGAAGGGGAAGGTTCTGGTCCTTACCTGGGTGATGCTGCCACCACTCCCGGCATGTTTGCTGAAGAACTATTTTCCATCCACTTCTGCTGTCCTTTCATTTGCATCCCTAGCCTTGACGTTCATGGGGTAAGGCAGGAGGGACTGGTGATGATACTTGTATGAAAGATAGCTGCCATCTGGAAAAGGTCATCTGGAAAAGCAACCAGACCTTAAGGGGCTCTTAATAAGGTAGAGAGAAGATGCTGCTCCTGGTCCTCCCCCAGCCAGAGCCTGGGGCTCTGGTTCGTGCAAAATTTACACAGCGTTGCTGTGATTTTGGGAAATCAAAGACAAGAAAGTAAAATCCCGTGCAAAGCACTGTTGGTGCCGATGTGGTTTGCTTGCCTGCCCTGGGGATATGGAGTATTTCTTCAAACCACAAAGTTTAAACGCAGGCACATCTTAGGACTATCGGCTGCGGTTTAACTTTTCATCTTCCCATGGAAATCACCCAGCTGGGAATAAGGAATTAGGGCAGCTGGGAAAGGTATCACCTTTCTGCCACCAAGCACAATCCTGCTCGGTGGCACTGCCGTCCTCCCAGGGCTCAGCACAGCTGCCATGGGGGGGCTGGTGACCCAGTAACAGCGTCAGCAAAGGGGAAGGGGGTCCTGCCGCTTCCCCAAGACACAGACATCCCTCCTCCTCCTCCTGAGCACCTCTCCACTGTAATTTGAGGAGCTCTGAATGGAGCAGCCAGCCACGGAAGGATGCTGAGACATCCCCCAGCTGCAGGATCCTGGGTGAGCGCTGTCCCCGCTCTTGCCTCCGTTTCCCAACCCAGCCCCTTCCCAAACCTTCAGCCAGAAGTGTTTTTTTCAGTGATCCATAGACAAACACACATCTCACCTAGCCTGGATATAGGATGGAGCAAGTCAGGTTGTCTGCAGGTATCGAGTTCCTCTCTTACCATCACAGGATGGGGCCATGCAAAAAAAGCTCTGGGAAAGCTGAAACTGTCACGTGTGGGGCTGGAGTCTTCCGAGCACAACATGCATCAGCTTCTGCCTCCCGACCAGGCACTCCTTTCTGGCAGGCAGAGAAGCCTGCCTGCTTCTGCCCTGAAGCCCCAGCGCAAGCTTTGCCCCAGGGAGGGAGCAGTCCACCTCTAGCAAGGGGCAAACCCACATTGCAGACTCTGCCCGCTTTTGCTTTTGGCCCCTGGGAGCCTGCCCCTACCCTGCATCTCGACTTTTGGTTACCAGGCTGATGAACCATCATTTCTCCACCAAAAAAGTTCAGGGGGAAGAAAGAAAACATGAAAAAAAAAAAGTATAAAGCGGAGCCAGACAGAGCACAAAGACAGACAGGAGAGGTGGTGCCTGGCACACGGCCTCCACTCCAGAAATCTTACGCATCCACAGGAAGGTATAAATAACTATAAATTTATTAGTAAAGCAAAACCATTTGACACTCACACAGAAGAGCGGGATGTGTTAATACAATATATATACACACATACATGGAGTATCATCTTAGAAACACACGGAGAGCAGTGTTAAAGGCACTGCAAGCCACACAAACCTCATCATCCTTGGCCGCAACTTCCCACGGCCCTGGGAGCTCTGCTGGAGGCACGAGCGCAGGTTAGAAGGAGCCCAAGAACCTCACCGGCCATGAAATCCCTTGGACCCGTGGCTCGGAGGCGTTCGGAGACAAGCCCACGGTCCAGTTCCCACCTGCAGTCCCGCAATCCCCGCCGAGCATCTCGGGCACACTGCGAGAGCAGCATCTTCACGTCCAGAAGGCGGCAGAGGCGGCTGCTGGGAGACGCTGCAGAGGAATCCTGGCAGCTGGGGAGAAGCCGTGCTCGCGGGGCCCAGCGGAGAGCCACTGCCCCAAACCTCGCCGGCCTGCCATTATTGCAACTCAGCGTGAACGCCTGGGTGTGCAGGAACCTTCCCGCAGGTGAACTCGCCACCCAGCAGAGGAAAAGTCAAACTCTGAAGGACAAGGGGGTTTTTTTTGCTTATTATTAATATTCAGGCTCTGGCTGCAGCCTGGACTTGATGGTAAATACCCAAGAGAAGTGTAGAAAGTGCTCTCCTCCCTCCTAACAGTGCAAGGCCAGGCTTAAGCACCCGGAGATGGTCCCAAACCACTGTCAGAGGACACCTTCCCTCTCACCCCTCGCTCCAGCATACCAAGACCAGAGCGTGCACATCTTCCCACCCACCCAGATCGCAGGGGTGGCATCTGCTCCCCAGAGAGCTGACAGGGCCACCTGGGCACACCCACGGTCCCAGGGGTGTCCGCACTGTGGCTGACTCAGCTCAGCCACCTGCCCGGGGCATGCAGCCGCTCTGCAGGCACTCCCAGGGGAACCGCATGCTCCAGCCCCATCCCTGCACCATGAATTCTCCCCAGGAACGTCTGACAGCCCTTCACTGACGTAGCCCCCAGCCTTGGAGATGTGGCAAAGGGACCCACCACAAAAACGGCCGCTCTCACCCCAGTGCCCCTTGCCCCTTTCCTACAGCTCTGCTCTGGCTCCTAGTTCTGACTCGGACTCGCTCGCCAGAGCCAGCTGTACCACAGACACGACACAGCCAAGCCAAGCTGTGGCCACAGGCATCACCTGTGCCCAACGAGGTAGCCAGCCTCGTGGCGGGGAAGGACCCACTGGATTCCAGCAAGATTCAGGTCCCAAACACCTAACCGCATCATCAGTGGTTTGGTATCACCTGGATCCAGCCTCAGCCTGGGAGAGGAATTTGGAACGGGGCGGGTGGAAGAGAGAGGCAAGAGAACTGTCAGTCAAAATGGAAAAAGGGATGAAAACTGAACCGCTGCTTACAAATAAAGAATTGAATAAAGGGCAAAGCAGCCAAAAAGGTCTTATAAAAGTATAAGCAAAATAGCTGTGGAGGGGAAGGGACTGAGACATAGCTAAAGACATCCTGTAGGTAGAGTAAGGGGAAGATCAGAAAAAAGCCCAGGTAACAAGACTACCTTCTTCCTGGACCCAGGAAGCCATAGGAACAGCAGGATTTACCTCCTGGGCAACATCCACACCACCTTCGGCCAGCCTAACCCTCCCTGCTGCCTCCCCGGAGGCATCCTATGCTCAAGCTGCCTGCCAAAGAGAACAGCCCTTCGGGAGGGACCATCCCCTACTCCAGCCCTACAGAGCATCCTCAGGCAGTGTGGAAACCAGGCCTCGAAAACACACGTGAGCACTTGCCACGGGGCTGACCACACCAGCTCCAGCACGGCGACCCTCTTGGGTGCTGAGGTGGTGAGTGATGTGAGAGGCCCAGCGGAGGCAGCATCAAGAAGCCTGAAAGTCTCTTGAAATAAACATCAGAAGCAAAGTGCAACACAGGTACAGAGTAGAAACACCTTTCACTCTCAAGAGGCTTTGGCCACAACTGCTCTTTGGTTTGAAAAGGAAACACCAGCAGTTAGCAGAGAGTCCTTTGTGGTGCGATGCCCAGGGGACATTGGCCCCCCAGCACCGTGCTCCTGACACTCATGTGCCTCCCGCTATTTCCATCACCTCTTCCCACACGGTACAAAACGTGACCCAAAGGCACAGCAACGGAGATCAACTTGCTCCCCCAGCCTGCCTGTATGCAACACAGCTGCTTCCAGCTAAACAATCTCCCTATGAAAACATACCCGAGGCTCTCGGCGGCCGCTCAGCTGCCTGCTCCACACAGGTCCTCCGCTCGCAGGCACCAAAAGCCACCACGGGCTTCTACTGGATTTGGGCTGTTGCAAGGCAGCAAACAAGTTGAAGAGACCGAGCCACCGCAGGCCCACGGCCAGTCCTACTTACTGATGCTCTAATGCCACACCAAGATGTGCCTACTCACAGGCACCTGCTGCCGCCCTGGGCCTGGGCTCTTCCCTGCTGAGACTCCCCCAGGCACTCTCTGCTGCCGACGCTCTCTCTGCCCAGGGTGCTGCTTGGCTGTTGCCATGTCCTAGGTGGAGACTAGCTCCGGCTCGGAGCTCCTCGCTGGGACACCGAGGGCTTTCCCAGATGCTCAGCATGAGGGAAACGCTCCCCACCAGTCCCGGTGCCCAGGCGGTACCAAGGGGACAGGATCTGGCAGCTCCATGGCCAGCACACGCTGCGGAGCTGTGCCCGGGGCCCACCGCCTTCCTCCTCCGCCCCAAGCACCTGAGGCCCCTGGAGAGGGAAGGGAGCAGTCACAGCTATTCAGGGGCTGCACTAACAATTTCTCCAAACCCCTCCTCTAGCCAGCAGCTGTCCCGGAAAGAAATACAGCCGTAAAACCCCCCGGAGGCTCCAGCAGCCTCCATTTCACACCCTCCTCTTACTAAAGATGAGCCTCCCTGCAAGCTCCCAGCTCCGGGCACCGATCCTGGCTGCTGGTGCCATGCTCAAGCAGTCAGGGTGAGCGCTGAACCCCCGGCTCTGCGGGACCTGCAGCAGCCGTGCCAGGCTGCTCCGAGTGAGAGCAGAGCTAACCACGGCCTGAGGCAGGAACAGAGAGCTCAGGTGGGTGCCACGCTCGCAGCCTCTGTCACCACCAAGCCCTTCTGCAAAAGCAGGATTAGCCTTCCTTGGTTTTACTCCTCATTTTTATTCCTACAGTAAAGCAAACACTGACCTTACTACACATTAAACAGCAAAAATCAGCTACCTAGAACCAAAGACCTCTTTAAAAATCCAAGTTATCACATTTTTTTTTTAAAGATCCAGTATGACATCAAGTTAAACTATACAGTATTTTTTAATGAACAAACTGCTTTAAAAAAAAGACAAAAAAAAAGGAAAAAGAAACAGACAGAAAACTCAGTAGGAAGTTCTACATCTTTGAGGCAGCATGAATCAAGATAACCATCAGTCCCTCTTCCTTGGGCAGCAAACAAGGTCTGCTTTAACCTCCTTAAAGCTGCGCGCGAAGAAGACTCAGCCCCAGGTAGCTGACCTGTCACTGAAGTGTCCCAGCCCCCAAAAACAAACCCCCATTCCCCCTCACCATGCTGGAAATGGAAATGAAAGTCTTTCTCCACCCTTCAGATGAGTGTCCTCTACCAGCAAAGCAGGGACAGCCCAACTCTCTGCAAGGTTAATTTGTCTACACTTGCCACACGCAACATTTATTAAACATGCCCTCATCACCTGTGCAGCACATGGGCAACTTACTGGCTGCTGTTCACTAATTACAGCTCATCACAACACTCCTACCTCACATGAGGGCCAGCCAACATCACAGAAGAGCTGAGGCGGGCAGGGACCTCTGGAGATCATCTAGGCCAACCCCCTGCTTGCGCAGGGCCAGCTACAGCGGGTTGTCCAGGACCACATCCAGTCAGGGCTTGAATATCTCCACAGATGGATATTTAACATCTTACTATCTCCAGAGATGGAGAGGGGAAGGCTGGTGGGCAACCCAGTAATCACGCCTTCAACCTCCAGGGCACCTAACTGGCATGTAGCGGGTCTCTCGGTCATGAGAAGCCAGTAAAATCCTGAAGAGGAAAACACCTGAGGCTGCATTGACCTTGCTAGGGGAAATTTATTTTTAAGTGATGTTTACAAGAACTGTGCAAAACCTGAAAAATACAGAAGAGGTAAAGAAAGAGTAAAGGGGTAAAACAGGACTCCTACAAGAGGGGAAAAAAAAAAAAAAAAAATACACTCCTCCTTTACCCACTGCTAACCTTCCCCTCCCTGTGGAGCTGAGCTGGCAGGCCCAGAAGGATTCTCCTGGCTTGCACTGGGTCCCCTCCAGCAAATCAGACACCAAGCCCCTGGCGCACAGTGTGGGTTCCCATCAGCAAGGGTAACACCTCCAAAGTTATAGGTTATTAGTAGTGTTCATCTCACCCTTTAGTGTTCAAACTGCTGGGACGGCCCTTTGCCTGACCCCCTGGAGGTACGCTAATGGCCCAAGCGGTGCAAAGAGGGAAGGGGCCTGGAGGTAAGTCTTGGCAGAAGAGCTAGGTCCCTCAGGAAGCAGCTCTGAAATGCCATGATCTCAGCCAGGAGCAGGGCATGGAGGCTCTCCTCGCCACACTCTCCGGTAGCGGTGTGGTGCTTCCTACTCTCCCCCGTGCTGCTGGCAGGGACGGGGGCGGGCAGGCTCGCTCAGAACCTTTGTGGAGTGTCACAGCCAGCAACTGCAAAAGCAGCAATGCCAAAGTGCTTTTTGGAGCTGGTGCAGCCCCATGGCTTTTCCCTTTCTACATGCTAGAAAGAGGGAGAGCAGGGGAGGTTGGGGCAGTAAATCAACGCTAACAATCTGAAATGGTCCTCTCAACTGAGCTTGGACCAAGGAAGTTGGGAGAGGTCCCAGCAGCGGAAACCTGCTACTTCCTTGCCAAGCAGTGCGCCCCTGGAGAAGGGTGCTCTGCCTTGCTCCCAAGCCCTCTCCGGGAGGAGAGTTACCCACAGCCCTCCCCGCCGACCCTGCCAGGCAGGGCAGGGGAAAAAAGGCCGCACGCGAAGGGCTGGTGCCCGCAGGGGGCAGCTGAGCTCCCAGCACTGGAAGTGCAGGTACAGCGTGAACTACAGTTCAGGGGACGCCAGGCAACTACAGGCATCGGTTCCTCTCCCCACCTCTCTCCTTTCCTCTCCACCACTTCGAGCTTTTCCCGTCGTCCATCGCCCCCGCGATACAGGTGGCATATCAACCAGAGGAAAGTTTCCCTGCCCGCCCCACCATACCTCCCCTTGCCCCCAACTCCCTGGAGGCCGTCTACAACCCAGGAGAGGGAAGGGGAGGCCAAGGCTGAGGCTCAGGAGCGTCACATGCAAGCTGAAAGCCGCTGAGGGGCGGGAGGCTCAGGGCAAGCAGGCAGCCACCTGGTAGGCGCCCTCAGCCGTGTGCTGGACGCTGTGCTCCTGCAGCAGGCCCAAGTCCAGGAACCGTTCCCCGCACCACATGCACTTGTACTGCTGCTCCCGGGCGTGCACGCCGTGGTGCTTGTTGAGGTGCTCGCGCTGCTTGAAGGCCTTCTCGCAGGAGGGGCACTTGTAGGGCTTCTCGCCCGTGTGCACGCGCCGGTGGCGCTGCAGGTCCGAGGCGTACTTGAACCGCTTTTCACAGTCGGGGCACTTGAGGGGCTTCTCGCGGGCTGGGTCGCAGCGGTGCTGCACGAACTCAGAGGAGGAAAAGAAACGTCTCTCGCAGAGCGTGCACTTGAGCGGCTTCTCGGCGCAGTGGGCCAGCTGGTGCTTCTGCAGAGCTGAGGCCCGCTTGTAGGACTTGTTGCACACCGCGCACTTGAAGGGCCGCTCCGCGTTCTGCACGCACTTGTGCCGCAGCAGCTCCGAGGACTGGTTGAAGCCCTTCTGGCACACGTTGCACTTGAAGAGGTTTTCTATGCCGTGCACGTGCTGGTGGTACACCAAGTGCGAGGGCTGCACGAAGCCCTTCTCGCACAGGTTGCACTTGAAGGGCTCCTCGGCCTTGTGCGTGCGGCGGTGGCGCATGAGCGCGTACTGCTGCTTGAAGCTCATCTGGCAGAGGTCACACTTGAAGGGCCGCTCCTCGCTGTGCGTGCGCTCGTGCTGCCGCAGGTCCGAGGGGCGTTTGAAGGCCTTCTGGCACTCGCCACAGCGGAAGGGCCGCTCCCCGCTGGGCGTGCAGGGGTGCTGCAGCAGCTCCGATGACTCCTTGAAGTGCAGCTCGCAGACGTTGCACTTGAAGAGGTGCTCTCCCGAGTGCGCGTACATGTGGCGCACCAGGTGGGAGCGGTGCTTGAAGGTCTTCTCGCACACCGTGCACTTGTAGGGCCGCTCCGAGCTGTGCGTCCGTTTGTGGTGCACCAGGTGGGAGGACTGGCTGAAGCTCTTATCGCACAGCGTGCACTTGTACGGCTTCTCACCCGTGTGGATGCGCTCGTGCCGGGACAGCTCCGAGAGGTGCTTGAAGGTTTTCTGACAGATGGAGCAGCTGTAGGGCTTCTCCGAGGGGTCGAGAGGCTGCGAGTGCTCTGCCTCGGGAGGCTTGTAGGTCTTCTCACAGATAGAGCACTTCATGGTGTTGCCGTTGTGGACGTTGTGGTGCTGCGCCAACGAGGTCAGGAGGGAGAAGCCCATCTTGCAGACGCCACACACAAAGGGCTTCTGCTCCACCTGGATGCACTGGTGTTCGAGGAGGTCGGTGGCCTGATGGAAGATCTTCAGGCACTGGGTACACTGGAAAGAGCGGTCATGGCCTGGCAAGCACTGGTGTTCATGGGGGTTGGAGAGGTGAGCGAGGTCGTGGCCACACACCCCACATTTGTGGGATGGCTCCCCAGCCTGGATGGGGGCGTGCTGGTGGTGCTGCAGACCGGGGTCTGGCTGGAGCAGGATGCCGTAGACAGCGCAGCCCAAGGGGTTGTCGGCGGTGCTGGGTGGGATGGAGTGCTCTGGGAGGGCGGCTGCCCCAGCGTGGTGCTGCTGCGGTGGTGGCGGCGGCTGCTGTGGTTGCTGCTGTTGCTGCTGCCAGCTTTCTGACATGCTTGGGAAAAAAAAATGGGATTTTAGCAGGGACAGCTTCCTTTTCTCAGTTCAAAGGGTTCAAGTAAAAACAAAAATCCAAACTATCCAAGATCCTGATTCCCCGTAGCTGATCCCCTGAAGTCGAGGACAGAAAATCCAGCCCACAGCCAGGATCTTGGGAAGCAAAGAGGTGACTGAAACTCCAGAGCCTCCTCCTTAGATCAGCACAAGTTCTTTGTGGACCGATTTGGTTTGGCTTTTTCTTTTTTGGACAAAAGAACAGGAGGCAGAAGTAAGTGCCCTGAAGAGGAGGCCCTTCTCTGTGCTGGCTGCGACGTGCTCACATTTGGGAAGGGCGAGGGAGGCGGCCCAGGGAGCAGCTCTCTCTGCAAGGAAGAAGACAGCTCATGTCAGGTCGCAGAGGAAAGGCAGGCAACTCTCTTGTCAACCTCCCCCACGGCTCGCTTGGAAAACCCCCCCATGTCCCTGCAGTCCCTCCAGCTCCCCAGGGCGGGGGAGCTAACCAGAACTGAAGCCCTGCCTTGCTGCTGTGTGAAGGGCCCGGTACAAGGTGTGCTCAGCCTGGAAAGGGTCAGGCTCTGCCCAGCCACAGCCAGGCACACGTTTGAGTGCCCGCTCTCACGAGAGGCAGCACAACTGCCCGGGTCCCAGCCAGCTCAGTTACCCCGTACGCTGTCAGTCACTGAGGTACGCCCAGTGCTGTGCCATCAAGAGGCTACCAGGTTAGATTTTTACAAATATCAAGGCGAATCCCAACCCGATCCCACCCTAGCTGAAACATCCCTGTGGAGAAGTTCTGCTCCTCCTGCAGCTTGGGTAGCAGGCACATTACTCAAGGAATGTATGTAAGAGATAACCCCCTCTCCGAGCAGCGCTCGTAGACTAGGAAGAGCCAGAGAGCTCAGGGAAGGTTTGCCCTCAACGTTACGCTATCTGCAGACAAAACACACAACCCACAAGTATCGTGCGCGGCACTCTCTGTGAAGATAAAAAGCGTTAAAGCAATGGCCTGGCTGAACCTCCTACCAAACAATGGAATAAAAGTATACCGGAGCCAAACAACCTACACGAGACGTGCTGCCTGGCCTTACTAGAGAGCATCACAGGGGTTTTGCTCACTGAAAAGTTCCAGTCATTCTAGAGATGTCCAATAAAGCCCGATACCAACTTAGAGAAGAGTAAAACCCACCTGTAAGCAGCAGATAGCAACACACCTCAGGAGAGAGGAAGGGTCCAGGCCTTAGCGAGAAGCAGCAGCTAGCGCTCGTGGGCCATGAGCCCCTAACCCCACAAGAGCACAGCCGTTTCGGGGTCAAACCACCTGCCCTCACCCAGGGCAAGTAAAACTCCAGCCTTTCAGGAAGGCGTGCGTTGTATTTAAAACTAAGCGCTTGGGAGCATCAGAGAAACCCGCTTCCCAGCGTCCCCACCTCCCCGAGCGCTCAGCTGAGGCCGGATCATGCCCCCAGAGCTTGGGGAGCGCCGGACTGCGCTTCTGCCTACGGGGACACGGCATTACTTTGTCCATCAGCACAATTTTGGGGCACTAAAATGCCCTACCAGTACGCAGGACCCCCCTCTTTCCCCGGCGTAGCTCACCTTGACTGTCAGCACGAAGGGAGGGCTCCCGAGTTACGATACCTAGCCCCCGAGCTCAACGGGATGCAAAACTTCAGTGCAGCCCAGCCGCCACCTTCCCCCGCAAGCAACGTTAACCACGGCAGGAGGAACCCGGAGGCGACGGCATCCCAGGCCATCCGGCCTAACGGGGAGAAGGGGAGGCTCGGGTCCCGCCGGCAGGGAAGGGTACGGAATACCAACCTTGGCTTACCGTGGGCTCTGCACGGGTACCCGAGTCGGCGCCAGCTCCGAGCCTAACTCATCCTTCCGTGGGAGGTGGGAAGCGACAACCATTTAAGGAGAGAAGACGGGAAAGCAGAGGTACTTTCAAACTGGGTGAGCGGCCCACGGCACGGCCCCCTCCGGCATGGTCCGGTCAGCCTCCCGCCTCCGCGCTGTGCGGGCCTCCCACAGCCGGGCCGAGGCCGCCTCAGGGAGCGGCGCGGCGGGGCCGCGGGGCGCGGGGGCGGCCGGGGAGCTCGGAGGCCAGCCGCCGCCGCCGCAGCCCGCGGCCAGGCCCGTCCCGCCGCTCGCCTCCCGCCATGGGACGGCTCCTCCGGCCCCGCCGGCCTGCGGGGCAAATGCGGCGGCGGCGCCCTGAGGCCTTCCCCGCCGCCGCGCCGGGAGGCCCTACCCGGCCGGGGCCACCCCCGCCCCGCCGAGGCCCACACAAAGGGCGGCGGCGGCGGCGGCGGCCGGGCCCCTCACCTGCGGCGGGAGGCCCCTGTCAGCCCGCCCGCTCGCCGCCGGCGGGGCCGCGGCCTGCGCGCTCCCCCCGAGCCCCGCGCTGGCGTGGCGGCGGGCGCCGGGAGGAAGGGAAGGAAAAGGCAGGGGGCGCCGGAGGCGGGCGGGCGGCGGCCGCGGGGTGCGGAGCGGAGCGGGCCGGGCCGGACGCGGCGGCGGAGGAGGAGGAGGCGGGGCGGGGCGGGCCGCGGCGGCTGCCCCCTGCCGGGCCGCGCCGACAACAGCGCCGCCGCCCGCCGGCACCGGCACCGGCAGCGCCCGGAAGGGCCCGGCGGGCGCGGGCGGGGCCGGGCCGGCCATGAGGGCCGCGCTGGTGGGGTATAGCAGCTCGGAGGAGGAGGAGGAGGAGGAGGAGGAAGGGGGGCGCCGAGGCAACGGCGTGCAGGGCCCCCCCCGGGCCAGGTGGGTGCGGGCGGCGGGAGGGAGCGGGGCCGAGTGAGGAGCGCGCAGCCTTCCTCCTCATCCTCCTCATCCTCCTCATCCTCCTCATCCTCCTCCCCCCATCCCCCGCAGCGCCGGCCGTCCCCGCCTGCCCGCCCCCGCCGGCCTGCCGGGCGACCCGGAGCCGGAGGAGGCCGTTCGAGACGACAGCTCCCGGCACGGCGGCCGCGTCCGCGGCTTCCCCCACGAGCGGGGCAGCTGGGCCACTCACGTCTACCTGCCCCGTAGGTAACCGGGCCGCGGCCGGGAGGGGCGGGTGGGACGGAGCCCAGCCGGTGCCGGGAGCCCTGGGGGACCCCCGCCTGCCCCCCGGGCGCTGACCGCGCTGCCCCGCAGACAGAGCCGAGGAGGAGTTCCTGGAGCTGCAGGAGCTGCTGCTCCGCCACGCTCGCACCCACGTCCCCGCGCTGGCTGCCGTGGAGGAGTTCCACCTCAGCCTCTCGCAGTGCGTGGTGCTGCGCTACCACTGGATCGAGCCCTTCGTCCGCTCCCTCAAGGAGCGCCTGGCCGCCTTCCACAGGTAGGGAGGCTGGAGCCCTGGGGGAGCGCTCCCCACACCCTTCCCTCTCCCTTGGGGCCTGGGTTTCACCAGCATCCGCACCCGCGGTCCTCTCCGGGAGATGGTGCTGCACCAGTGGAGCCCCGGGGAGTTTTCCTTTCTGCTTCAGGATCCGGCACCCGGCAAGTCTGGTCTTGGCTTTGAGGTTCGAGGCTGGAGCTGTGCCATCCCATAAACTACAGAGGGTTTCCCTGCTTACATCTGGCTCAGGCACCTGCTGAGCGTCAGCTGCTTCAGGAACTCTCTCACCATCTGGGCTTCAGAGGGCTGGACACCAGGGGGGAATGGATTAAGTTGAGCCCAGAAGGGTTCTAGCTGCACCAATTAGGTCCAATTATGGCATGCATTTGCCTTTATCTTGCCACTGCTCTGTAGAAATCCTGTCCCCTCCCCATCTTCTGCTTTTGTATTTTCTTTTTCCCGCCAGCTGAAATAAGATTTCTCTTATTTCAGGTTCTTCTGCGTGGCTGATCAAGTGAAGGTTTACACCAACGAGAACAAAACCAGGTGAGCGAGCAGCGGGGCAGCCTGCCTGGCTGCCTGGGGGGAAGGCTGGGCAAGGTGCTGGGTGAGTGGGAAGTGTCACTCTGTCTGTCCCACGGTGACCAGGCTGAGCCCTGTGATGGGGGCAGTATGCAGTCACCTAGTCTCTAGAAGTTTCACGCCTTTCCCCAGCCACTTTTTAGCTTCAGCACTGATACTCTGCAAGAGGTTGATCTCGTGAGCGGTGGCCGAACCTCAGACTGCAGGATTTCAGTCTTCTGAAGAGAGGAAACCTGTCCACAACGTGACCTGAGGCAGGCCTTTCTGCTGGGGTTAGATTCGTGCTACAGTTTCACAGCAGCTCAAGGAGGCAGCCGCGTTTGCTGCCATCTCCCATCTGGTTTGTTCTGCGGTTTTGCAAACCCCTGTGCCAGCATGAGCAGCCTGGGGTGAGCAGAGCCAGGGCTACCTCTTTCGATAGCAGTGCCGGCCGTGAAATTGCCGTGCAGGTCTTCTAAGAGCTGGAGAGAAATAGCTCAGATGGTGCTAATTCTCCCTGGTGTCAGCTCAGAAGCCTGATTCAAATGGAACGCAATTAAGTAGTTTAACTGTCAAAGCAAAGTTGATTAAAATTGTGAAAAGTTGCTGCATCTAGCAGGAATGGCAGCCCACGGTAGTCATAGGTGGGTGAAGTGGATCCTGAGGGAGACTTAAGTCTTCCCCTCCCCTCTTGGCGTCTAGAAAGCATCATCCAGGCAGTTCTTGAGGAGGTACCTCTTTGTGAAGTCTCTCCGGCTTGGTACTTCCCTGTCCCCACTTCCTCTCCCACTGTAAAATCCCTCTGGCAACTTCCGCTTTTTGAATGCGGCTCCTGCACAGCACGGCGCTCTGCTGAAATACCCACTGAGCACATCCTTTGCCTGGAAAATGAGTTTTCATGTCCCAGACGGTGCGCTGAGTCGATCTAGTAAATCTATGTTATATATCATCCAGTTCTGCTTCTCTCTCCTACCACATCTTTATTTCTGTTTGTCTTTAGAGTATAGTCAGTGTCTTTGAATGCTTGAACCTGGCATTCCTCAAATTATCTTTTGTTAGGGGGAAGGGAATTTGCCCCGTAGGAATGCAGGGCTAAGTGTGCTTCCAGCTGTGTTTTCTGCAGCATGAAAGGGTGCTTGCCGTCTCTTCTTGTCTTTCTTTAGGACCTTTATTGGCTTGGAGGTGTCCGCTGGGCATTTTCAGCTCCTGGAGCTGGTCTCAGAGGTGGACAGAGTTCTGGAGGAATTTGACCTTCCCACATTCTACAAGGTGAGGGGGTCTCCCATTTACTTCCCTGCCAGTCCAGAGATGCTGGCTGGCTTCCTTCGAGAGGTCCTTGAAGCGTTCACACCAAATAAACAGGAGGCTTAGACTCCGAAATGGTGACCTCTAGGCTGATCGGTGATGCTGATACTTAACGCCCTGAACATGATCTTTCTGAGAACAGGACTAGTGCAAATCTATGATTTCTGTATTGTGTCCTGTGCAGAAGAGTAAGGTTGTTAACTACCTGGTGGCCTCCGGAAAATCAAGTTTCTGGGGAGAAGGGCTGGAGCACACGTCACAGTCGCTGCCCTGCTGTGCGTGGAAGCGGGTTGTCCTAGGCTTGAATGGGCTTAGGGTGAACACTGTGGGACCGAGGGCGATGCCTGTGCCTCTTCCTTGGGCAGATTCCTGTGGCATCGGTTCAGCCTCTTTGCTTGGTACTAGCTTTGGGGACAGGTTTCGGATTTTGAAGGGTCAAACCCTGCTTTCTCTGTCTCCAGAGCTGTGCAGAGAGATCTGGTGGGTTATTCAGAAGTGACCCACCTACCTGCTCCAGGACTGTCCACGAGAGGTTCTCTGTGAAGCTGGAAAAAACTTCTGCAGAGTTGACCACAGGGAGGCTGGGCAACAGGCAGCCTGGTCCACTGGTGTCCTAAAAGGCTGGGGAGGGAAGCCCAGCACTCATCTCGCCTCCAGCACTGTTCATATCAGCTCTGCGACTGTTGAGCTGGCAGAGTGGGCTCCCAGCTTTGGGATCCTCCTACCCCTGCAATCCCAGGCAGGGCAGCATCACACCAGATCTCCCACCACAGCTCCGTGCGTTGAGCAAAGCCTCCTTTAGCCCTCATGATCTGACCCCTGTTTTGTCTTCAGGACCCGTCGTTCCATATTAGCTTGGCTTGGTGTGTCGGGGACCTGTCTGGCAGGCTGGAAGGGCAGTGTCTGCGGGAACTCCAGGTGCGTCCCCACACAGCGTGGAGAGCAGGGGAAGAGCAGAGCTGGTGTCCAGCCACGTCTCTCTGCTGAGGGTGGAGAGTGGGAAATTCTCTTTACTGAGCAAGACAAACTTGACTGGATTGAAAGAAGAGAAGCTTTTGGGGGGCAGGTGGCCTTGTCTCTGACTTGGTTCAGAGTGGGAACTGCTGACTCCATCCTCTGGCATATCCACCCTCCTGGTACTGACTCCTGCTTCTGTTTTCCAGGACATTGTGGACACGTTTGAGGACTCGGCGCTCCTGCTGCGTGTCCAGTGGGAGGAAATCCGCTGCAAATCAGGCAACAAGTACTTCTCCTTCCCCTTGAGGTAGGGGCTGCTGGGGCTGTGCATTTCAGAGCCTTGAAGATCCTGATGTTCAACCAAGGACTGTTTTCCAGCGCGGCTCTGAGTGGTGTGGGCTGTCACGCACCTCTCATGCTCTTCTTGCCTGCTCAGCATCTCTGGGGTGTTTGTGGCCTCAAGTCAGGCTACTTCCAAGTTTGAGTTGCTGGCTGAAGAAATGTGTGTTTGTAGCAGGTTTCGTCCTCACTGCTGTATGTGCTGCAGTCAGCACTGGTGGTTCCAGCCATCCCACAGTCGCTAATTCTGCTGATTTAAAAAAAAAAAAAAAAAACCAAACTCTATAAAAGCCATAGATGCCTTATGGGAAGGAGGAAGAAGGTATCGTGGGAAACTGTTGCTAAAGTGAGCGTGTCTCTCGTGGTTGGAAATAGTGCTGCCCGATTGTCAGGAGGCTCTGAGCATGCTTTGAGTAGCAAGAGACAAGGATGTGGAGCTGGACTCTCTTGCCAGAGCGTCTCCCTACTACGTGCCAGCTCGGACAAGTTCCTGAGTCATGTACTGTGTCCATCTCACACTACTGCTGCCTCTTTAGAGACATTCCAGTATCCGATCCTTTTGCCAAACAGCAAAAGATAAAATCTGGAGGGGAGGGGTTGGAAACCCCTTGTGTTTCAGTACTCCGAGCTGGGTCTGAAAGAAGAGTTTTGGTTTAAGATTGTGCATGCCATAAGCCTGGGACTTTCTTGGTGGGCTCCTTCTCCTGAGACGCTTGCTACTGTGCGTGGGCAAGCCCAGGAGAGGGAAGGGTCAGCTTTTGCCGGAGCCGTGCCCACGGGTGTGTCAAGGTCCTGACCAAGCTCCACGCTTTTTCCTCATGGGAACAGCATCCCTGGTGCTGGGATGACCCTGGGGACAGCGGGCTGGACTTTGTTCCTTGGGAGAAGCTCCTTTTTAATCCTTTTGTGCCTGTGGGGCGGTCGGCTGCAGCCGCTCAGGTATTTGGAGCAGGATACCGATGTGCTGCCCTGAATCTTTCATTCCGTGTCTGTCTGATGAAAGACTCTGGGACTTCAGAGCAGTAAAAAAAAAAAAAAAAAAAAAAATCTCTCACGTCATAAACTCGTTTCCAGGGTATATTTCAGCCGTTTCCTCCTGGCCACGCGCAGCTCCTGCAGACTTCAGATGAGGCGATGCCTGCAAGCCCTTCCCGGAGCTGGGTGCTGCTGGCCCTTGCACAGGGGGGAGCCTGGGGGCTGCCATGTCTCCCACCGCCTCTGGGGCGGCTGCTGTGCAAAATCCGTAACCAAATTCTGTTTGTTCAAAATCCGTAACCAAATTCTGTTTGTTCAAAATCCGTAACCAAATTCTGTTTGTTCAAAATCTGTAACCAAATTCTGTTTGTTCAAAATCTGTAACAAAATTCTGTTAAGTCTGTAGCTGGTTAGTTTCTGGGAGGGCGATCTGCGTGATAAGGCATGTGATTACACCCCCGAGTTTTCTTTTGGGGAAGGGCAAACAAACAGAGATATATTTAGCCCCTGGGGACTTGCAGTGGAACTGGCTCCGGCACGACCGGTTTCTCGGTAGCGGGAGTCCAGCAGCGCCGGGTTAATGCTCAACCAGCGGCCCCGCTGGCCGCCCGGCGCGGCCCGTGGCCCTGTTGCGTAGCTCCCACGGGTGTCGGGGAGCCGCGGCCGTGGGGACCGAGCGCGGGGGCGGCGGCACCGCGAGATGGCGGCGGTGGGGGGGGGGGGTGTGGGGGGAGGACCGGCCGCGCGCGCCCCCGCCCCGGCAGGTGTCGGGCTGAGGGCGCCGCGGCCCCGCCCCCCCCCCGGCGCCGAGGCCCCGCCCCCCCGGCCCCGCCCCGCGCCGTGCAGCGGCCGCCGCGCCCGCGTCCCTCCGCCGCGTTCCGCGGCTCCCGGCGGGCAGGGCAGGGCAGGGCAGGGGAACGGAACCGCGCCGCCCATGTGCCCTGCGCCACCGGGCTGACTCCGCACACAAAGGCGGGCCGGGAGGCGACGGGCCGCGCCTGGCAGCGCCGCCCATGCCCCGCGCGCAGCCCCCCGGCCCCGGGCCATGAGGGCGGCGTAGCTCCGGCACCGCCGCGCTCGGCCCGGCCCGGCCCGGCCCGGCGGCAGCCGCGAACCGGCGGGGCCGCGGTATGGCGGGAGCTGGCGGCGCCCCCTGCCGGGCGGGCGGAAGGCTGCGGGCGGGCAGGACCCCCCGCCCGTCGCTGCTGGTGCTACTGGTGCTGCTGGGGGGGGCGGCGGCGGCGGGCGAGGAGATCAACGCAGAGGTGAGCGGGGGGGGGGGGGGGGGGGGGCGCAGGGCGAGGCGGGGGGGCTCTGCTGTGACACCCCGCCCGCCCCCCCCGCCGCCCGCACCTGCGCCCGCCCCGGAGGCAGGTGCAGGGGGGGGGGGGGGCGCGGGCCGGGCCCGGCGGCCGCGGGGGAGAAAAACCGTTTTGTGCCCACGCCGGGCCGCGTGGGGGGTGAAAGGGCCTTTGACAGAGTCTCTGCTCCGCCACCCTGCCTGGGGAGGGGGGTGGGGGTAAAAAAAAAAAATATATATATTTTTTTTTTTTCAAAATTAAAATGTTAAACCGCTTCTTAAAAATGAGAAAGTGGAAAAGGAGAAGATGAAAAGACTTGAAAAGTGGAGAATTGGAAGAGGAAAAAAATTAGAAAGTGGGGGAAAAAAAAGAATTTAGAAAAGTCAAAAATTAAAAAAGTTAGAAAATCAAAGGGCAAAAAATAAAAATAATAAAAATAAAAATTTAAAAAAGTAATTAAAGAGACAGGAGGAGGAGGGAGGCTGGCGCAGGAAGGAGGAGACCCGGTGGGCCCCAGCACCCCCCCCCCCCCCCCCCGGCGGCCGCTGCCCCCACGCAGGGCCCCCCCACGCCCCGCGGGCACCCCGGGGGCTGCCAGCCCCGCAGGACAGAAGCCCCTTTGTGGGTAGGGGCTGGGGCGGGGGTCCCGGGCTGCCGGGGGGGGGGGGGGGGGGGGCCTGGCGCCGGGCGGGGTCGGGGGGGACACCTCCGGAAGAGGAGGAGGGGGGACGGGCTGCCTGCCCTCTCCCCGGGGGGCAGGGTGATGGGCACACACACCCCCCCCCCCCCGAGGTCGGCTGCTCCCCCCGGCCCCCCCCAGCCTTCGCGGGGCAGGGCTGGGGCTCTGGCCCTGCCTGCATGCTGCGGCCTGCCCTGCCCCGCCCTGCCCCGCCCTGCCCCGCCCTGCCCCGCCCTGCCCCGCCCGGCTGCCCTCTTTGCCGCCCGGTGAGAGGGGGGACAGGGCTGGGGACGGCCCTGCCGGGGGTCTTGGGGAACACCCCCCCCCCCCCCCCGGCGCTCCCCTGACGCTTGGCTCTCCCTGGCGCAGGCATGGCTGCGGCTCTACGGCTACCTGCCGCAGCCCAGCCGGCAGATGTCCACCATGCGCTCGGCTCAGGCCTTCTCCTCAGCCCTTGCCGAGATGCAGAAGTTTTACGGCATCGCGGTCACCGGGGTCCTGGATGAGGAGACCAAGGCGTGAGTTTCTCCGCGTCCTCTCGCTCTCGCTCTGCTCCCTGGCTCTTCGCCTTTGCCTGGCAGCCCCCGGAGCTCTGCCTTGCGCCTGGGGGCGTGGGTGCTGTCTCCCGTGGGAGCTGCATCTCCCCTTTTGGGGGGGCTGCACCCTTGCAGCCAGGACGCCTCCCTCGCTGTCCCACGGCTGCTGTAACACCCCCCCCCCGGGGACCTTGGCCGTGGTGGGCTGAGCCCTGGCTCGATGCCCTCCTGGCAGGTGGATGAAACGTCCTCGCTGCGGGGTCCCGGACCAGTTTGGGGCACGGATGAAGTCCAACATGCGGCGGAAGCGGTACGCGCTGACAGGGCGGCGCTGGAGCCAGAGCCATCTCACCTTCAGGTACTCAGCATCTCCAGGGCTTCCCACCCCCCAGCCCACGGAGAGCCACGGACCCCCACGGGGAGGGAGCGCTGTCCTGGGCCGTCCCCAGCCAGCTCTGTACCCCCAGCATCCAAAACTACACGGAGAAGCTGGGTCGGTACCACTCATACGAGGCCGTCCGTCGAGCTTTCCGGGTGTGGGAGCAAGCCACGCCGCTGGCTTTCCGGGAGGTGCCCTACGAGGACATCCAGCAGAAGCGGAAGAAGGAAGCCGACATCATGGTGCTCTTCGCCTCCGGCTTCCACGGAGACAGCTCTCCCTTCGACGGTGTCGGGGGATTTTTGGCTCATGCCTATTTTCCCGGTCCTGGCATGGGGGGGGACACCCATTTTGACTCGGATGAGCCCTGGACACTGGAGAACACAGACGTGTCTGGTGAGTCGAGGGCCAAGGAGGTGGCGAAGGCAACCAGGGGAGCCTCGTGGGCCCCTGGGTTTGAGGGCAGGAGTAGGCAGGGAGAGCAGCTCCACCACGGGTGACGCAGGCAGCTCCCACCGGAGCACCCTCATCACGGGGGGGGGGGGGGGGGGTGCGGACCCCACCCCATGTGTTGTGTCCTCCACCCTGTCTTGCTGATGGTGCCTTTCCCTGCAGGGAACAACCTTTTCTTGGTGGCTGTGCACGAGCTGGGGCACTCGCTGGGCCTGGAGCACTCCAGCAATCCCAGCGCTATCATGGCCCCCTTCTACCAGTGGATGGACACGGAGAATTTCCAGCTGCCTGAGGACGACCTCAAGGGCATCCAGCAGCTGTATGGTGAGGAACTGGCTGGGGGATCAGCCCGGAGGTGGGATGCTGGGCACGTCGTGGGGGGAAACTGAGGCACAGGCGCTGCTGGTCTGCATCACTCCACCCCTTCTCTCGCTCACCCGATCCAGGTACCGTGGACGGGCACCCTCAGCCCACCAAGCCTTTGCCCACCATGACGCCTCGGAGACCTGGCAGGCCAGACCAGAGACCCCCTAAACCACGCCCCCCAGGGAAACCGGAGCGACCCCCCAAACCTGGCAGCCCAGACCGACCTGACCAGTACGGCCCTGACATCTGCGACGGGAACTTCGACACGGTGGCAGTGCTGCGTGGGGAGATGTTTGTGTTCAAGGTACCCGCTGGGACCCCCCCTCCTGCCCCATCCCTGGGGATGTGCTGAGCCCCTGGGCGGGAAAACCCCCTGGGAAGATGCCTGGTGCTGCGACTGGGTGCCTCCCATCCTCTGCCAACGACCTGTGTCCCACCAGGGCCGGTGGTTCTGGAGGGTTCGGCACAACCGGGTGCTGGACAACTACCCCATGCCCATCGGGCACTTCTGGCGGGGCCTCCCTGGGGACATCGATGCCGCCTATGAGAGGCATGACGGGAGGTTCGTCTTCTTTAAAGGTGAGCGGGGAAGCTGGGTAGGAAGGCCGAGGTGGAAGGGGGACACCAGTGCCTCCCCAAGCTCCCGAGAGCTGTTTGGCTTCATCCCATCCTTGCCCACCTCCCTAGGTGAAGCTGCTGCCTGACCCCGAAGGGACAGTGTGGCTGCCGGCATCATACCCCATCTCTATCCACATGTGCGCCCGCTGCAGCAGCTGGGTGTTGTCACCTCACCCCCCTTCTCTGTCCCCTCCCCGTCCAGGTGACCGGTACTGGCTCTTCCGAGAAGCCAACCTGGAGCCCGGGTACCCACAGCCCCTGGTCACCTATGGGCAGGGCATCCCCTACGACAGCATTGACACGGCTGTCTGGTGGGAACCCACAGGGCACACCTTCTTCTTCCGTGGGGACAGGTGAGTGTCTGTGGGGTTCTATTCCCTGCTCTGCCGCCTCCTGGCCCCTGGCAGGGGTGGGCATTGCGGCTGGCGGGGACCCCCGTGTTCCTCACCTGCTCCCTGCCTCCCTCCCCCAGATACTGGCGCTTTAACGAAGACACTCGCTCGGTGGACCCCGGGTACCCAAAGCCCATCTCGGTCTGGGTGGGCATCCCTCCCTCACCCAAGGGTGCCTTCCTCAGCCCGGATGCCTGTAAGTAGAGGACGAGAAGAGGGCTGGGTGGCAGGGGTGGGACCGGAGGGGATGAGGTCACCTTTCTGGTGGCCTGGCCTTGTGGGGTGGAGGCTGGGAAGGCGCTCGGGAGTCAGGGGTGAAGCCCTTTCGGAAGGGTTTCACCAGTCCTAGAGTCAAACCCGCTGTCCCGGGCAGCTGCAGGGTTGTCCAGGTTGTGAGGTGCCCACTTACCCCTCACTTGCATCTTCTTCCCCTCCACCCCAGCCTCCACCTACTTCTACAGAGGCACGAAGTACTGGAAATTTGACAATGAGCGGCTCAGGACGGAGCCGGGTTATCCCAAATCCATCCTACGGGACTTCATGGGCTGTCACACAGAGCTGGTCCCGGACCCCCCTCCCCGCTGGCCTGATGGAGACCGACCCCCCTTCAACCCCGACGGGGATGGGCGGACCGAAGGCAAGGAAGAAGAGGAGGAGGAGGAAGAGGAAGAGGAAGACGAGGAGGATTACGGCGAGGGTGACCACCAGCCAGGCGGGGATGTGGACGTGGTGGTGCAGATCGACGAGTACACGCGCACCATGAGCGTCGTCATGGTGCTGGTGCTGCTGGTGCTGCTGCTCTGCATCCTTGGCCTCATCTATGTCATTGTGCAGATGCAGAGGAAGGGCGCGCCCCGAATGCTCTTGTACTGCAAGCGCTCCTTGCAGGAGTGGGTCTGACCCTGGCTCCCTCCCCCCCCCCCCCGCCCCCACCACCATGGTGCTAACGATGGACCTGACCTGTCCCCCCCTGCAGCCTCGGCCCCTCTGCCCCCCCTGTTGCTTGATGGCTGCAGCCTCAGAAAAGGGGGATGCCCACCCTCCCCAGCCCCTCCAGAGCAGCCAGGCTGGCGCTGGGGGATGGTCACGGGTGGGCTGGAAAGCATCCAGGTCCTGCCTGCTCCCTCACAGCCGTCCCCCAACCCTGGCCACGACCCTGGGGGTGCCACCCATCATGTCGCACCCCCCCTCTGCCCCAGGGTCCCAGCGGGATTCCCGCCTCTTGCGCGCCCCCACTGCGGGTGTGCTGAGCGGGTCGGGGGCTGCTCACCAGTGCCGTGAGCTGGCAGGTCTCAGCTGCCGGCACCTGCGATGGCGGGGGGGGGGGGGGGGGGGGGCTGTGGGGGAAGGGAGGGCTGAGCTCATGGTTTCCCGTTGAACCGCAGGGAGACGGGGTGGTGGTCCCTAAAGAGAGCATGGGGGGGGGAACACACCACCTCTGCAGCCAGACGCTGCTGCCGAGGGGCACGAGGCCGTGGGCCTGGGGGCAGCAGGCTGGGCCGCCTCGTATGTGTATTAAACGGGTCGGGTGCGTGGAGAGCTGTGGTGCCATCCTTTCTGCTGCGGGATGGGGGAAAGCGCTACCCCCCCCCCTCCCCACCCCGACCAGCTTTGGTGGGTTTTGTGGCAACGGGGGCTCGCATCTGGGTGCCATGGGGAAGAGGCCAGCATGGATGGTGATGTCCCTGCAGCACCCCCCCCACACACACACACACCTCGAGGTTACCATTTTGGGGTGGGTCAGCAAAAGCAGCCCCCCACCACCACCACCACCACTCCAGGCGTGGACAGAGCCGCCTTTCAGCAGCTCCCACGGCAGTGGCAGTGGCCTGGCCGGGAACACAGCGTGCCTTGTTCTCCCCCGGCCGGCACCCGGCTGCAGCCCCGCGGCTGCTGCTGCCTCCCTTCCCCGGGCAGGGGCTGGTGGGGGGTCCCCTCCTGGCGCGGAGTTACTGGGTGCTTCAGCTGGTTGTCCCCACGCGGCCCCAGCGTGTGTTTCCTGGGGGGAAGGGGGTGGCTGTATCCTGTCTCGCCGCTGCCGTCTCGGCGGAGGAAAGCAGGAGGAGTCACGACCGCTGCGGGGATCACGGAAATAATTGTGGGAGTGGGAAAGATTAAGACCCTGGGGGGTGGGGGTGGTGGGGGTGTAGGAAATTGGCTTTATCCAGGGAAAAACGTTGCTAAGCCTTTAATGGGAAGGAAAGCCAGGCCACAGCGGGTGGCAGTGATGGAGATAGTGGCTTCCCCGCCTCTGCGGGCAGTGACTGGGGCCGGGTTTGCTCTGGGGTCAGGGGCGCAACCCGGGCTGCCTCAGGACAGGGGGCTGAGGCCTGGCGCGATTAATACACGGGTGGGGGGGCATTGCGTGCGTCTGGCCCGTCCCTGTGGTGATGATCCTATGGAGGCAGGGGGGCTCTCCCTGTGGGACTGGACTGCAGCCAGCATCCCCCTCCCACCCCTCCCGCAGCAGGTCGGGACCAGCACCCGGGCCCTGCCTTCTTTCGCCCCAGCAGCTCTGACACAGGGCTCAGTGCCGGGGGCACTAACCCCCCCACCCCGACCCGCTTCCCCCGTCCCTGAGGCTCCAGCTGCCCCCGCACCCCCGTCCCAGCCCTGGCGGGAGGGGATCCCCCCCCCACCTCCCTTTTCTTGGGAGGGGTAAAGTCTTTGTGTCCCCTCCCCAGGACCCAGAGCTGCTGGCTCAGTGCCCAAGACTCAGCTGCAGCCACTTCCCGGCACTAAATTGCCCCGAGCTGCTGTGCCTCTCATCAACCACTAATTACTTTAAAGGGCAGGACTGATCCTGGCTCTCACCCTGCCTCCCCCCGGGGGTGCTGTCACTGGGAGGGGAACCCCATGGCCTGGGCCACTGGGGCCCCTGCCCCAGCCTCCATCCCTGTGTAGTGATTCCCAGCCATTAGCTGATTCCCTGGGAAACACGCTTGGCTCACGCTCAGCCCATCACTGCGGCCAAGCGAGGAGCCAGAATCAGGGACAGAAAAACCCTGAAGAACTGGGAGGTTGAACTCTCCAAGTGGCTCTGGGCTGTTGTATTCCATCAGCCAGGCTGTGCTGGGTCACATTCCTTGGCTCTTAACTTCTTTGAATTCGGTTTTGACCGTTTTGCCCAGATCTGTGCTTGCATGGGTCCTCCCCAGAGCTGCTGGACTGAGAGCCCTGCTGCGGGGCAGCCCAGCGCTGCAGCCTGCCCCAAACTGGGGCCAAACCGGCACCGGGAGCTACCAGAAGGCATGAACCTGGCCAAAAGGTAAGGCAGGAGGAAAGCTGTGGCTGAAGATTTGCTGCTCCCCACCCCCCCAAAGGCAGCTCCAGAGGCAGGCACAGATGCATTTCCCACGGCAGATGCATTTCCCACACTAGATGCACTTCCCATGGCAGATGCATTTCCGACAACAGATTTCTTTCCCACGGCAGCTGTGTTTCCCCGCTCTCCCAGGGGTGCTGAGGGCTCGGTGGGATGCGGAGGTGGGGACCCCGAAGCCTGGTACCCAGAGAGATGCCTGGTTCACGGGGAAACCCGGCTGAGCTGGCCGAGGATGCCCAGGGCCGGACACTCGTGGCATCCCCTTGCCTGGGCAGCTCTGCCACGGCAGGGAAGGGGCCTCCTTGCTGATTCAGGGTGGGACAGGATCTGGGAGCAATTCCCCAGGGAGAATTCGCAGAGCTGGGAGCAGAGGCCCAGGCTGCCTGCGTTCAGTGAGCCGGGACATCACCTCCCACCCCCCCCCTCCACCCCCCTTTTCTTCCGATGCTGTAGAGGAGCCAGTGCCAGGAGCCTGGGGCCATCTGGAAATGCTCACGGATAGCAGTGAGGGACCTTGCTGGAGACAAAGCTCAGGATTTCGGCAGGGCCCAGGCTCCTCGCCAGAGGCTCCCGCTCTGCCCTGCATGCCCACAGCAGGGCCGGCTTGCCTCTGGCTGCCCACAGATACAAGACCCTGGGCAGGGCAGGGACGGACCTGCTGCAAGGGACAGGGCTTTTGGCGGCTCGGGGGAGTGCCGGTCCCGTTCAGCCTGGCCTTGGCAGGCACCCGGCAGCTCCCAGATTCCCAAAAATAGGCTGGAGAAGCCTGACCTGGAAGAGACCCCAGGAGCTCAGTGTCGTCCAGGCCCTGCCCTGCCGGGGCAGTGCTGGCTGCTGGGGAATGGGGCTCCACACACTGCTGGGGTGTGGGTGATGGGGGTGGCCAGGGCTGAGAGGGGCTCTCTCTGCCTGCTTGGCACCATCACAGGAGAAACCGGGCTTCCTCCTCTTCCTCTGCAAGGCAGGGCACGATCCCCCGTGCACCGCTGAGGAGAGGATCCGGAAAGCAGAGAGGAAGCCGGGCTCGGTGCAGAGGAAGAACTGCGTCCGGAGCAGCAACCGGCCAGCCTCAAGGTCGGAGGAAACGATGCTGGAGGTGGAGGGAAGAGCTGCAGGGCCCTGGGAGGAGCTGAACCTGGTGCCTGTGCACGCTGCAGGCAGGACGGAGGCTGCGGGTGCTGCCTGAGCAGGGGTTGGTGTCAGCACAGCCCTGCCGTGGGTGGGACGCACCTGTGGGCCACACTGAGCTCAGCACACGCGTGCTGCTTGTGCCCGTCACCTCCCCGTACACCCCCCGGGCAGCCACCAGCCCTGTGGGGCCGGGCGCTTTGTCTCATGGGGAGGAAAGTGACATCTGGGGCAGCAGGGACAATGCCCAAGGCGACGGTGGAGCAGACGGGCCGCAGGTCTGCTTCAGTGGAATTTAGCGTCCATCACCTCACCTTTAGCAGCTCCAAGGCTTTCCCCATCGCATCCCAGGGTAGCTCTCATGGCACACAGCCACTCCCTCATCCAAATAAAATCTTGCTTGGGTGGTCCCGTTTTTGCAGCCTGCCAGGGGAAGCTCTCACCCCTCTCCCACAGGCGCCAGCGGGGCAGGAAGATCAACTCTCCCTGCAGGCAGAAGTGGCCAAAGTCCCCAGTATGGTCACTCGTTTTTCCTGGGCGGGGGCCAATGGCAAAACTCAAAATAAATATTTCACTCACCTCCAGCACTGCCCACCCCACACTAGACAGCAGCTGCAGAGGATTAGCGTTGCCCTGGAGGTGTAATCCTGGCTACAGTCCTCTACAAAGATGACAACATTTGGCCCAAGAAATCCAGGGAGATGCAGAACAGGAGGCAGAGAGGTCAAGGAGCAGAGTTTGGCCCAGATTTTTTTTTGATTCTTGCATATCACCTCTGTAATCAGAGCTCTGTGCTTTGTGTCAGGATCCACTTAATAGGAAGGAGACAAAGAATCAGGGGAAGACAGCAGGCAGGGACAGAAGCCCGCACCAGCGTCCTGCCAGTCCGCTGGGCCAGACTCTCACCTGGCCTGCTCCTGCCCCAGCAGCAGAGCAAACACACGGAAAGCTTTGCAGGAACCCCCCACCAGCTGCTGCCCTGCCAGTGGCTGCCACCCGCCCGGGCAAGAGCCACCGGGGCCGAGGGATGTCCCAGCCTTGGCTTGCATGGCACGGGGACTGCCAGCTGCTCCTGGGCCAGCCTGGGGAGGGTCACTCTCCCAGCCCCTGCCCCGAGGTGCTGCAGCCCGTGCACTCACCGTCCTTCTGCAGCCGAGATTTCAAAGGGAAGCTTTGCCTTTGATGCAGAAAGCAGGCCCGCAGCGCTTAGGTCCCGATCAAAGCGCCCAAGTGCAGGACCTTGTCCCAGCCAATGGAAGAGGAAGGCAAAAAGCCGGCAGAGGCAAGGAAAACTCATCTTTGGGTGGGCCTCAGGTTGAATCCAGGGCTCCCTATGAAGAAAGATTCCTTTCACTCCCACTAGGCATGACCTGCAATAAGGACTTGAGCAGGAAGGAAGGAGCAAGCCGCCCACAGAAAGGTGAACGAAGAGATATTTAAGACCTTTTCTCTGCAGGATGCCTGCACTGAATCAGGAGTCTCCCTCTGCTCACCCCTCCTACCAAGCTGGGGCTGCCCTGGGAGCAGGCAGGCAGCAGCCAGCCTCGGGGCAGACTCCTGTCCCTGCACCCACGTCCTTCCTGCCTTCCTCCACTCTTTCCACGTAGGAGGGCGTTGTGTCCCAGCCAGGTCAAAAGCCATAACCGAAGTAGTAAGAAGCTGGGCACTTCATCGCAGTAGTTTTTCTGGTGCACATTTTCTCTAGGAAACAAGGGCGGACAGGATGCCTGTGACTTTTTGGCCTATCCGCCAGCAGCATCCCCTTCTCCTGCAGGGAGAGCATCCAAACTTCATCCACCTTCAGTGAGATGGCTAAAGTGTTGACGGGAAACGGGGATTAGAAGAGAGAGATTTTTGAAGAACACTGCATAAACCCACCACCATCTAGCCCTAAAGAGCCGGTATCTGATGATGCTCCACTTTATGCATCATGTAAACAGGAAGGTTCAGTATTTTGTTTCATATTAAAAAAATACACAGAGGGCCCACGTGGATGTAAGGGTTTGCGGCGGGAAGTTTATTCCAGCAAATCCGCTGGCACAGCTCCGAGAGGTCAGGCAGGAATTGGCAGCAGGACCCATCTGCTCTCTCAGCAGGGGCAGGCAGCCCCAGGCCCTGGGGAGCCCAGCTCCTCTTACCACATTAAGATCACTTGCTCAGAGCAAGCCTGACTCCTCAGGGACAAGGGGCGACTCCAGCACGGGCCCCAGCAGGGCAGGGAACGGCGGCAGCAGCTCCTGGTGGGCGCTCGGCTGCCAGCGGCTGCCAAAACCGCGGGCTCGTGGGAAAGGATGCACGCATTGCCCTGCTGGGGTCTGGTGGAGTCCCCCTGCAGCTCCCCCGGCCCTGGCAAGCTTTGCAAACACGGCAGGAAAGCCTCGCCATGGACTTCATCGAGGCCGATCCTTGGCACACGATCCAACGTGGTTCCACTTAACAAAGCTCAAGTCCGGCCAAGCCTTGACAGATGTCAAAACAAGATGGATGGTGCCTTCCCATGTGGGCTTCCTTGGCTTGACTCCTTAGAGCTAGCAAGCCATTCAGCTGCTATAAAAACTGGAGAGGTTGTCTCCGGAAAGCCTTCTGCAAGTGCAGTCCAGCACCACGTAGCAGCATGGGGTCAGTGCCTCCCGTTCGAAGCCCGCTGGCTCTAAAGGTGCAAATAAGGCAGCTGCATTACAGGTGTCCCAAGCGCTCGCCCCAGAGCTGAGGTGGGGTCCCTACAGAGGAGCTGCTGAGCGCCAGGGCGCACTGACATGCCAAACCTTTAAACCAGGTGGAGAGTCAGTGGTCAGGATTAAACCCAGCACCCGGGGGCAGATGTCCCCCCACCAGGCTCTCCTCCTCCTGGGAGAGCCCAGCTTTGTTTTACGGGACAATAACGAAAGGGAAGTCTTCTCAATTCTCCACACAGGCCAGCACTGTGGAAGGGTCTGCACCCACCTTCGGTACCCACCCACTGGAGTAGCTGTGGGGGGCTCGGCCCCAGGGAGGAAAGGCAGCAGCTACTCCCAGACTCTCTCTCTTGCTGGCGGAGGTCTGCGGCCTCCCGCAAGCCTGTCCACAACAAAAGCAGATTGGCTTGAGGCAGGGAAGGGCAGCTTCAGCACAGGAAAAGACTTCCTCTCCTGTTATGCTGCTTTGCTAAACCTCCCCTTTGATCCCTGGGGAAAGGGACAATTTGGCAGCTGAAAGACTATTGTGTGCCTCTTGCTATAAGTAGCTGCTGAAGGCTTGGTTGAGAGCTGGATCAAGTTGTTTAACCACACAGAGAACAGAGCTGTGACCTAACAGGCAGGTAAGGCCAATTTGTCACTGCTGGGAAAACAGCTTCAAGTAAGAAGGGAATGAAAAACCCATTTCCAGGAATTAAAAGCGAACAGCATGAGTTTTTGTCATCGGTAGAGTATCACAAACCTCACAGACTAGAGACAGAGCCTGTCTCCTCTACGGAAACCTTACTATTTTTCCTCTCTCCAGATTGCTGCCGTTCGTGTCTCTGCTATTCTTTAGCCAGCAAGGCTGCCAATCAAAGTACAATTCAGAGGCAAATTCTAACATCTGGGTTCCTAAAGAAATTCTTTGTCACTTTCTGAAGTACCAACATGTGCAAATTAAAGGATCCATCAAAGGAAGAAGTAGCCAGAAGCAGACTCAGAGTCAAATGTTTAATAACTTTTCAAGAGTATTACACCCATATTTAGAGCATATATAAAATAAGAGATGGAAAACAAGGAAAGAAAAGATAAAATTGGTATTGTCAAGAGGGCATGCTTAACCTGGTAATTCCTGCCGAATTCCCTCTTTGGAGGCACAGTGCCCACTTTGAGCAACCCCTCTGTGCAACGTCAGATCAGGTACCAGGCCACTTGCAGTGGTTTTGTCTCAGCCCTTTAGGAACAGCTAGGAAAACTCCGGTTCTGTACAACCTGCACACCAACAACATAGTCACAGACCTGTTACGTGGTTAATTGTGTCCTGTCCAGAAGAGGGATTCCAGACGAATCAAAGTTACCCTAGGCAAGGTGAGCTGATCTAAAACTTGGTCTCAGCAGGGCCTTCTCTTCCACCTGCTTTTGTTTTCCTACTGACCCCAAACATTTCTCGCATCTCTTCCTGAGGTGGTGTTATTGCTGGACAAAGAAGGGAGAAGAAATGAGACACCTGTTAGACTCAGCAGCACCAAGACAGTTGTACTGGGAGGGCTCCAAGCATTCCCCAGACAACCCCGGGACGCTGCTACAGCCCAGAAGGCAGCGATGGGTTCCCCAGAGGTATTACCTACTGTTAGCACTGCCTCCTACCTCCCACTGAGATCAGCACTCAACATCCTCCCTCAGCTCCTTGAAATTTTGCCCAAGAATCTTGCCTGCTAAAAGAAGCATCTGCACTGGGACAGGCTGGCCCTGGCAAAGAGGGTTCTTCCTCACAGGCCTCAGGACTGCTGCCAATATGCCAGGGACTCCTCTCCCATCCCCGTAAGAGCAGAGCTTGGCACCTCCTCCTGCCAAGGGCAGCCACAACCTTGCCTATCCCCTTCCCACCTCACAGCACTGCCACCTGCACTGGGCAGGGAGGGGAATAAATTTGGGCTGGAGGGACACAAACAGTATCTCTTCTGGAAGACAAGTGTGGAACTGCAGCTAGCTCTGAAGCGCAAAGCCGTTGTGCTGAGTGATGCTGGAGTGAGCCCCAGAGAGATGCCAGGAGGCTGCCACCCTGCCCAGAGTCATCTGACACGAACAGGAAGGACGTGGGGAGCAGCTGCACAGCTCACCCTGCTCCTAGATGGGAATGACAACTTCCACGTGTTTTGGCAGGAAAGCCACTCAGCAAGGCGCCCCTGACAGACTGCTCCCCCTGGCAACTGCAAGGGTGCTCCCGGGCTGATGGCCAAAGCTGGGAAGAGCTCTGCTGCTAGAAGAGACTCTGGATTGTGAAGGCAGCGGGAGGAGGAAGAGGAACGCTAGCCTGGCCCAGCTGCTGCTCCCACCCTCCTTGTCCACGGCCAGCTCACCTTGGCCTTGTTCTGGACAGGCAGATACAGCTTAAACTCAGCTGGGAGCTCATCCTCTGAGTAGAGCCGGTCAGAGAAGTACACCCGTCGGATGCGACAGTTGGCATGGATCTGAGAGTCAAAACAAAGAGTCAGTCCATTTTTCATATGTTCTTTCCACAGCCAGCTTCACTGTCACGCAGCAGCCTGCATTCCTTGGCTCAGCAGCTGGAGAAGAGACCTCACTGCCTCTCTCCAAGTCTGACAGGGCATCAGAGAAGAAACGTTGGCCCATGCCCTCTGCTTTGCATTAGATGCTCTCTCTAACAGATACAACCTGCCTCAAGAGATGTGCTCTGGCATCTCTGCAAATTGAGATCTGCCTTAGTTGCTTAGAGGGTTCTTTGCTATGAACCCACCTCTGCTTCTCCACTGGTATCAGCACTTCCCAGAACACTCTCCGCCTCAGCTTGCTGCACTTTTAACACTCCCTCTTTAGGGCCTCCCTGAGGTCAGGAATGAGACTGCCCAGTCTGTGCTGCCTCCACTATCAGCTGGCAGCAAAGAAGTTGCTCCACTCTGCGTCATGGGTATGCGAGAAGGCAGACATTTCCCCGCTGACTGCCTGTTCATCTCAGGGCAGCCCCACAAGGAACTGCAGCAGTCCCACCGTACTAAGGAACGGGCATGCTCCGCACACAGGCATTCCTCAAAATGACACGTGCCACCGGCCACAGCGAACACGAATCCCTAACATGTGGAACAAGTTTCACATCCTCAGCAGGAACGAACGCTGCGTCAGCTCTGGTCCAATGGTCTCGGTGAAGTCAGGGTCGCTCCCACCCACACTAGGAAACAAGCTTGACCAGGGATTTGTACTGACCATAACACCCTGGGTCTTTACCTGCCAGGCTCCCACCTGTCTGGCTGCTGCTTTGTGTGTATCTGGGCAGTGAGGCAGCACAGGGTTAATTCCCAGCAGACCTCCACCCAGCAGGATGCATGACACTCGGCAGGAAACTTTAGGTGGACTGCAACTCTTACCCTAACGGACAGCCAGCAAGAGAACCAAGATGGAAACGGGCTTCTTCATCCCAGTCTAGTCTGGTGAAGCGAAGCAGCACCAAGACCTCTGCTGCCTCAGTTGAGCTTTTGCTCCCCTCCCGCAGCGCTCTGCAAAGAGCAGGACTGGCAAAGGAACCAGTCAGGGCTAAACTCAGATTCCCAATCTACGGCAAGGCTACAGATTACTAACCATGAGATGACTAACCATTGTTTTTCGTGAGCAGGACATGCCTGCTTCTCACCTGAACTCTCAGGGTCTCAATGTAATTTGTCCCGTAAGCCCGACGTGTGAAGTCCGACAGGTTGAACTGGATTTGGTTCCAGCCATCGTCCAGCCGCATGGGCATGGTGCAGATGAAGGGCTTCACCCGAGTCGTGCTCTGGTAGTTACTCGCCCGAAAACGCCGCCGTACGTTCTTATCGTCTAGCACCTGGGGCAAGAAAGGCAGGCTGCTGACCCAGGCGTCGGGGGACCCCAGCACCCCAAGACAGCAGCTGTACTAGACTCAGGCTCTACCCATCTCTGGGAGAGGGCTCTCCTACTCCCACCCCTCCATTTCACAGCAGAAGTATTTTTAACACAAGAAATGGACCCGTTTTCAGGAATAGGAACAATGTGCTTGTGAGCTGACTGATGCCCCCGTAGCAGAAGACCTGACACATCACATGGTCAAGAAAGCAAAACCGTTTTGGGGACCACTTGCTGCTTGGGACAAGTTCCAACTTAAGACCGCAGGCTCCCTGGCCCCTTCCTCAGCAGTCCCTGGAGGGGCCTCCATGCTGCACCTCCTCACCTGCACTTCAAACGTGAAGTATTTCTTCAGGTTCTTGATGATCATCACTAGGAAAGGTAGTTTGATGCCCAGGGTCTTCTTTGGGTCAGCAGGGCACGTGATGTACGTGGTACTGAGAAGGACAGAAAAATGCTTTAGGATCTCACATAACACAAAGCGCGCAGCCCGAGTCCCACGTCTCTCCCTTGACTCAACGCAGTCTCTGAGAGCAGACAGAAAAAGATTGCTGTGATCATAAGATCTCAGCAACAGCCAGGGCTTCCTGTAACAGGTGGGAGAGTTCCAGAGGTAGCTGGAGGGAGGACAAGAGAAAGGCCCCAAGAATGCATTTTGAATCACGATTTTCTCACCCAGTGCATGAAACACCTTCCTGAGCAGCTTCACCTCCCCAGTTTCAAGGCCCTGTCAATGCTGTTTCTTAACACAACCCCCTCCTTCCCTTGACTGAACAGGTAGAGCCCTCCAGAGCGCAGCAGAGGCCCTGTGTGCTCTATATGGCTGGGAAAACAGAGGTCATGAGCCCTAGAAGTACACGTCACGCCTGGCAAGTTCTATATCAACACATCTTGGGAGGAAGAGAAGCGTTGGCTCAGCCTGTCTGCAGGAGAGGAGTCTCTGCTGCCCTTATAAGGAGTGCCCTGCTCTGAATCACCCTGGAGAAGCCTTGGAGACTCTGAACCCGCTCACGGAGCTGGCATCTCTCTCCCTGGTCGACAGAGACGAGGTTGCTAAGTGAAGCACCATAAGCAACTCCCCTCATAAATCTCCCTTTGATCTTCCTGCTGCTGGGACAGCAGCTGTCATGTGGGGAGAGCAGCGGAGCGGGCCTAAGACAATAAAAGATGCAGAAGACAGAACACTGATTTCTCAGTAATTGGTGGCACTCACTGGAGACTGTGTATCAAATATAGCTTTCTTCTTCAAGTGATAGAAAAATAATGGGACTTCATTTTTATTTTTTATCCCTTAGCCCCACTGAGGACGACAGAGCGCTCTACAGGCGAGTACAGGGAAAGCCACAGTACAGTGACCCAGAGGGGTATCAGTGATCCGACCCCAGATCGTATTCTTCGATTTATTGACAAAGAGATTACAGTAGAGTCTGAAGGAGACGTCATCTGCTGGACACTAACATCTTTCACTCTGCTCCAGGACCAAACCCCCAGGGCACACTAGGGCAGAATAAGATGCCTTCTCCTACCTGACATTAGTTCCTTCAATCTCCAGCACCAGCGACTGAATGTCATTGTCAGTGATTCGCTTGATGTGGCCATTGCGCACCTGGAAAAAAAAGCAGGGCAGACAGCACAGACTTTACCTGAGGGAAACAAGAGACGCCCACAGCTCCATTGACAGGGGGAAAAAGATCCCAGGAGGACCTATTTATGTTCACTTGGTTCCTGTTGGCCTGGACATCACTGTTTCCAAGCCTTTGATCACCAGCCCAGAGTGCCAGGACTCCAAGCAAGAGTTTATGGCCCAGCACGCTGCACAGACACTGAGTGCAAGACTTCGATCTATCAAAATACGCTAAAGTGAACACAAGTGACTCAAGCCTCACGTTAGAGGCCCAAATAAACAAACATAAAAGTGTCAAAGCAAGATCAAACTAGAGTGGGATAAGGGGTAAAGCCAAGTAGGAGCAATACGGGGGCAAGCAAAGGGAGCCACCAGCCAGCCACAGGTCACCAAGGGGTCTTAGTCTCTACTGCTGGGCATGGCTGACTGCCTCTGTGTGAAAACTTGGTTAAAATCCTTCATAACCATAGCGCACGCAAGCGCAAAGACATCATCTGCTCTGCTGAAGAGCACAGGGATTTGGGTACTTGGATGCAGCCAGCTCCCTACAGAGCTTGGGGAGGTCAGGGCTGGAACCAGGAGCCAACACAAATTCATTTTTCTCCACAAGCAACATGGCTGAATCCCAGGGTCTGAGGATTTATTTTTTTTAATGAAGCAGCTCACTTCTCATCAAATTTATCTTCCATTTACAAGGCACTTTTGCTAATTAAGCCTTCTGCTCTTCCCCAATGCTACATCAGCAAATTGCAGTGCTCCTTCTGGCTCCATGAATTAATGTTCTTCAGCACTTACCACTGCTGCTAATATATAAGATACATTAAGGTTCTAATGGGATGTTTCCAGGCATGAGCTACAAAATGATTTACAGGTTTAGCGATTCATGTTCAAAGATCATTCTTTCAGAGGGACCTACCTGGGTGATGTTGCATACATCTGCTGGAAGAAACAGAGAAGCCATGAGGAGCCCACCCTCGTGGCCTGTCTCTACACTAAGCTGTTTCAAGAAGCCTCAGCCTGGATCACTCAGCTGCTGCTGCTAAGCATGAGAGTGCAGCTCACCCTGCCAGACTGCTCTTAACTCTGCTTCAAGCCTGCACAGATAGTTCCAGAAAACATTAAGATCAGAGAGAAGATCCTTACAGGATATCTGTGTCTTTCCTTTGCATCAAATGCAACTCCCGTGGATTCATAGGTCTGTTCAGGACAAGCTGACTGCACGAGGTCTGGATATGAGTTTCCTTTTCCTCCCCACCCCCCACTTTTTTTTTTTTTCTTTTTTGTTAAATCACCAGCCCAGAGAAGCCCCATGTGCCTCTCTGTATTTGAAGCAGCAACTGGCATATGGGAAATCAAATTCTGGAAGCCACAGGGATACAGCATGCAGACTTAACACTGGGAAATAACCCTGCCTAAGCAGGTGACAGTAGTGCACAACAAAGCCTGCCTCCATGCCACATAAGGCAGCTTTCACCAAGGGTAGCTTATGGCTCCACAGAGCAGAGAAGGTTCAGGTTTGGGCTTCTCTGGAAAAGACAGTAACATAGAAAACTGCTAAACGTGCTTTAAACCAATTAGTCAGCAATGTTTCTATCTGCAACCAGGTTCCCTTCCTTAGCCTGTGAAGGCTTTCCTTCCCCAGATTACAGGGACAATGAGAAGAAGCAACTCTTCTTCCTTGGCATTGCCAGAAACGGGATGAAAGACAGCAGAAAAGAGAGGAGATAAGTACAAATCAGGGCCAGGCTGCGGCAGAGCCCTTCCTCCCAGTCCTACCTAGCTCAGTTTTTGCAAGCTGCACTACCACCCAGCTGGGGGGAGACAGTGGCCAGGTCACGCAGGCGCCCTCCTGAACAAAGCCAGCCCGTCTGCAAGTGCCTGCAGCCAGTGCTGGCAGGACAGACACACAGACACGAGGACCACGACATCCAGCGCCGGCTGGATCAGAAGTCCGAGCAGCCCGGCCATTTTGGTAAGATAAGGCTGAATGGCATCAGAAGTGCTCACTGCCAAGGGGGGCTCGCTGCGCTGCCTGCCAGGACTCGGTGATGCCAAACGTCCCAGCTCAGCCCCTCGGCTCGCTCCAGCACCCAGCTCCCCGCTGGAGGCTGAGCTCGCCTCCCGCCTGCCTCGGGGACCACCTCCCTGCTGGAGGACACAGCTTGGTCACTGCCAGAGGAGCACCTCTCTTCCTCTGCCAGCTCTGGGGGTCCCTTCTCAACCAGCTTGCAGAGACCTCGGATTCCATCAGGCATAGCTGCCAGCCCCATGCGGCGCAGGGTGGGAGGGTCAGTCCTGCTGTGCTCGCGGTGGCTACTCAGCAAGAGCTCCCAGTCTTCAGGGGCCTTTCCCTACTTCACAGAGGCTCAGAAAGATAAGATTTCAGAAAATTTTAGAAATCTAAACAAAACACTCCACATTTCTACTTGGCCAATATTTTCTAGCCATTTTAAGGCTAAGAAGGTGGATTTTTGAAGCTGGAAAAAAGGGTAATAAGCCCTCTTAGAAAACAGAAATTCTGCAAATGCCTAATATCCTCTGATTCAGGATCACCGGGAAGTTATCTGCTGTCTAAAGACAAACTGGAAAAGCTTTTTTTGCAGATGCAAACCTCAAATCTTGCAGGGTTTGGAGGGAGCAGCAGCTTCACAGACAGCTGTGTCTGAGCGTACAGGCTTCTTGAGGCTGCTGTTGCTACAAGCAACCCCAGTCAAACGTAACAAAGACCAGGGGAAAAGCAGCAAGGAGCAATCCTCCCCGGGCCCAGCCACCCACGGTCCAAGGCTGACCTCTGGAGGCTAGCTCCCACATTGTTGCCCGCCGCCCCGTCGTTAGGTGATGGGCTTGTGCCAGCAGCAGCAAGCTGAAACACGGCCGGTGCCATCTCCCAGACTACTGTAGGCACGGGTACGCCCTGGCCTCAGGATGGGCCAGCACTTCTCAAAGCCAGTGGTGGGTTCAGAACATGCCCGAGGCCCTTGTGCCACCGAGCAAAACAAGAGGCAAACCCAAGAGCTACCGGGCTCTGCTGTAGTGCCTGGTGCACACAGGTTTTGGGGAGGAGGAGTGAGCAGCATGGACTGCTATGTTCTGGGTGTAGAGATCTGGGGCAACCTGGACAAGGATGCTGCACAAGAGAATGAGCGAGTCAGAGAAGGACTGCAAGAGAGGACCCTGCCACAGCATTCGCAGGGACTTGATCCTGGCCATGCTCATCGCAGAAATTGCTATCTGCATCCTGGTAGCAGAGCATGCATTTGACATTCAGACAAGTATCGAATGCTAGCTGACCTTGCATCCTCCCAACAGCATGCGAAATTGGTAATGATACTCTGCGTTGACACGCCAGCAGAAGGAATAGGGAGAAATTAGCAAAAGGATCAATAGGTTTGAAAAGTTTCATTGAACCATTCCCATTCGCTCTGCAGAAAAGCATCAGCGAGTCCCCTGGAGACTGCTCAGCGTGTCTCCACATGTCGGCAGGGGGACCATGGTGGCAGGACGCTGCAGGAACAAACAGAGGGCCCTGAACAACGGAGTGCTGGAAGGCAAACAGAAAACACCTTGCAAACACATCTCCAGACCAGGCACACCCAGCGCTGGAAAGCAGAAGCAAGCACAGCCCAGCAGTTACCAGCTTTCTGTGGACGAGGCTGGAGGAGGAAGCTGGGCCTGCAGGGACGGTGGGACGGTCACCATGCTCTTCCCAAGGCCGGGACACTTCAGTCCTGCCAGAGTTCCCTGGGACAGGATGCCGGTGGCTAGGACAGACTGGGCTTGGCAGGGTTTGCTGCCAAGGCATGCCCAGAGCTTACCCACAGCCCCTGAGGGAGAAGGGAAGGACTGTATCCTACTACTTGGAGGGAGGTTACAAATGCTCACAACAAGGAAAGGCTTCCAGTGCCCCATTTCTACACCTATAATGAAATGAAGAAGCCTCTACTTCACACCGTCTCCATCAGCACAAGCAGCACACATCCTACTAGGGCTGAATAAGAAACAGTTTTCTCCGTGTCAAAAAGGCTTCAGATTCCCTAAGATCTGAAAGAAATCAGTATCTGCTCGTACTTTTTGCAAAGATAAGGTAGTCTACATCAGGACAGCTATGAATGCAGTAATCAGGGCATTCACCTAGGACATGGGAGAACATCAAATCCCTTATTTCTAATTCTCTCCAAAACTACAGGTGCATTTCATGCACCCCTGAAGAGAGCAGCAATCAATTATTGCAGAGTTTTGGTTGCTTCCCCCCCCTTCCAGAATCCCCAACCCTAACCCTCTCCTGTGGCAATGCTAGAGGTGGAACATTCCTGAGATGTCTGAGTATAGACAGATCAGTATTTTCCAATAAATAAACGTACTGGAAATATCCCTCATAATTTCTGGACATTCACCCACTTCATGAATGCAGTGTCCAAGCCAGATGCCAGCCTGCCCCTCTGCTACCAGCCTGGCAGGGTCTTGTATCGAGCCAGAGGCTTCATCAGCAATTCAGCACCCAGGTCCGTGCTTGCAGCAGGCCATCAGCATCCAAACCATCAGCAGCACTTCCCCACGCTGTAGGTTCACACAGTCTTCACCCGGCCCAACACGCAAGTCAGCCACATGAACAGGATTTTCTGAAGGGGCCGAGCAGGGGAGACGACACCCATGCATGATGGAATAAAGACCTGAGGGATTCCTCTTTCTCAGCTCCAAGGCAGTGAGATACCCTCCTAAGTGTCGCCATTCACCTCCTGCTGCTGCAAACACATTAAGGGTGTCAGATCAAGAATGCCAAAGATATTACAAACCCACCATCCCAACTCCTTTTAAATGGGAAAGAGAGGTGAAAGAGCGAGACACGCTAATATCCACAGGGAAAGGAGTCAGAAAACCCACTCTGGTTTCACACCACAGTTTTGCGAGCAGGGCAATCCTCACAACAAGCTCGCCCCAGCTGGCCGCGCTTCCTCAGGACAGACAGAGCTCCAAGCAAGGAAAAGCACTGCACGCAGCCCTGCTGCTCACAGGGATGCAGGGCTGCTGCCGCCGGGCAGTGCCAGAGGAGCCTGGCCACATTCAAGCCCTACAGCAGGTGACAGAAACAGCCTGCACGCCCAGCTGCTGCTCTTGGGAACCACAGTGCTAAAATTTTCATCAGACTTCTGGCCAATCCTGCAACTCTCGCGCTCCAATGGATCATCACTTACGCCCATCCTGCAAGCAGAGTTCCTGCTGGCCACCCCACGAGCTGCAACGGTATCACTTTGCACAGGATAATTCCTGTTGGAAGGTACCACAGGAGGTCTCCAGTCCAACCTCCACCTCCGAGCAGGGTCAGCCCAGATTGCTCATGGCTTTATCCAGTCTGGAAGCTACATCCCTTTGTCTAGGAGTCTTTTAACGCATCCAGCCCTCACACCATCCAAACAAGTTGCCGATCCATTTTTAAAGTCAAGAATATTTGTGCAAAAGCCCTACCACAGGCACATGCACACAACCAGGCTATTGAGGGGCAACCCAGTTCTTTGGAGAGCTGCACGGGCAGCCCGCTGGTGGGGAACAAGATGAGTCTGCACTGCCTGTCCCCCATCCCACACCCTGCAAATGCTCACGCGAGCCCACTGAGGTCAAACAATACTGCTGTCTGCTCATCTGCCTTGAAGGCTTTCATTCCTGCTGAAACCACAAGAAGTTCAGGTTAGGTTCAAGCACAAGTAACCGAGTACACGTCATATCCTCAGGGAGGACAGCGTGCTCTCAGAAAGTGTAACGAAACGCTTTGCAGAATCACTTTTAGGCAGCAAACAAACCCACAAATCCACAGGTGGATTGCACAGGGGAGGAAGCAGGTCTCAACACCTCCAAACTTCCTGGTAAGGGCTCCCTGATGTGGGATACCCGGGGGAAGGCAGGGGGCCCTCACCAGAACCGCTGCAGCAACAGACAGGAAGAAAAAAACCAGACGAAACGTTTGTGACTTCTTGTACACCCTCAAAGCCGCCACGCAGCCTACCTCTAAATACCTTCAGCAAGGCCGTTTGAGAAATGGGTCACATACAAGAGAGCACCCCCGTGCCCGTTACATCCCGCTACCGCGGGGAAGCTGCCGTACGTGGCAACGGGCCGTTGTGTTTTCTGCTGCCTTTTTCCAGCACCTGACAGTTTTGTAGCCTCATGCAGCGCCGCATCTCCAGGCGCCGGGCTGGCCTGCTCCCCTGGCGCGGCTCAGCAAACGCAGAAAAGAAGGTACTTTTATAGTAACACATTCACCTCCATGTAATAAAAAAAAAACCAAAAAAAAACAAACAAACAAAAAGCGACCCCGGGGGAGCCCCGGTAACCTGGCACGGCGGCCCGGGCACCGGCGGCCTGCAGCCCACGGCTGCCCGAGCCTCACCGGGATGCTGAAGCGAGCGGTCCCGCTGCTCCCCCCCCATCCCCAACGCCATCTCACCTTCTTGTCCCAGATCTGGAGCGGCTTGCTGCCGATGCTGTACAGCACCGAGAGGAACCCGCTCTGGAACGTGTTCTTGAACATGCCGGGGCTGCGGCGGGCCGGGCCGGGCCGGGCCGCCGCTCTCCCGCCGCCGCCGGGGTCGGGGCCGCCGCTCTGCGCAAGGACACGCCGCCTTTCCGCCCCGCCGCCGGCCGCCTCCCCCGCGGATCCCTCCGCGCCGCCGCCCCCACGCTTCCGGGTCGCGGCACCGCCGTCACTAGGGAACTACTTTCCGCGCCCGTCGGATCTACTTCCGGCCGCGCTCTGGGCCGGGGGAGGCGGCCGGTTGCCCCTTTCCCCTTGCCGGTTGCCCGTTGCCGGTTGCCCGCGCAGAGCCCTCCCCGGGCCCCCCCCGGGCAGCGGTCGCAGGAGCAGCGGCCCCGGCCCCTGTCCTCACCCGCGCCGCGTAGTGCGCGGTGGCAGCCGAGCGCTGCCGAGGCCGGGTGCCCGGGGCCGGGTGCCCGGGGCCGGGTGCCCGGGGCCGGTCCGCTGTGGGTGACGCGATGGCTGCCGCGGCATCCGCTGCGCGCCCGGGACTTGGCTGGGTGCGCATTCAAGTCACCCCAGTTCTCCCCCTGAAGTTCACGACCATCAGGCAAAAGGCGACTCTGGTTTTCTGTTTCTGACAACGTGCTTCGCTCATGGAGTGTTTATCAGTTTGCGCTCTGCTGTTCTCTCCTTGGAGGCTCCGTTTCTCTCTGCTGGTTTTACAAGAGGAGTGTCCGGATGGTGTTTGCTCTGCTTTGCTGCTTCTTTTAACCGCAGTTTTGCTCCCAAGCCTCACTTGCCCCGGCAGGTTCCATCCTTCCCAGTCCCAGTGCTGCTCAGAGCAGCCCCTGTGTATCAGCGGGTACACGTGCCCATTGGAAATCCTGCATGACTGTCAATGCTAGTGGCTCCATTAAAACACAACTGATAAATGCTGGAAGCTTAGCCTCGTGTCTGTGGACCTGCGTTTTTGGGCAGCGCTACCACAGAGTGTGAGTACTGGAAAGCAGCTCCCGTCACCCCCAAGCCGTTTGCTAACTCAGGTCTTCCAAGACGTGGCCAGGCCCTTTCCTGCACCTCTGTGGCCAAGGCAAACACCTTTGATGGGAGTGGAAGGGAAGGAGGTTTTGGTCACACAACAGCAGTGGGCACATCCCACCCTCTGCCAATGCCATTTCCCAGCCCTCTGATGCCACCCGGGCTGGAGCTGGCAGCAGCCTTGTGCTTGGAGCTCTGCTTCTGCTGCGTGCCGGTGCGGCACTGACAGCGATGCAGAAGCTGATGCCTTGCTCTGTCAGAAGCTGCTGTGATGTCTGGAAATCCGTACCTTGCAGAGGAGCCTCCTGCGCGCTGGCCAGTGCGGGAGGTTGTCCCTGTGCTCTGTCATGCTAGCTGTCACAGTGGCGTTTCCTCAGACAGCATTTCAGGTCAGAACTTCTCCGTCTCTGGGTGGAAATGGGCTGGATTCGGCACTCGCTGACACCAGAGACTCATCACGAGGCCAACCAGGAGGAGGAAGGGGCAGGAAAGGTCTCAAACACAGCAGCACCATCAGTGCAACACCTCCAGCTTCTACTTAAGGACGCTCGGAGTTGTGCAGGGACGGCAGTGCTGTGTGAGGGTCTCCTCCCAGGGGAGATGGGCAGCAGCTTCAGCCGCCTGGCTTGTTTGAGCAGGAAGGTGCTGTTCTGTGCCCGCGTGGAGATCTGGAGTTTTGGATTAGTTGTAAGAGGCATCTTTGCCCTCTTGGAGAAGCACCAGCCCAGGAGTACCAGCGAGGGCCTGCAGTGTGCACGGCTGGGAGGTGGGCAGATGTGGGCTGGGGTCAGGGCCAGATCCAGCCCCCACCGACATCCATGGGGCACCCAGCTCTCTGCATGCAGTACCAAAACCCAAGCATTAACCTACCTGCTCAAGCAAAGGTGACCGAGTAGTGAACCTCTGGAAAAAACTTTCCCAAAAGCAAGAAATCAAAGCAGCTTCGCGTGGGTGTGAGGAACAGATGGTGTGGTGTGGCTGCACACATTCTCCCTCCCTGCCTTCCACCAGCTGCCACTGCCCAAGGCAAAACAGTGCCCGTGCCCTTTGCCAATACTGGTCAGTGAAACCCTCTGCAGTCAGGATTCACAAAACTTGCACGCGAGCACACGGGTGGACAGAGCCCTGTCCCTGCTGCAACTGCAGCCCAGCTGCCAAGGGACCATTTATTTGTCCAGGAAATTTCTGTGGCACAGGGACATGAGCCAAACCCAGCTCATTTCAGAAGCAGCCCTTATCTGAGCAAACACAAGAAGAGGCAGTGTACACTGTACAACCGTAAATTTTCATGCTGTTTACTTACTCCTTTGAACTGTTACTACTCCTTTTAAATTGTTGCTGCTTTCAGCTCTGGCCCAGCCTCCAGCGGAAGGCTTCATCTGTTGAAGTATGTTCATCTTTGTGCTCTGAGATAACTGTACCAGCAACAACCCTTGCCTCTCACTGCATGACTGCAAATAAATGTGGGTTTGGTTTTTTGTTTGTTTGTTTGTTTGTTTGTTTTGTTTTGTTTTTTTGTGAGCTGAGCTAAGATGCAGTACTTTCACTGGTGTGAAAATACTTTTGAGTATAGACAGGGCCTTGCACAGCTGAAGAGGCTTAACAGGAACAGCTTGGGCTAGAAATTACATTTTTAAACTGAAATATGTTGCATTTCTTTCTGCTGTAACAACACCCGTAGCATCTATTTTCAAGGTACAGACACTAAACAACGTAAGAATTACCATTCTCCATCAGATTTGTGGTCCTGCAGCTGAACTCCAGGCCCCTGTGTAGCTCTTGTCACTAACGAATGCCCCATCCAAGCCCCGCTGACAAACATGACCCTGTCTGCTAGCTGTGCTTGTCTCTCCCTTGAGCCACCAATGCTCTCTGTCTGTCCCAAACATGCAGTTCCTTGCAGCACCTGGGTTACTTCCATTTACAATTCCTCACACAAACAAGGGGAGCGCACAAAAAGCAAGGCACTATTTAGAAATGATCAGCTATATTTAGCCGGTGGGTTAGAGTACACTTTATATGGCACAATTAAATAACTTGTTCCCTTAATCAGAAGATGGTAAGAGACAACTGGGACAAATATCCAGCTGCCATTCCTATACAGCCTGCTCATTCACACGCTCTCCACTTACTGTTTTAATCTCATGTTTTGCTGCAAGTGATGCACATGGAAATATGTTGTGGTTTCAAATTGTCCCTGTTTCTCAATGAATTTTAACAAAAAATAATACCCGTTGCCTCTCTTCCTTCCCCAGGCATGTTTGGGCTAAAGGAGAGGGCAGAAACAGAGAATCCTAATGAGTCATTAATGCATATTAATAGTTGAGGCTGACATTTGGAAAGAGGCCTCTGGGAGATGTATTTCAATGAGACTCACACACTGATGTTAGCCACCTGTAAGATCGCTAGGAAGATGTCAGCATGTTACATCACCTCCTTTCCCAATTCCCAGGCTGTAAGGGGATTGGATTTTGGGTGGCACAGGGAGGAAAAGGCCCATTTTAGGAGAATAATCTGGTGCAGAAAGTGAGCAGAGGTTGCCTGCTTCAGAAATACCTGTCCACGAAAGCATTTCCTGCCCTTCAGAGTTCCCAGCAATCTGATGCCTTCAGAGGAATGACATCTTCAGGAAGCTCCCAAAACATTGCTCCTCTGGAGTTTCACATTCCCGGGTGCAGTTGCTAGAGCAAAACGTAGCAGCTCTCTCCAGGGTCACCAAGTCAGTGCTTGCCTTGGAGCACACAGTCCAGGTTCATGGTCTGGGAAATCCTAACCCGGACCATTGCCCTCTCGGCTTAAGCCATCGCTGGGAGGCAGATGCCTAGGGCTGGCTGTGTGGCCCAGTGGGCCAGCTAAAAGGACAGTGCTTGGACCAGTAAAACCAGAACTGGATTCAGTCAGTACCTTAGTGAGCCAAAAGCCTTCACTGCGTGGCAAAAAATGAGAAAAAAAAGCAATGACTTCCGCAAGAAGTGTGAGATCCTGGGATTTGTCCAGATGACTCCATTCTGGATTTTCCTATGGGAGCAGGACTGGATGAAGGGCAGCTGTAATGAGGGAACCACAAAGGGAATTGGGAAGGAGATCCAAAGCCACCACATGCAAGGGGAGGCAAGGTGCAAAAAGCGCTTTGGGTGCTGAGGGAACCTGGCTGAAGTCTTTGGACCTCATGCTGGCTGAGCTCCGAGCAGTGCTAAAGGGGGAAGGAGCTGGGCTGCTGCTGAGCAAGGGATCAGAAGAAACCAGGGTGTAAACGTCGGTGGGTGCAGAAGGAGACAGCGCCAGCATCTGCTGGAGCCCTTTGGCAGGAAAGTCCAGGAAGCAGGACACGCTGCCTTGGTGGGACCACCATGCAATGCATGTCACAGTGGAGCAGGGGGTGAGACTGAACAAAACCTTCCTGACTTTGGACAAACTGCGGACAAAAAAACAGGCAGGCAAATAAAAGTTTATTTTTCAGAAGCAACAGTTAAAGAGAGTCATTGAGAGCATCCTTTAGAGACAAGCTGTTGGTGTGGAGAGGACTTGGGCTGCAGCAGGCGGGAACGGGGGGGCATGAACCAACAGTGTCAGAAGGATGGATGAGATAGCAGCTGCACCTGGATGTGCCACCATGCTGCAGGGTCCACAGCTCAGCGCATTCCCGCAGCACTGATTTTGCCCAGTACATGGGGACCTCAGGTGGAATCTGCCAGCAGCTCCTCCCCGCAGGCACAGGCTCTCACCACTGGCCCGATCTCCACCAGCCAGAAAGGGTCTTGCTGAACTTAGGCGCCTGCGCTGGGTTTCTGTGGTGGGGTTTTTGGTAGTGAGGGAGGAGGATACAGTGCTGGCCCCTGTGAGGAGCTTCTCAAAAGCTCTCCCAGCCCCAGGTCAGACCCACGAACGGGCAGCATTCACCTCACCTCCCGAGAAGGAAGGAGCAGCGAGGTGACTGTAACCCCCATTCCCCAGCCCCTGCCCCCTGCGCCGCTGGGGAGAAGGTAAAGAGATGGGGAGCAGAGCTGAGCCTGGGAGGAAGGGAGGGGTGGGGGAGGTGTTTTTTGGATGTGGTGGTGCTTCTCACCATCCCACCTTGTCTGCTAAGTGTTGGGTTTTGTGAGTGTTCAAATTAAAGTGATGT